ACGGGCTGCTGCTGCTGCTGTGGGAATCAGTGCCCAGGTCGTCCCGGCCGAACAGATGCCCCTGACCAGGGCCACTGGCCTTCACTTCTGGCCAAGGGGGCCACCCTGCCAGCCCCGCAGTCACTGCGCTCTGAAGAGTGGCATCCCGCCCTGGAGAGGGACATTCAGGAGCCAGGACTTGGTCTCTGGGTGTGCGTGGCTGCCAGGCGTCCCAGGGTCAGGCCCCCGAGGTGCGGCCGTGTGCGCACAGCCCCTCTGTCCCTGGAAACTCGTGGGCCCACGTCTGGCTGACCCCAGCAGGCCGCTCAGCGCTTGTGCTCACGCCTGCCGGCCGCCACTCGCCAGCTCAGACAGCGCTGAGCTCCTCTCGGTCCAGGTTCTGGCCCGTTGGTGGCGCCCTGCGTCACCCGGAGCCCAGCTGTCCCTGCTCTTTCCCGGTGGTACGGCTCTACCGGGGGCTCAGCCTCACCCACACACGTCCCTGCCACCCCCTCAGGTGTCGCCGGGAGTCATCGCCAACCCCTTTGCTGCCGGCCGCAGGAACAGCCTGGAGAGCATCTCCTCTGTTGACCGGGAGCTAAGCCCCGAGGGCCCTCACAAGGTCAGTGCCGCCTGCGCCCCGTGGCTGGGAGCCGGAGGCCATGGGCCTCTGAATGCCACCTGCTTTGCTCACAGGACAAGGAGCTGCCTGGACAGATGCTGCCTTGGGGACCGGAGGCCACGGTGAGTGTCTGGCTTCCCAGCCCGGTGCCCCGGTCCTGGCTCTGCACCGGCAGCCCCTCTGGGTACCGTGGGCTGGGCACGGCAGTTCATCCAGCTCCAGCCCCACAGTGCTCAGCGCCACCTGCCTAACACTGTCAGGGATGCGGCCCTGCTCAGCGCTGGGCCGCTCCGGCCCGGCTCTGGCAGCCAGCACAGCCTCGGTGTCCCTGGGTCCCACTGGTGGTCCTGCCTCCGCCCACCTGTTTGTCGGTCCTGTTTCCCGCCTTAGCTCCCTCTCTTCAGCCAAGACCCCGAAGGGCAGAGCTTTTGGGTGGGCACCACAGGGGTCCCGTGTCTGGGGCGGGCCGGGATGGGATGGGGGTTGGCATCAGGGCCTGCTGGGCTGGGCCAGCCAGGGGAACCCAGGCTGGAACCCCCTCCTGGCCTTAGTCTGCGAACCAAGACACTTGACTGGTGCTGCCATTGCCTCTATCACTGAAGACCAGAGGTCTGGGGGGCAGGGAGGGGCTCCTGTGAAGGCTTTTGAAGTCGGCAGACTGGGTGTGGGAAGCCCAAGTGCCTTGCAGTCAGCGTGGGTCCCAGGGGGTTCAGGGTGGGGCTGGGCGCATGCTGCTCTGGGGACAGGCTGGAAACGTGGGGAACGGGGCAGCAGGGACAGCCGGGCGGGGGTGGGGGGCGCTGTTCCAGTCTCAATCCCCGAGAGACGTGGGTAACCCTGCAGGCTGGGTCTGGTCAGCGCCACTGGGAGGCCCCACAGGAGTGCAGGTGGTGGGCAGGTGGGGTGCCAGGAGGTGCAAAGGGCTGTGGTGCCTTCCTCCCCTCGTGGGCCAGGAGCAGCCCAGAGCAGGAAGCCCGTGGGAGGGGTGGGGGCCCGGTATTCTCTGACCAGAATTTGGCGAAGCTCTTGGGAGGCTGGTGGGCACGGGGCCTCAGCCTGGGCCCCGAGCGTGGTCAGTGGCAGCGACTGTCTTCTGTCCCCGTCTGGCCTTGGTCTGGGCCACCTGTGTAGGTCTCTTTCTTGCGAAGCTCCAGGCCGCCCCCTGCCAGAGACACTTTGGGGTGCAGGGCATGGGCCCAGCACACCCCAGACCTCCCTTGTACCCCCAGCATTTGAGGGGCGGTACCCATGGTGCTGGCCGAGCAATAGTCTAGGCCTCTGGGGATGTCCTTGGACTGTGGTCGGGTCAGGGAGCTGAGTACCTGCCTCTGTGCCACCAAGGCAAGCACCCCAGCTGTGCCTGTGGGGCCCCAGACCTGCCTGACCCTCACCCCACCTGGCCTCTCCAGGTGCCCACCCAAGGGAAGACACCTGAGGCGCCCTGCTCCCCTGGCCACCGGCAGGTGAGCACCCACCAGGCGGGGTGAGGGCCAGTGCCAACGGTACTTGTGTCCGGTGCCTTTTCTGGGCAGACGGTGCCAGGGACACGCCCCTGCCCAGGTCCCACCTCTCTGGGAGAGCACAGCCCAAGGCACTCTCCTGGCCCCCACCAGGGGCGGAAGCTCCCAGGGTTCCCCTGGGCAGAAGGGGCTGGGCGGTCAGTGCCTCCTGCCCAGCACCTGGGGGCCCACTTGGCCCTGCCCCTCCCCTCCCCGTGGCCTGAAGCTCCCTGGCTGTGTCACAGGGGGAGCCTGGCCACCCACCTTGCTGCTACCTTGGCTCCATCACTCTGTCTTTATTCCACCATCCCCCCCTTCCCTGAACCCCCGGTTCCCCACTCTGGCCCCCACCCTTTGCAGACAAAACCGGGGGTGATCCAACCACTGGCTCAGATCTGGCCCAGGGGCTCCCCGGCCCCCAGGGGCAGAGGCAGTCCCCACACTGTGAGTGCGGACCCAAGGCGGCTGGGGGCGGGGCCCTTAGTGGGAACAGCTGTGGGCTGGGTGGGTGGTGGCCGCAGCCTCCACAGCTGCCCCCACACAGCTCACCAGAGCCTCGTCCCCAGCCCCCCTCCCCACCCTCCCCGGACGAGCTGCCCTCGGACGTGAAGCGGGCCTACAGGGCCTTCGCAGCTGTGCCCGACCCACATGCCCCACAGGACGCGGCTGCCCAAGTGAGTGCGGGGCTGGCCCTCCCGGGCTGCAGGCACCTGCCGGCTGGGTGCAAGCTAGGGGAGGGAGCCGGCCCAGTCTCAGACCCCGCCCCCCGCAGTCCCCCACGCCTGGGCTCTCCGCCTCCCCGGAGCAGCTGTCCTTCCGAGAGCGGCAGAAGTACTTCGAGTTGGAGGTGCGAGCACCCTTGGCCGAGGGTCCCCCCAAGCGTGTGTCCCTGGTGGGGGCTGATGACCTGAGGAAGATGCAGGAGGAGGAAGGTGAGCTGGCGCTGAGCCCGGGCGGGAGGTGGCCAGGCCCACCCCCAGCCTGACCCGCGCCCCCCTCGCCCCCCCGCAGCCCGAAAGCTGCAGCAGAAGAGGGCGCAGATGCTGCTGGAGGCGGCAGGCCCGGGTACGGGCCTGGACCGGGAGGCCCCGGAGGACTCGGAGGAGCCGCCTCCCTGGGCCACAGGCTCCGCCGCAGGGTGAGGCTCGGGGAGAGGGCCTGGCTCCCACATACAGCTAGGTGTGCCCCTCCTGCTGGCCCCCCACCCACCAGACCCCCTGTCCTGTCCCCTGACCCAGGCTTGTCCCCTCGTCCCCTCCACCACTGGGGGGCAACGCCCCAGTGCGGACAGCCAAAGCTGAGCGACGCCATCAAGAGCGGCTGCGTGTGCAGAGCCCTGAGCTGCCGGTGCCGGAAAGGGCCCTGTCACCTGCTGAGCGCCGGGCCCTGGAGGCAGAGAAGCGAGCCCTGTGGAGGGCCGCCAGGTGAGGCCCCGCACCTGCACCGCACTGCCCAGCCCTCAGCCCCTGCTGCCCCGCCCACTGCCATGCCCCCTCCGCAGGATGAAGTCCCTGGAGCAGGACGCTCTCCGCGCACAGATGGTCCTCAGCAAGTCCCACGAGGGCCGGAGCAAGCGTGGGCCCCTGGAGCGGCTGGCCGAGGCCCCCTCCCCTGCGCCCACCCCGTCACCCACCCCCTTGGAAGGTCCGTGAGTCCCAGGGGAGTCGGGGTCTTGGCCTGCAGTGCAGACCACTCCCGACGCCCGTTTCTTGTTCCCCCAGACCTCGGCCCCCAGACCAGCACCTCCCCCGGACGCCTGGTGAGGACCGGCGGCCCCTTCCCCCGAACTCCTCCCCCACAGTGTAGGGGTGGGGAGCCCAGGCTGCGCACACCCCTACCCCTTCTCAGCGCTGGCCTCTGCCTCTCTCCCTCACGCTGTCCTCTCAAGGCCTTGTCTGGGAGGAAGTTCGACTACAGGGTGTTCGCCGCCCTCCCCTCTTCCAGACCTGTCTGTGACATGCAGGTACCGGGCCCTCTTGGCCCCTGTGCCTCCTGTCCGCCTGGGCCGCACCCAGCCCCCGCCCCGCCTGCAGCACCTTCCCTGTCTTTCTGGGGCCGGACCTGCTCCTGGGGTGTGGGGCCACCCCACGCAGGCTCGTGTGGGTGGTTTCAGGCAGGTCGGGGGCAGAGCCTTGACCCAGCCCTTGTCCCCACCACAGTCCCCAGATTTTGCTGAGGAGCTGAGGTCCTTGGAGCCATCTCCCAGCCCCGGTAAGTGGCCAGGCCAGGCCAGGCCAGGGTTGTGCCCTGGGTACCTGGCCCCCTCGACTCACTGCCCCCACCTCCCCCTGCCAGGCCTGCAGGAGGACGGCGAGGTGGCCATGGTGCTGCTGGGCAGGCCCTCGCCGGACGCCGTGGGCCCCGAGGAGGTGACGCTGTGCAGCAGCCGCCGCCCAGTGCGCGCAGGTCGCCGCGGCCTGGGCCCAGTGCCCTCGTAGGGGGTCGGGGACCCTCCCCCCGGACTTGGGGTGGGGGCCCTGCCAGCTCCAGCACCACCCGCGCCCCAAGTCTTTTAACCTGGTTGTTAGCATTTTAAAGCGAGTTCTGGCCGCCGACTCACTGCCCCCTCGCCGCACCCCAGCCGGGACCTCTCGGCAAGACTGTAACTAGTGACGTTTGTACAACCAAAGACTCTATTTTGTGGTTTAAGGAGAATAAAATTGACTGCGTTTTACCCTGGTTTGAGTGTCTGCGCCCACACCCCCCCTCACCTCTGCTGCCCGTGAGGCCGAGGCCCCTGGCAGGGAACCCCAAGATCCCAGGTGGCTCTGGCTGCCCCACGCTGTACTGCTCCACGTCAGGAGGGACTGGTTGGCCTGCCTGCCGGCCCCCAGATGGGGACGCACCTCGCACCCAGTGCCTGCAAACTGGTGTCCCCCGGCAGGGGCTCTGGTCTGACGGGGGCTGTGGACACACGCTGAGCCCCACCCTGTCCCAGATGCACAGACACACACAGCGGCCGACTGAGGGCTTCACTTTATTGGTGCTGGGCACTAGCGGCCTCCACTGGGCAGCTGCACCCTCACCGGGAGCAGGACCTGCAGCTGCTCAGCTGGGGGCCACTGGACCTTGGTGACAAAGAAGAGACGGAATTGCTCCAGGCGCGCCTCCTGGAACTGGGTGGGGCCGTACTCCGGCCCATCGGTGGGCCGAAGCAGAGACAGGTACCTGTCCTGCTGCAGCAGCCGGTGGCTCAACAGCTCCTGCGCCAGGCCCGGCTGCACTGCCTCCAGCTGCTGCTGCACCACTGGGAACAGGTCCACCTCCCGCAGGTCGAACACCAGCGGCTTCCCGTACCTGCAGGCAGGGCCGGTGGTGAGAGCGGGGCGGGGCGGGCGAGGGGGTGTGCCCCACCCCTGACTCACCTGAGTGCTCCCAGCAGAGCCAGCCGGACCCGCTCTGGCTGCAGGTGGTCCGGGTTCACGGTGTCCAAGTAGTTGGTGTCCTGGTAGCGCAAGAAGGTAGCTGCCTGGCCTGAAGGGTCAATGACAAGAGGCCACCTGGGGGCAGCCACCGAGTCATCGCTGGTGCACAAACCCTTCTGCCTACCCCTCGCCCAGCTCCAGCCATTGACCTGCCGTCCGCGCGGATGCGGTCGCCCACGTCCTTCATCAGTACATCGTGCAGCTCAGTGACCTGGCACGTCAGCCCTGGGGGCTCCTCCTCCCCTGTGGAGACAGAAGGGTGGGGCAACCCACCGGAGCTCCCAGCTGCGCACCCCTCCCGGGCCTGGCCGCTCCAGCCCCCAGGCCCCGGCCTGAGCCCTGCCCACCCTGCTGGGTCTGCTCCCGCAGTTCCAGTCTGGCCATGGCCAGTGTCTCCTCAGCCTTCTGGGCCTCCTGCCGTAGCCTGTCCACTTGGGCCTCTGCGTCCTTGATGGCCTGGGGGAAGGGCCCACGCAGCTCAGACCACAGCTGTACCCCTCCGCTCCGAGAGCCCCCCGCCTCCTCCCCATGCTGGGGAGCAGGCGGGCCCCAGAGCCCCCGGCCTGGAGGGAGAGACCTCACCTGCAGCGTGAGCTCAGCCACGCCCACACGCCTCTGCTCACACTTGTCGTGCTCGGCGATCCTCCGGTTGAGCTCGCAGTAGGCCTGCTGCAGCTGGGGTAGCGGGTGGTGGGGCTGCCCTGGCCGGTCTTGCCAGTGGCCCCACTGCCCTGTGCCCGCCCTCCTCTGCAGCTCCAGCCCCAGCCCCTGAGCCCGGCTTCTGGGCGGCTGCTCACTTCTTTGTGACGCTGCTGCTGCTCCTTAGCCAGCTGCTGCACTTTGAGGTTCATGCTGGGGTGGGAGGGAACAGGTCAGAGCAGCCCCTTGTGGGGGGCACCGGGCGGGGGGGCCCTCCCTGGGCTCACCGCTTGGCCTCTGCCTCCCTGTGCCGCTCCGCCTCCTGGGCCCGGCGCTGCCGCTCAGCCTCCATGTTCCGGAGCATGGCCTCTGTGAGGCTCAGGTCCCAGGACTGCAGCGCGCAGGCCACGGCGTCCAGCGAAGCCACCTGGTGGCAGGGTCCTGTCAGGGCCCGTGCTGCCTGGAGCCTGGGGAGGCCATGCTGCCCCGTTTTAGGGGAAAGGCTGCCGCTTGCCTGGGAGCCTCAAGCATCAAGGCACAGCTCCCTCCAAAACAGATGCCCCAGGGTCCCCTCGGCGGCCCTGCCGGCACCTCCACAGCCAGCCTTGTGTCGCTGTCCCCGACACAATTCCTCCTCCAGTGAGGAACTGATCCCTCCCCCTGGACATAGCTCCTGGGACCACCCTTGCCCACACCCACCCCCAGCAGCCACAGCCACTGGGCCCCCCCCAAGCCCCACCTGCCCACTCAGGAGTGATAAAGGGACCCAGACTCTGGGTTGGCTGGGGACGGGATGGGGCTCTGGACTCAGGTGCTACTCCACGAGTATTTCCTTTGTGGGCAATTGAGCTGTGCATTCTTGATTTGTATTTTCCAAAAGAAAGGTTAAAATGTGTAAAATCAAGGAGTGTGTGCATGACAGGTGGCAGACAGATGAGCGAAGGGAAGAAGGGAGGAGCCGGACAAATGCATGGAAGGGCCAAGGGGCCAGAGGAGGTGCGAGTGACTTAAAGAAACTGTGGATTCTTACTTCAAAGAGCAGCAGTGGTCATTTGTCATTTATGGGCCCGAGTCTGCTGGAAACTGAGCCAAGGAACCTCATCCGTCCCCTCACTGAGCTCCAAAAAGCCCCGTTCATGAAAACAGGGACTGAGAGTCAAGTCGGTCTAAGAATTTGCCAAAGATTAGTTTGCACGTGGAACTGGAATGAACAGGAAACTAAATGAATGGCCAGATGCAGTAGAAGAGCAGAGTGTGACGGCCGAATTTACGAGTGAGCTCACGAGTGGATGGAAGTACCGATGGATTAAACGATTTTAAAAAACTTACATCGCATTAACTGAATGGATGAAGCCAAACCAATACATAAAAAAAAAAACCATAAATAAAGGGATTTCAGGGATGGGCAGTGAGACGAGCGGCTGGGTGGACCGGCTGGGTGGACCGGCGGGGGAGTTCAGCCTTTCAGCCCCATTTCTGAGCGCCTCTGCGGAGACCCCCAGGCGGCGTGGCCGGGGAGCAGCGCCGTGGCCTGGGCGCGGCCCCCGCGTTCTCGGAGCCTCCTTCCCGTCCAGCAGATGGTGCCTGGGTGCGAGAGGCCGGATGTCTGAAGCGCTCGCAGAAAAGTGAAGATGAGGGACGACCTCAGATGTCACGAGGGTAGGACAGACGCGGCGACCAGCGTGCAGACCGATGCGTTGACGGGCAGAGAAAGAGGACTCTCGGTGATGGAATGAAGCGATAACGGTGGAGCAACTGCTGGGCGGGGGCGGGCCTGGCTGTGAGAACAGGGCCGAGCGGGGAGCTGCGGGGGAGGGGTGCGGCCCCAAGGCCCGTGGGCCCTGCTGCTGTTTCGCGCGCTCCTCCTCCAGACGCCATTGGGTTCTGCCCCATGTTCTGGCTCCGCTGGTGGTCATGTCCTGGTGAGGGACTGATCCCTCCTCATTAGGAAACGATTCTTCTATCCCTGGTAACAGTCTCTGGTTTGAAATGTATTTTTCTGATGTTAATGTAGCCACTTCAGCTTCCATATGCTTAGTGTTAGCCTGGTATATGTGTGCCCATCCTTTTAATTTTTACCTGTCTGTGTCCTTATTTCTTTTTTACTTTTTGGTCTTTATATATATTTTAAATATATCTTATTGATTATGCCATTACAGTTGTCCCATTTCCCCCGCTTCACACCCCTCCACCCTGCACACCCCTCCCCCACTCCTCCCTTTTCGTTCATGTCCATGTGTCACAAGTTCTTTAGCTTTACATTTCCCACTTATGATACTTATTCTCTGTACTTTTCCCCCCTCTCTCGTCCTCCCACTCCCCTGTCGCTAACCCTCCATGTGACCTCCATTTCTGTGGTTCTGTTTCTGTTCTAGTTGTTTGCTTAGTTTGCTTTTGTTTTAGGTGTGATTGTTAGTAATTATGAGTTTGCTGTCATTCTACTATACATGTTTTTTATCTTCTTTTTCTTAGATAAGTCCCTTCAACATTTTATATAATAAGGGCTTGGTGATGATGAACTCCTTCAACTTGACCTTATCTGAGAAGCACTTTATCTGCCCTTCCATTCTAAATGGAAGCTTTGCTGGATAGAGCAATCTTGGATGTAGGTCCTTGCCTTTCATGACCTGGAAGACTTCTTTCCAGCCCCTTCTTGCCTGCAAGGTCTCTTTTGAGAAACCAGCTGACAGTCTGATGGGAACTCCTTTGTAGGTGACTGTCCCCTTAGCTCTTGCTGCTTCTAGGATTCTCTCCTTCATTTTTATTTTGGGTAATGTAATTGTGATGTGCCTTGGTGTGTTCCTCCTTGCGTCCACCTTCTTTGGGACTCTGAGCTTCCTGGATTTCCTGGAAGTCTATTGCCTTTGCCAGATTGGGGAAGTTCTCCTTTATTTGTTCAGATAAGTTTTCCACTAGTGGCTGTTCCTCTTCCCCTTCTGGTACCCCTATGATTCGGATGTTGGAACATTTAAAGATGTCCTGCAGGTTCCTAAGCCTCTCCTCATTTTGAATTCTTGTTTCTTCGTCCTTTTCTGTTTGGTTGTTTCCTCCCCCTGGTCCACTCCATTACTGGAGTCCCAGTTTCCCTCCCATCACTGTTGGTTCCCTGTGCATTCTCCTTATTTCACTTTTAATAGCCTTCGTTTTTTCATCTAATTTGTGACCAAATTCAACCAATTCTGTGAGCGTCCTGATCGACAGTGCTTTGAACTGTGCATCTGAGAGGTTGGCCGTCTGTTCATCGCTTGGTTGTATTTGCTGTGGAGCTTTGATCTGTTCTTCCGTTTGGGCCTTTTTTTTGGGGGGGGGTCAGGTTGCACCTGTTACGTGTCAGGGGCAGAGCCTTAGGTGTTCACCAGGGCTGGGCAACCCAGTTGCTGTGTTGTGACGCTGTATGTGGGGGGAAAGTCCAAGAGGTAACAGTGCCACTTGCTCAGCTCTTTACCAGTTTTCAGTCACTTCCACTGCTTCCCCCAAGCAAACTGGGCCCTTCTGGTGCTGGTTCCTGGGTGGGTGGGCTTGTGCACCTTCTAGGACCCTGTGGGTCTCTCCAACAAAATCTCCTGTGAGGCTGGGAGTCTCTCCCTGTGCCTCAGCCCCCACGGGTGTTTTCAGTCAGTGTTTTGAGGCTTTATTTCCCTGTGCTGGGACCCTGGGTTGCACAGGGTGTTGCTCCCTAATTCCGCCTGGTTTATCTGCATGGGAATGTGGGACCACCCGGTCAGCCGCCTTGCGCACAGGGCCTCGCTGGGTCTGCCCATTGCCATCCTGCGCCCAGGGTCTGCCCGCTGCTGTCTTGCGCGCCCGGGGTGCCTGTCACGCCCGGTGCCACTGCTTTTTGTGCCTCGACCCGTCTCTGCCCGGCCGCCCAACTCCACCCCACCTACCAGTCTGGATGAACGTGTCTATTTTATTTCCTTGGTTGTCCGACTTCCATACAGTTCAGCGTTCTGTCAGTTCTGGTTGTTCTTTTGTTCCCAAATTGTCCTGATTTTGGTTGTGGGAGGAGCCACAGTGTGTCTACCTACACCTCCATCTTGTCCAGAAGTCTCTCTCTGTGTTTTAGACCTACAGTTTGCGTCTTATAGACAGAATACAGTTGGATTTTTTAAATTCAAAATGACACCTCTGCCTTTCAGCTGGGATGTGTAGGCCTGACCCTTCATGTAACCCTCGAACAGCTGCGTTTGAAGCTGCCAGCCCGTCCGCTCTTTCTTCTCCTTTTCCTGTTTTCCTTCCCCGTGTGGATTGCACACACTTTGGAATTCCATTTCAACTCCCTGGTGGCCGTCTCGCTAGCCACAGCTCTTCGTGTTCAGTGGCTGTTTTAGGGTTCACAGCTGAGACATCACAGGCTCCCTCCGGCCACCTCATGTGCGCGATGAACCGGCCTGCAACCCAGGCATGTGCCCTGACTGGGAATCGAACCATGATCCTCTGGTTCGCGGGCCCGCACTGAAACCACTGAGCTACACCAGCCAGGGTGCATCTCGATTATTTTTGCTTCTTCAGTGATCTTTTCAACAGATTTAAATGATGAGGGTGTGTCCCATGTATGTGACTGTGACAGGTGTGCTTCCTAGTGTCCCTCACTCCTTCGTGGGGACACAGCTTGTGTCTGGTGTCCCTCCCACGCACCTCGGCACTCACATTAACATTCTTACAGCCCGAGCCTGCGGGTGTCGGTTCTTTCGGCTCCCTTACATCCACCAAGGTCTTTATTTCGCCTTCAGCGTTGAAGACTTCCTCACTGGGCACGCAGCTCAAGGCTGGCGGGTTTTTTCTCCCTTCGGTACTTTGAAGGCACTGCCCCACTCTCTCCTCCCCTCAACACCCCCGGGGGGCCCTGAGCCCCTTCCTCTGCGCAGGTCTCTTCTCATGGGCCCCTGCAGCCGCAAGCTGCCCCCGGAGCCCTGGCTCTGAACCATCTCCCTAACTCGGGAGTCGGCCCTGCTCCACCCTGATGTTAGCTTCCTCACCCCCGCCCCCGCCCCCGCCCGGGATTCTCTTGCATGTCGAGCTTGGCAACTGCTCGGCTGATCTTCAGCGTCTTGGGGACCGACCTGTCCTCCGATGTCCAGGGCCTTCCAGGCATTTCCACATCACGGCCGAGCTCGCCAAGGAACAGGGGCCTGTGGTGCGGATGGGCCCGGGCTGCCAGCCGTCGCCCACTGCAGAGCATCTGGGGGCTTTGGTTTGGGGCTGTCATGCAGAACACTGCTGCGACCAGGTGTGTGCACCTCCTCCCTCGACCCTCCCCCCACCTGGCCATAGCAAGGACAATCTCCATTTCACGGGAGCGAGGGCACCAACTCACATGGTTAATGTCCCGCCCCCCAGTGAGGGCCCCAGGCCTTCTGCGTCCGCCCTGCCATGGCTTCAGCTCTCCTGCCGGGCAGGGGGTGAGGTCGAAAGTGTCACATCTGCTTGCTTCCACTGTCCCTTCCTGAGTGACATTTCTGCTTGTGTCCTTTGCCCACTTTCGAAGCAGGTGGTAGGCCAGTTTACGGTGGTATTTTGAGTCCTTCTTTACATAAACCCTCTCTCAGATGTGTGGTTTGCAAATGTCTTCCCTGGCTGCAGCGTGTCTTGTCATCTTCTTAATGGAGCAAAAGTTTTACATCTTGCCCTGGCTGGCGTAGCTCAGTGGATTGAGTGTGGGCTTGTGAAACAGAGGGTTGTGGGTTCGATTCCCAGTCAGGGCACATGTCTGGGTTGTGGGCCAGGTCCTCAGTAGGGGGCGTGCAAGAGACAGCCACACATTGATGTTTCCCTCTCTCTTTCCTTCCCTTCACCCCTCTCTAAAAATAAATAAACTTAAAAATATATTTTTAAAAAGTTTTACATCTTTATGAAGTCCACCTGGAGATTTTTTTCTTTTATGGGTCGTGTCCTTTGTCTAGGAATTCTTTGCCAGCCATGCGTATCAGACATTTTCTAGTGTGTTCTTCTAAAGCTGTTATTGTCCATGCCGTCCACATCCAAATCTGTGGTTTGTTTTGAGTCCACTGTTTTTAGAAGGTGAGAGGTCAGGTTCATTTCTTTGCCCATGATGTCCAATGATCCAGCTCCATTTGTTGAAAAGACTGTCCTTTCTGGCATCCAGGGTGCCCCCCAGGCACCACTGGCCTGCCCCTCCCCCCACCTGTGTGCTGCTCTCCTTAGGGCTTTATCCCTGTGACCCCCCCTACTCCCCAGCCTGCTGTGTCCCCGTCAACCCTAGGCACCGACTGCAGTGGAATGTCTTCAACACCCTCGGGCAGCCCCTGAACACTTCTCGACCTTCTGGGGTCCCCTGAGGCCTAGTGTGCATGTGGGGAATGACCTGCCCAGAGCTGGGCTCCTCCGGTGCCCTGGGGCGGCCCCTTGTGGCCCGGCCCGTCTGCGGAGGCAGCCAGGCCCTTCGACTTTCTGGCCTCCTTCCATTTGTGAAGGCAAAGTTCTGCTGCTTATCCTGCCCACCCACCCATGGATATTAAAGGGAGGAAGACTTCCGTTCAAGATGGCGGTGTAGGAAGACATGGCTCATGTCTTCACGCAACCACAACAAAATTACAACCAAAATACAGAACCACCATCACTCAGAAATGGCAGAAATTGGGTTGAATAGAAGTTTGACAACTACGGAATTAAGCCACATCCACCCAAGTTGGTAGGAGGGCAGCCGTGGAACGGGCTGGCCCCATGCCCATGTATGGTGGATAAAAATTTGGAAGAAATATCTCAGGAGCAAAGAGTCCCAGCCCCACACCAGGATCCCCAGCCCAGGGTTCCAGTGCCAGGAAGAGAAGTCCCCACAACTTCTGGCTGCAAAACCAGCAGGGGATCGAGTTGGTGGAAGAAACTTCTGGAGCCCCAACCAGTTCCTCTTAGAGAACCCACTCGGAGACTCGCCTACTCAGACTCATTCCCTCTGAGCTCCCCGACCAGGGTGGCAGCTTGAAGGGCACCAGTGGCATGAAGGGAGGAAGTGAAGTGTCTGGTATCAAGGTGAGCAGCGGCCATGGCCCCTTTTCTGGGCCCTCCCCTCACAGAGTCCGCAGACGGTGCCATATCTGAGACTCACCAACCTGTCTTACACTGTTTGGCCTGCCTTGGCCATCCCCTGAGGCTCTCTGCCCCGCCAAACTTACAGGCCCCCCCAAGCTGCTTTTCCATACGAATGACTAGTCTCGGCTCATACATCACAGCTTCCTAAATCCTCTCAAACAAGGAACAGCTGAACTCAGTGAGGCCCAGGCCAGCACTAGCAGCAGCCAGCCCAGACTCACGGCTTGGCTTCTCCTGGGCATCTCCAAGTCCAGCACAAGTAGCAGCCGTCTCAGATTGCTTTATCGCTCAGACAGGGTGGCCCAGGGCAGAACACAGGTGGGGGCTGACCTTGGCCTGCACCACTGGCCTGCACCCCAAGGGCCAGTGCACCCAGTGGACAGCTACAGACCACGTTGGAGCACCACCACCTGCCCCCGCACAGCTGATCCTCCACGGAGGGCGGAGGTGGGTGGTCAGTGGTCACAGCCAGTCCTTGCAGCTGACTGGCCTGGGTAAATCCCTCCCACTGACCAGCCAACAGCAACCAAGGCTGAACCACAAGAGGACCATGTACTCAGCCCACACAAAGAACACACCTTGAGTACCCAACCAGGGTGATGGGCGAGGCGGTGCCCTGGAAGTCACAGGACACCTACTGCATCAAACCACACGGCCAAAACAGGGAGTCAGAGCAGCTCTACCTAATACACAGACACAGACACAGGAAGTCTTCCAAAATGAGGAGACAAAGAAACATGGCCCAAGTGAAAGACAGATCAAAACTCTAGAAAAAGAAGTTAACAAATGTAGATAGACAATCTGTCAGATGCAGAGTTCAAAACACTGCTGATCAGGACGCTCAAGGAACTCAGCAAGGACTTCAGCAGCACAGAAAAGGCCCAGTGAGAAACGCAGGCGCGCTGACTGAAATAAAGAACAATGTACAGGGAAACAACAGCAAAATAGATGAAGCCCAGAATCGAATCAATGATCTGGAACATAAGGAAGCAGAAAACAACCTCGCAGAACGAAGGAGTGAGAGAATCCAACTAAATGAGGACAGTGTAAGGGCCTCCAGACAACTAACTGCAAGGGGCCCAGCATTCCCATCCCGGGGCGTCAGGTAAAGGAAGAGAGAAGGGGGAGGAGAAAGAGCAAGACACTAGAAAGTAATTTGAAACAATAATGGAAGAAAACTTCCCTAATTTGGAAGAAGAAACAGCCATGCAAGTTCAGGAAGAAGAGAGAGGCCACACAAGGACGCGTCATAATTAAAATGCTGGCGTCCAAAAGGATGAAAGAGACGGGGCGGGGGTTGGGGGAAGAGGCGAGGGGAGTCAGGAACAGGTGGTCCCCACAGAACAGCGTGGGGATGTGAAGTCCAGTGTAGGAGAGGGAGAAGCTGAGGAACCTGCGGGAGTGACCCATGGACATGGTGGGGGCGGCGGATGGCCTGAGGGAGCGGGGCGGGGGTGCTGGGTGGAGGGGGGCATAGGGTGAAAGATCAGGAGAACTGTAATAGCATAATCAATAAAACATAATTAAAAAAATAAAAGATTACCACTAAAAATAAATAAATAAAAAAGATAAAGTTGAGGGTTCATTTGCAGACTGCAGGGGAGCGAGGGGGGCCCAGAGCAGCATTCCCGGGAGGCAGCCTGGGGGTGGCGGTGGGGCCCTGGGCACGGGGTCCCCGACTGAGCAAGGACCCTGGCAGCTCCTGTGTGGAAGCAGGGGCTCAACAGACAGACCCCAGGCTGACCCCGGGCTTCACCGCTGGGGGCGCATTTCAGGTGGGGGGGACAGAGCACTGAGATGGGACATGCCCTGTAGTTTTCAAGTCAGGTTCACGTAAAGAAATTAAAGAAGTGACTCTGGCTGGTGTGGCTCAGTGGCCTGTGCACCAAAGGGTCGCCAGTTCGATTCCCAGTCTCAGGGCACGTGCCTGGGTTGCAGGCCAGGTCCCCAGTAGGGGATGTATGAGAGGCAACCACATGTTGATGTTACTCTCTTTCTCTTTCTCCTTCCCTTCCCCTCTCTATAAAAATAAATAAAATCTTTTTTAAAAGTTAAAAAAAAAATAAGGAAGTGGCACTTGGCCACCTGACTTCCCCCACACCCACAAGGCCCTGGGGGACATGGCGTCTGGGCCAGGGAGACCCTCCCGCCTGCAGCCAGGCTGGCCCCCTGTGGGGAGAGGCGTGGCTGACGGGGGGGGGGGGGTCCCTGGTAGCCCAGAGCAGTAGGACTGTAGAGACGGACACGAGAGTGAGGGGCGGGTGAGTGGGCCAACCCCAAGTAGCCGGCCTCGGGTTCCCCTGCCTCCGACCTGCTCTGGGGTGCTTCCGTCATCTGCGTACACCCTGGGGTCTGCTCCGAGCTCCAGGAGCACCTCCACAGCCTCCAGGTGGCCCCCGAAGGCAGCTCGGTACAGGGGTGTCCGGCCGAAGGCGCCCTGCAGGAGGAACGTCTGAGCCGGGCCGGCACGGGAGCTGCACCTGCCGCCCGCCCGCCGCCCGCAGCCCCGGCTCCCACCTTGCAGTTGGGGCTGGCGCCCTGCGCGGCCAGCAGCCTGATCGCCAGGGGCTGCCCGCCTGCCGCCGCCTCGGACACGGGTGTGTTCCCACGGGCATCCTCACACTCCAACAGGGCCACGCGCTGCTGCCGCCGCCGCACCAGGCCCGCCTCGTCGTGGCCCACGCCCTCGGCGGTCAGCAGCTCATCCACCTGCGCCCAGGCAGGGTCACCTGAGCCCTGCTGCTGCCCACCCGCCCCGCCACCCATGCCCACCGTTGCCCCGCTGACCTCCCGCAGGATGGCGGTGATCTCCCCCAGGTTGCCCTCGAAGGCTGCGTCGAGCAGGCGCGCCTGGCGCTGCCGCTCCTCCTGCCGCCGCAGCTCAGCCTTGGCCTCCTCCTCCCGCTGGCGTCGGGCCGCCTCCCGCTCCCGGTGCACCAGCGTCAGGAAGGCCTGGAAAGGACAGGACCCTGAGGCCGCATCCTCCAGCCCTGTGGTGCCAGCGTACCGCGCTTTCTCCCCTGGGACCTGACACCACGGGCCTGGGATGCAGGCTCCAGGGAGGCCCCCACCTGCTGCTGCAGCCTCTCCATCTGCTCCCGGTACTCCCGGTGCTCCCGGCGACGGCGGGCCAGCTCCTTCCTCGCTCGGAGCCGCCTGAAGGCACACTGGATGACAGTGGCTGCCTGGTCCTCCTCAGTGGGCCCTGGGTGAGGAGAGGGCTCCTAGACCTGCGCTCCCCTCTGGTCCAGGCAGCTGCTGGGCTCCGTGCCGGGTGTGTGAGCCAGGGCAGCCCGAGTGGCAGGCCTCGCCCACCCGGCCCGACTGAGGGGAGAAGGTCCCAGTTCCACAGGCCCGGCCAGAACACCCCGGCCACCAGCAGGGAGTGAACGAGGAAGGGTGAGGACGGCCCCAGGAACCAGCAAGAAGGACCCGGGTCTCCGCTGGAGTCTGCGGACACAGCTGGGACACTGCCAGCCATCGAGCCGCCCCCCTCCACCCCTCCCTTGGGAAGACAAGCTGCAGACACTGGCAGGAAACCAAGGAGGGCGGAGAGAAATGGCCTCTGGCAGGGAAGTCACTATGGACCTCACAGGATCCTCGCCCCGGAAGCGCTGAGACAACACAATCAAGGCCCACAGGGCGGAGGTGGGGACTCAGCCACCAGCCAGCCGGCCCCAGGGAGAGGGAGCCCCTGAAGGGGGCGCCACACGGCACCACGCAAGGCAGCCTGGCCACCTGAGTGCGGCAAGCCCCAGACCGCTGGCCTTCATGAACAGTGGCCTGGCCTGCCGCAGGCTCAGGAAGCCCCGTGGAGGCTGTGTCAGGAAGACAGGACTGGGACCCAGGCCAGGGGCTCAGGCCCCAGGAAGGAGTGGGAGAGGTCAGGCGCACCACACCCCCTTTTCCTGGGAAGGTCTCCACGGTTGGCTCCAGCCACCAGAGGGCGAGAGCTCACAGGGCAAACAACACAGTGGCTTGTGCTCTGGGTGGAAGCAGGCCGTCCCCAAGCCCAGGCGCTGAACGTTGAGGGGAAGGGGCTCCCAATGAGGCTGCACCCTGGGGAGGTGCACGGTGCCAGCTGCCCAGCCCAGCCCTCCCCTGGAGAGAAAGCAGGTGCAGGGGAGGTGGGAGCAGGGAGGACGGGGCTCCCCACTTGCTCCCGGGAGGGGCACGTTGCTCTGTGTGTGCAACGGCCCACCCCCTAGCACACTGACAGGCCTGCTCGTCTGCACCCGCGTGCACACGGTCGCACACATACACATGCACATACTCTCCCAGATGCACACTCGCACATACACCCTGCAAGACCCGGCCCGGGACAGCCTGCTTCCCACCAGCCAGCCCCGAGCCCTCCCCACCCCCTGCGGGCCACAGAGCAGGGGCAGGGCGTGGCTCTCACCTGCAGGGGCCTCTGGGCACTCAGGGGGCGCAGGCCCCAGCACCTGCTGGCCAGTCTTCCCTGGCAGCTGCTGGCGGCTCTGTCCTGGCTTCGCTGGGGGTGTGGGGCGTCAGTGAGGTCGGTGTGTGCACCCATCCCCCACCCACCTCAGGAGGCATTTATGGGCCACCCGTGGGGCCGCTGCCGCGTCCCGGCTGTTGAGGAGCGTCCACCCCCCTGACAGCTTTAACAAGCGGCCAGGCCGCGTCCCACCTGGAATGCACAGAGCGCACACGTGCCTCAGGGGTGGCGGTGCCTGCCGTGCAGAAGGCAGCACCACCCTGCACCTGGGCCCTGAAGCCCCAGGGGCTGGGGAGCCCAGGCGTGTGAGGTCTCAGGTCAGCACCCCGCTGCTGGCCCTCCCCACCCTCCTCCCTCTCCCTGTGGTCACCCTGTGCTGGGGCCGAAGTCGGCTTCTGGGTCCCCAGCCTCGGGGCAAAGGCTGAACCTGGGCGGAGGCAGGGCTGAGCCGGGCAAACCGGCCCAGCCAGTATGGCAGAGCTGGCGGGTGGGCCTGGGCGTGGGTGTGAGTCAGCTGCGGGCCTGGGGAAGCGCTGCCCCCTCCCAGCAGGAAGCCCAGGGGACGCTGGCTCTCTCTGGTCCTGCGTCCCCCACTCAGAGGCTGGCTGGGGGGCTCATCAGGGCTCCATTCCCACGGGCAGAGCCAGGTCCGTTCCCAGACCCCCAACCCGGGGAAGCTTCCAGAGCCCCTGCCGCACCCCCCTCAGTCCGCAGACGGAGCCTTTCCAAGCCCAGTCTCGGCCTCCAGACCCCAGGGTGGGCAGACCCCAGAGTCCCGGGGCTGGGCTGGAGGCTGGGTCCCCCCCGCTGTGCTCCCAGCTGGGGAGGGGGGGCAGCTCTGCCCTGCTGGCCAGTCTCCCACCCAAGCAGGTCGGATGGCCTGCGGCCATGGAGGGCCCTGTCAGGGTGGCCAGTGCGGGCGAGGGTGCAGCTCCTGGCCCTGGGGGCTGGAGTCTGAGTCCTGAGACCGGGGACAGGATGGGGTGGGGGTGCCCGCCCAGGGCAGGACGGGACTCGCCCTGCATGCAGCTGGCGGTCTGGCGGGTGAGCGTCACCTCCTCCAGTTTTCCCCAGTCTCCCTCCCTGTCTGGCCAACGAGGCCCGTGGCCCGTAAAGTCCTGTGCCCTGTGTCAGCACGTTAGTCAGCCTCTGCCAGGTGAGCCGTCGCCGGCAAGTCCCTATAAACTCTGCGGCGTGGCCAGGCTCACTGAGTCGGCCCGTGAGGCCCACAGGCAGAGCCAGGGCCAGAGTCACAGTGCCGTGGGCACCAGCCAAGGGGCAGGGCAGGCACGAGGGACAGCAGCTGCTGAGGGCCGAGTGTGGCCTTCGGGCTGCTCTCCGGGCCCCCAGGAGCAGACACCAGATCCCAGCCATGTCCGGGAAACGGAGCAGAGCCCGTAAAGCCCGAGCCAGGAGGGCGGGCAGGGCCCAGCAGGCCGCAGGGCAGCAGAGCCCTGAGGCCAAGCCCCCTCCCTCCCACGCAGAGGGCCCTCAGGATGAGACAGGGGTGGCCCCTGTGGGGCACGTGACCAGCAGCAAGCCAGCTCCCCAGGGACACCCCAGGGTGGCCAGGCCAGAGCAGCCACAGGCAGCAGAGAGGCCAGTGCCAGCCGCTGCTCCGGGGTCCCAGCTGGCGCTAGTCCCCACTGTGGACATGGAGGGCTGCCGGGCCGGGGGCCACATGCCGAACTCGGGCCCCAGGCTGCTGAGGCCCCACGAGGTCCCGCTGTGCCTGGCCCAGGAGCAGCTGCAGCTGGAGGACCGGCGACGCCAGGTCCAGCTGCAGATGCAGCTGTGGCAGGAGGAGCAGCTGTGGCTGCAGCAGCTGCAGGAGGAGCAGCTGTGGAGAGAGCAGCTGTGGCAGGAGGAGCAGCTGTGGCTGCAGCAGCTGCAGGAGGAGCAGGCCTGGGTGCGCATGGAGGGGCTGGAGCTGGCCATGGCCCTGGAGCGACTCCGGAGCGAGGGCCTTGAGGCGCTGCCGGCCCAAGGCCAGGTAAGGCCTGGGGAGCCTGGGCTGGCGGAGGCTCAGACAGTCTTGGGGGGGTGACCACGTGAGCAACCTAGAGGTGCCTGCAGAGGCCCGGGAGACAGGCTGGCCCTGGGACAGCTGTGGGCCCCTTGTCACAGCTGCCAAGTGGGGCTGGTGCCGCACACACAGGGTGCTATGGAGACCATGGGGCAGCAGGCCTTCTCAGGCCAGGCTCGGCCGACAGCGGGTGCCCAGACGGGACACCAGCTCGGGGAAACTGAGGCAGAGGTGTTCCTGCAGAGGCCCCGGGCGTCCTGGCCCGGTGCCGTCTGGGGCAGTGCTGGGGCGGACAGGGTGGCGGCCGGGAGGATAGGCAGCAGAACTGGGGAGCAGGCCCCCAGCCTGGCTTCCCGGTGCACCCGCCCCTCCTGTTTATTACAGCGCGTGCTCCGGGCTCGACCGCAAAAGCCGCCGGCGGTGCCAGAGCCATCGTCCTCGTTCCTGGAGGAAGGCCGCCTCAGACGCGGCTGGGGCTATTTGTGGGAAGGTGGGTGTTGCCTCGGCTTGGCATGAGACCGGTCACCACCATCCAGCTAGGTCCTGTGACTTCGGGGTTCCCAGGTTCCCAGGCCTTCCACAGGCCCACCCCAAGCAGAGGGGCTACCCCTGGGGGACAGGGTGGGCTCCCTCGGCAAGCACAGACCCTCACACAGGCCTGGGTGCTTGAGGAGCCTGGAGTCGCAGCCTGGACGGGGCTGGCAGCTTAGTGAAAACGTCCATGAGGACCGTGATGGAGAAAAGTGGGGCTCAGAGAAGGGGAGTGACAACCAGCGGCAGGGGGTGGCCTGAGAGCGGCAGCAGGCAGGGGACAGGCGGGAGGCCCCGGGGGACCAGAGGGTCAGGGTGGGCCCCGTCCTCACCGAGTTGTAAAGCTGTGCCCCTCTGAACACTGGCCCCGGGGCCCTGGGCCCTGACCCCAGCCCCAGGGCCTGCAGCGGACTGCTGACCTGAGTTCCCAGGGTACTGTACCCACGCCTGGCTCAGAGGAGGGGTGTCTCCTCGGGAGAGGGATGGGTCTCACAAGTTAGTGTCTGAGTGGGTGCCCTGGGGGCCGGAAGGCCCTCACTCACCTCTGCGCTGGGCCCCAGGGGTGGGCAGCTGCTGCTTCCCTGAGGCCGCTTTAGGCCCCCCCTTCTTACTGCTCATGCTCCTGGAGGGTGGTAGGAAGGGGGAGGAGGATGGGCTCAGGATGGAAGGGGCCGCGGGAACAGCACCACACTCGCCCTGGGCCTGGTGGACAGTCAGCAAGTGCCGGGTGGGAATGCAGGACCACAGGCACAGCCCTGTGCTGGCTCCCTGGCCACCTGCCCGCCCCTAGGTGCGCAGGTGGCAGCAGCGTGAGTGGGAACCAGGTTCCAGGTCCTGACTGCACCCCCAGGGCTGGCGTCCTGTATCCATCTCCCCGGCCCACAGCACGCTGAAGCCCAGCCCCACGCCACCGGCCCCTGTGCGCCCCGTGGCCTTCTTTGGTCCCTGCTTTGGGGTCGGCCAAGCAGACTAGGGGGAGGGGTGTCCTCAGGACCTGGAAGCCACACCCCTCCCCCTAGTCTGCTTGGCCGACCCCAAAGTTCCCGTCCCTGAGAGATCTCCCCTACCCCAGGCTGGGTCAGGGTCCCCTCACCTCCCCCACTGCCAGGCGCCCCACTGCGGCACCGTTGCCTGGCCACGGTCTGACCCCAGGCCCCAACTCCACCATGTTGGCCTCGGTGTAGGGCTGCTGAGTGCTTGGGATGGAATGACCCTGAAAACTGAGCAACCAGGGTCTGGTGGGGGAAAGGATGTGGAGGGAGGTGACTGGAGGCAGAGAGAGGACTCAGGCACTGTGACCTCAGAGGAGGGAAAGTGCTTGGGAGGTGGCAGGGGGCCCTAAGGGAGGCCCATGGCCCATGGCACACAGGCAGCCCTGGCAGCTGAGCGCTCGAGTGTGGTGCAGAAAGGGTGACTGAGCGGGGCAGGGTGTGCGCGGGCCCTGTTCTCGCAGTCAGGGCCCCTGGGGCTGGGGGACTCTCGGTGCTTCTGTGGAGTCTCATGTGCGTGCAGGGACGGAGGGAGGCCAGTGCATGAGGGTCCTCGTGTGTGAACGTCGGGGCGTGCCTGGTGACAGCACATGCCGGGCCTGGTGTGCACGGAGGGTCCACAAGTGTGCCTGGGCTGCTGTGTGCCTGGGGGTCCCGTCCGCATGGCAGAAGGGCTGGGATGTGGGGGCCGGTGCTCGTGGGGTTCCGTCCCTGTGCTGATAGGGGTGTGCAGCCTCTTCGAGTGGGCATGGGGTGCCTGTGGTGGGCCGGCGAGTACGTGGGAGTTGGTGTAGATGCGGGGTCCATCTTTGTGAAAAGGTTTCCGCTGTCCGCAAGGCTCCCCTATAGGCGTGGGCATCAATGTGGAGGGATGTGCACACAGGTTCCCTGAAAACCAGTAGGGTCCCAGGTACTTGCAGGCATCAGTGTGTGCGGGGAGTTCTCTGAGTCTGCACCAGAGTGGGGGGCCTCCCATGTGGGGGGGGGTTCGCTGTGCTCGCAGGGTGCGCAGGCCCAGCCGCGCCCCAAGCTGGGCGCCATCTCGCAGCCTCACTTGCCTCACCTGCCTCCCCAGCACCTGGGTTGCACCAGAAGCTCCGCCCCTCGCGTCCCGCTGGCCCGTTTCCTAGCGACTGAACCGGAACTTCCCAGTGACCTCGACTTCCGGGGCGAGGATTGGGGGTCGGGCGCAGGGACCTCGAGTCCTCGGTGAACAGATGGGGGCTCGGGACTCCAGAGGTCTCCGAGCGCTCCCGGCGGGGGTCCCAGGGCTCGCCGCTGGGGGGCACGTTGGGGCCCGGGGCGCTGTCGCGGCCCCGGGGCGGTGGGGCGGCGGCGGCGAGCGGGCGGAAAAATGCAGGCGCGCCGCGGGTGGGGCCGCCCCGCCCCCAGGTGCTGCCCGGGCAGGCAGGCGGCGGGAGCGGGCGGGGCGGGGGCGGGCTCGTGAATCAGGCCGCGCGGCAGGCGGGCCGCGGCAGGGAGTGGCCGCCGGACCGACCGGACCGCGAGGCCGCTGGGCGGCGGTCGGCTCCTGCTGTCTTTCTCTTGAGACCCCGCGCACCTGGCCAGGTAGGCCCCCTCCCCCGGCTGGGACGGGGCGGGGCGCGCGGGACAGGGAGGCCGCGGCTGGGCCGGTGGACTGGAGCAGGGTCCACGCGCGGTGCTCCCCAGCTCGGCCTCTCCCGGGCGGCCCTCCGGCCGGCACCTGTGCCGGGGCCGCTCCAGAGCCCGGTGGTGGGAGTGCGACAGCGGCTGCGTGTGCCGGACCTGGACGGGCGCGGCCGGGGCGGGGGGCGGGTAACGCCGCCGCCGCGTGAGCCGACCTGGATGCGAGCCCCCTTGCACGTAGCTGGCCCTGGAAGAGCCGGGTGGGCAGGAGCCCGAGGCAAGTCTGCGGAAAAGGGACTGACTCTCCCCGCCCCTGCGGCTTAGCTGACCTGTGGGGAGAGTGCTGGGCCGGTCCTGGACCCTTCCCCCGGGGAGCTCCGCCCAGGCCGCCATGGGAGCTGGGGCTCCGTGTGGTTCCCTACCTGGAGTTCGGGGAGGGCCGAAGGCCTGTTCTCTCGCGCCCACATCCCTGGACTGAGACAGGTGAATGGAACACTGCGCCGGGCAACCTCTAACTCCCTGGGTGGCACTGACTCCCTGCGCTTCGCACCCCGAAAACTGCAACACTTCAGTCCGTTGGCCCATCCTGGGACTCTCTCCCCCATCCACCTCCGGGCTCCTAATGCCCCTCAGTTCTTCCCTCAGGGACCCTCCTCCTCCTCCTCCCCTCCCCCAGCCCTACCTGGCACCAGATCCTGCCCTCCCTACTGCCGCTAGGAAAAGATCAGATCCACGGTCTGGAAGTTCCTGAGGGCGGGTCTGGAAGTCCCTGAGGGCCGGGGACACTTCGTCAGGCTGGGTCAGAGGTCAGAGGTCAGCACCAGGGAACAGATTCCTGCTGAGTCATCTGCCAGAGTGGGAGAAGAAGCTGCCCTGCCTGAGGGCAGGCACAGGCAGGCCAGAGTGCTGGGAGGCCGCAGTTCTGGGCTGGGGAGTGGCTCCTTTCCAGACCACAGTTCTGGGGTGCAGACCCACAAAAGGAGACAGGCGAAGGAGAGGGCGCTGAGGTCTTGGTGCTGCTGGGTGAACCCAGCAGGGCCGCCTCCAGACCTGATGAGCAGGTTCTTCACCCACCCCTTGCCCCTGGCCCCCAGAGTGTGCACCCTGGGCACTTGGTGCTGGATCCCCTCCCCAGTGAAGTCAGAGGGGACAGTGCACCTTCCAGAGAGTCACTCCCAAAGGTGACTCTCAGTGGGAAGTGCCACCGAGCCCTGCTGGACCTGTGTGTGCTTGTACCATGGAGCCCCCACTGTCAGATGCAGTGTGAGCGCCATGCTGAACAGCCGAGCTGGCCCCTCCGTGCACCCCCACGTGGGAGGCCTCGGTCTGGTCCTGGCAGAGCGAGGACTGTGTGGCTGCCTGTGTGACCAGGGGCTGGCTGTCAGGATAGCGCCCCACAGCGGTGTTGCAGCAGGTTGCCCTGGAACCAGGTGGCAGCTCTGCCCAGTGTCACCCAGGTGTCCCACACTTTCCATCCCCAGAGAAAGGGGACCAGGAAGGTTCCCCAGGTCACTACACGACCATTCCCTGACCCTTCTGGTCAGCCTGGCCCAACTGCATGTGGGGAGGGGCACATCCCGGAGCCATGCGGGAGCAGGAGGGGTGGGGCTCTCCTGGAGGAGGAGGACAGGTGTTCACATGCTCACAGGACACACATGGACGGGCCCCAGGAGCTGATGTGAGGCCCCTGCCTGGCCGGCAGGGCTTTCGGAGACCAAGGTGTGGGTGGAGAGGCTTGCTGGGAGCCCTGGACAGCCTGATGGCTACAGCAGAGGGCTCTGACTTCATGGGGAAAGCAGCGGGAACACAGGGCGGTGACGAGGAGGCTTGAAAAGATCTTGCCACACAGGCCTGGGCTTGGCTAAGACCTGGAACGGGCCTCTAAGCTCACGGGGGGGGGGGGGGGAGGCTGCAGCTCAGGCCTGCAGGGGTGTGAAGGGGCCTGCGGGGAGGGGCTTTCCTCCTGGGGCTCAGAGTGAGACTTTATGGGGTGGGTGCAGGGGTGGCCAGGGGCTGTGGATGAAGCTTAACCTGCCCCCCCCCCCCCCCCCCCCCCCCCCCCCCGCCAGAGGAAGGTAGTGACGATCTCTGTGCTGAGCTCACCTTGGGCCAGGTGTGCCGGCAGGGCAGCCTTGCCAGCTGCAGGTTGCGGGGAAGGCGAGGAGCCAGGGAGGCAAAGGTGCATGGCCCTGGGCCCCTCATCAGGGCTGGACAGGCAGTGTGCCACTCCACTTGTCTGGCCTACACAGTGCCAGGGGCCCACAGAAAGTCATTGTCATAAAATCAGAAGAAAAATGTGAATGTGTAATAAGCCATCCTGGATTGTATTTTCATTATACCAGCAATCACTGGGGGTGGCTAAAGCAGAAGTGCCCGCCCTGAGTGGGGCTCATGTGGAGCCAAAGCTCTGCCTGGGAGCTGGGGCGCCGGGCCCTCCCTGGGTCCTGGTGAGAGCGGGGGCCCAGGTTCAGTGGTCAGAGCCCTGGGAGAGAGTACTCTGCTGATGTTGCCCAGCTAGGGGGCATCCTAGGGTACGGTGTGCCCTGAAGGCCCCCAGGCCTGGGCGCACAGCAGCAGTGTGTCTGCTGGTGACCATGGGGGAGTGGGTGCAGGGCCGCTGCCCTGGTAATGTGTCTCCTTGCCCTGCCCGCAGGCCCCTGGCCCCAACATGGCCCGCCGCTCCCAGAGCTCCTCGCAAGGGGACAACCCGCTGGCACCCGGGTACCTGCCACCTCACTACAAAGAGTACTACCGCCTGGCAGTGGACGCACTGGCTGAGGGCGGGCCCGAGGCCTACAGCAGGTTCCTGGCATCTGAGGGTGCACCTGCTTTCCTGTGTCCCGAGGAACTGGACCATGTGACCCGCCACCTGCAGCCCCCACAGCATGTCACCCACGACCCCCCTGAAGGCAGCCCTCCCAACGTGGACATGGATGGCTCCTCAGGCACCTACTGGCCCGTGAACTCTGACCAGGCAGTGCCTGAGCTCGACCTGGGCTGGCCCCTGACCTTCGGCTTCCAGGGCACCGAGGTCACAACACTGGTGCAGCCACCACCGCCTGACAGTCCCAGCATCAAGGACGAGGCCCGAAGGATGATCCGCTCTGCCCAGCAGGTGCGCTGCCCTGGGCTCAGCGGGCAGTGTGAGACCGCCGGTGCTGGACCTGGGCGGGGTGGGGGCAGCTGCAGCAAGGGCTCTCTGGCCGCATTCTGGGGTCACCAAGGGTCTGCTATCGCAGGCTTCAAGCTGGTTGCTCCACAGAGGTTAGCTTGCTGGTGGTGGTCAGCGCTGGGGAGCTCAGAGGCTCCTGGTGGGTGGGCCTCCCAGCTGGGGTTCATTGTTCACATGCTCGTCTCTGTTCTTGACCCAGCTGAGGGCTGCTTATGCCCCCCGAGCAGCTGGCCAGCAGCAAAGGGGCCTGTCAAACCGCGTAGACAGGCAGCAGGTCAAGATGCTGAAGACCACTGTCTCTGCCCTCAGGGTTGGGGGCGTTAAGACATCCAAGGAGTTGGTGGGACTGCAAGGGTTTCACTCATCTTGCTTTGGCCCCATCCAGCGTTCTGACCCTAGGCAAGCCCGTGGCCCCGGCTGAAGGGCAGCCTTCCATCAACAGGGTGCCGGCCTTGTCCCTGCCTAGGGGTCCGTGAGCCCCCCACTCGGCCAGCAGCACACCTCCTCACCCCACCCCCACCCGTGTCCCAACAGGCCCCACCCTCCCCCGGGGTGGGCTAGTGACCATTTTGTACTTTGCGGGTGATCTAGAGTTATGGCTAGAGAATGGTAGGCCAGCAGAGGTTTCTGCCCCCGGGCCCTGACCCGACCCCGCAGGTGGTGGCCGTGGTGATGGACATGTTCACCGACGTGGACCTGCTCAGCGAAGTACTGGAGGCCGCTGCGCGCCGGGTCCCCGTCTACATTCTCTTGGATGAGATGAACGCGCAGCACTTTCTGGACATGGCTGACAAGTGCCGCGTCAACCTGCACCACGTGGATGTGAGTGGCGGGCAGGGGAGGGGTGTGCAGGGAAGGGAGGAAAACCCCTAGATACACCAAGCGCCTCTCTCTCCAGTTTCTGCGCGTGCGCACTGTGGCAGGCCCCACTTACTACTGCCGCACTGGGAAGTCCTTCAAGGGCAACGTAAAGGAGAAGTTCCTCTTGGTGGACTGTGCCGTGGTGATGAGTGGCAGCTACAGGTGCGTGCAGCCCCCGCAGCCCCAGCACCTCCCCACCCAAAGGCCTCCTCTCCAGAGCCCCTCTTGGCCTCTGGTCCCGCCCCGCCTGCTTCTGTGCTGGCTGCTCGGTCCGCCCCGCCCACCCCCCCCCCCCCCGCTCTGGCTCCGCCCCCAACTCTGACTCTGGCCCCACCCCACCCCCAGCTTCATGTGGTCCTTCGAGAAGATCCACCGCAGCCTGGCACACGTGTTCCAGGGTGAGCTGGTCTCCAGCTTCGACGAGGAGTTCCGAATCCTCTTCGCACAGTCTGAGCCGCTGGTGCCCTCGGCCGGGGCGCTGGCCCGCATGGACGCTTACGCCCTAGCTCCGTACTCGGGGGCTGGGCCCCTCATGGGCGGCCCGGGGATCGGGGCGCCAACCCCCTTCTCCTTCCCCAAACGAGCGCACCTTCTGTTCCCACCGCCTAGGGAAGAGGGCCTGGGCTTCCCCTCCTTCCTAGACCCTGACCGCCACTTCCTGTCTGCTTTCCGCCGGGAGGAGCCGCTGCGGATGCCCGGCGGCGCCCTCGAGCCACACGCGGGGCTGCGGCCACAGCCACGACGGTGGGATGCAGAGGCCGGGCCAGGTGCTGAGCTCGCAGGCCCGCGGGGTTTCTTCCAGGGGCGGCACCTGGAGATGGACTCCTTCAAGCGGCACAGCTACACGGCCGCTGACGGCACTAGCGGCGCTGTAGAGAACTTTGCAGCAGCACGGCAGGTGTCGAGACAGACGTTCCTCAGCCATGGCGACGACTTCCGCTTCCAAACCAGCCACTTCCACCGCGACCAGCTTTACCAGCAGCATTACCAGTGGGACCCACAGTCTGCACCCATGCGCCCGCAGGGCCTATTCGAGAAGCTTCGCGTTGGCCGCCCGGGCTTTGCAGATCCCGAGGACTTCGCTTTGGGTGCTGGGCCACGGTTCCCCGAGCTTGGCCTGGATGGACACCAGCGGCTGGACTATGTGCCATCTAGTGAGTCGCGCGAGGTGCGCCATGGTTCGGACCCGGCCTTCGGGATCGGACCCCGCGGCCTGGAACTCGGTGGGGCCCCACGCCCCAACCTGGGCCAGCGCTTCCCCTGCCAGCCAGCAGCAAAGCTGGGCCCTGAGACTGGACCGGAGGCCGAGCCTGAGCACAGGGGTGGGCCGGAGGGGCGGGCAGGGCTGAGGCACTGGCGCCTTGCCTCCTACCTGAGCGGCTGCCATGGGGAAGACACGGGCGTGGAGGGCCTGCCCATGGAGACCGAGGCCTTGGAAGAGGATGTGCTGGCTTCCCCGGGGGGCAGGGCGGCTGCTGGGGACCTGCTTCCTTCAGCCTTCCGAGTGCCCGTGCCCTTCCCGGCCAAGGGCCCAGTGCCCGGCCCTGGCAGCGGTGGTGGCGAGGGCCCAGAACGTGAGGGCCTGGAGGAGGCAGGCCTGGCCAAGCAGGACTCCTTCCGCTCACGCTTGAACCCGCTGATCCAGCGCAGCTCGCGACTTCGCTCCTCACTCATATTTGCATCGCAGGCTGAGGGCACCAGTGGGGCCACCACCGAAAAGGTGCAGCTGCTGCACAAGGAGCAGGCGGCCAGTGAGACTCTGGGGCCTGGGGGCGAGGCCGTGCGCTCTGCTGCTTCCACCAAGGTGGCCGAGCTCCTGGAGAAATATAAGGGTCCCGCTCGTGACCCTGGCGCCACAGGGGCTGCAGTCACTGCTACCAGCCACAGCAAGGCTGTCGTGTCCCAGGCGTGGCGGGAGGAAGCGGCAGCAGGGCCCGGGGGTGCAGGTAGTGAGCGGCGCAGCCTGGAGAGCTGCCTACTTGACCTTCGAGACTCCTTTGCACAGCAGCTGCACCAGGAGGCTGAGCGGCAGTCGGGAGCTGCCGCCATCACTGCCACCCAGCTGCTGGACACACTGGGCCGGAGCGGCACCAACAGGTTGCCTTCCCGCTCCCTCTTGGCCCAAGGCCTCTCCACCTCTCCACAAGGGCGGAACAGTCCCCCTGTGGAAGCTCCGCACTCAGAGCCTAAGGGGAGTCCCACCTCAGCCTACCCGGAGCGGAAGGGGAGTCCCACGCCTGGGTTTTCCACCCACAGAGGCAGCCCGACCACAGGATTTACTGCTGAGCAGAAGGGGAGCCCCATCTCAGCCTACCCTGAGCCCAGGGGCAGCCCTGTCCCCGCCTTGCCTGAGCGCAAGGGCAGTCCAGTTCCTCCTGTGCCAGAGCGCAGGGGAAGCCCAGTGCCTGCTGTGCCGGAGCGCAGGAGCAGCCTCACTGCTGCCTTCTCCGGAGAGTCTCCGAAGACCGGCTCTGCGGAGGAAGCGCCCACTGGCCCAATGGAGGTCCTGCGCAAGGGCTCCCTGCGTCTCCGGCAGCTGCTGATTCCCAAGAGTGAGCGGCGTTCAGAGGATGACGGCAGCTTCCATGCGCCGCAGGAGAACGGGCGGCCTGAAAGCCCTCTGCGCCCGTCGCTGAGCCGTGGCGACAGCACGGAGGCTGCCGCTGGAGAGGAGCGGGGCCCTCGGGCGCGCACGGCCTCTGCCACGGCCAACGCGTTGTACAGCAGCAACCTGCGGGATGACACGAAGGCCATTCTGGAGCAGATCAGCGCCCACAGCCAGAAGCACCGCGGAGGCCCCGCCCCCTCCCCAGCCCACAGCAGTCCTGAACTAGACCGCCCACCAGCAGCGGGCGGACTAGCCCCTGACATGTCCGACAAGGACAAGTGCTCAGCCATTTTCCGCTCCGACAGTCTGGGGGCCCAAGGCCGGCTTAGCCGAACGCTGCCAGCCAGTGTGGAGGAGCGCGACAGGCTGCTTCGCCGCATGGAGAGCATGCGCAAGGAGAAGCGCGTCTACAGCCGCTTTGAGGTCTTCTGCAAGAAGGAGGAGGCTGGTGGCCCTGGGGGAGGGGATGGCCCGGCAGAGGAGGATGCCAGGGACAGCAAAGTGGGCAAATTTATGCCCAAGATCCTGGGTACATTCAAAAGCAAGAAGTGAGTCTCCTGGCCCCCCACCCAGGCCAGGGAGCTGCATCGCTGCTTCTGGCCAGGCAGAGCACCTAGCCCTCGGCCCAGGAGTTGGGAACTTGGCTGCGCCCAGCTAGTGTGCAGCTCCACTCAGGGCCCCCAGGGGACACTCTGCCTCTTGCCCCGTCTTCCCCGTGTTGGGGCCAAAGCTGCTCACTGCCCCGTGCCTTATTCCCCCCATTCTCACCTCTTTAGCACCTTGCTCTCTAGGCCCCGCCTCCCTCTTAGCATCTCCCTCCAGCCTCTCTGGGTTTCAGGTTCCCTCTGGGCCTTCACTCCTCACTCACCTCAGGGACCCATCTCTCTGTGCCTTAGTCCCCAGTTCCCGGGGGCCCATGTCTCAGGGCCGCCCCTGCCCAGGGCCTCTGGGCTGCGCTGCGGCTGCACTCTGCTGCCCTTGTGTGGCCCCAGCAGCTCCAGACTCGGTCCTCCACCTTCTCAGGACCACTGTCTCCATCTCGGGCAGCTGGGGCTTCCTACCCTGTTTATCTACATCCTGACCCCTTTCTTGGTGGCCCATCCTTTTGCTGTGGGGAGGCAGAGGACCCTGGAAGGGCTGCCCTGCCCCCAGGGAAGACCTGAAGCAGAACTGACCCCGGCCCCCCCCCCCCCCCCCGCCCGGTAAGGCTCCTGGCCAGGAGTGACTGCACCAGGCCTCAGTGGTGGGTGATGTGTTGCCCCAGCCTGGTGAAGGGCCCAGGCAGGCAGCCTGGCTGTGGGATGCTTGTGCCTGAGCAGGTGAGGTGAAGGCAGAGGACTTGGCTCGGTGGCACCTGAGTGCCAGCCCACTGGGGCATGTCCGTGCCCTGCGGGTGCCCTGTCCTGCAGCCTCTCTCACCAGCCTGCAAACTCCGGCCAACGTCCCCACTTACCTTTCCTGGATCTTCCTCAACATTAGAGAGTAATTGGAAATGACACATTTTGGTACCAAATGCTTAGAAAGTCTCCCCACCGTAGGTGCTACAATTGTAAAACGAGTGCTTCTATTTTTTTAAGTAGCTTTTTAAGTTTTACTTGTAAAAGCTCCAATCACTGCAGGGAGAAGGGTGTGAGGAATGAGGGGGCTGAGAAGGTGGCAGTTCTGACTCCGGGTGCAGGTCTACCCTGACAGCTCAGAGTCCAGTCACCAAAGCTACCTTCCAGGTGGGGGTGACAGCAGGGACTTTTGTCCAGGTGACAAAGGTCATGGAGAACTGAATGAGCTGGAATTTGATGGCAAATATTCCCATGTGGTCTGATGGGGGAGGTGCCCATGAGGGAAGTGGAGCCTTCTGGTCTCCAGAGACCAATGGCTGGGGGCCCTTGGAGCCCCCTGAGCCCCCCGTCTGTGTCCCCATCTCTTGCTGAATTACACACCACCTCAAATGTGATTCTTAACATTTTGGTGTTAATAAAACACGACAAAATATTCCAACACACCCCCAGACGTGTAATATATAACCAGCCCACTACATATTGCAACCTCCAGCCTCAGCACCGGCTGCCCCTTCCCTGCCCTCCCCCCCGGCAGACCGCCTTGGGTGCTGTGGGCCCAGAGGGAACGGGCCAACCAGGTAAGCAGAGGGGTCCTTGGGAGGGGGTGGGCCCTGGGAGAAGGGTGGTGTGACCTCAGGGAGTGGCTTCAAAGGACAAAAGACAGGCGTAGGCTGCGGGTATCCGAGATTTTATCAGAGGAGGTAACTTACGGGCTGCAGTGGGGAGCTCACTTTCCCTGAAAAGGACTAACTTCCGGGGACCCAAGGCGACAAGCAGAGCAGGGGCAAGTCTTGGGATGCCTGGCTGAGCAGCGGGTGCAGAAACTGCAGGGCCGAGTACCAGGCAGGGATTGCGGCTCACGCATGGGGTCCCGGGAGCAGGGGCAGGCGGCCCAGCGCCGAGCGGCAGATGGTGCCATAGGCTTGTGAGTAGCCCCCGAACGCGGCCCTCGCGGCCCCCTGGGCGCCCTGCGAGGCGGAGGCTCCGAACATCTTCCGGCCAGGACGGGGCTCAAGCCGGACTTCCGCAGGAGGTGGGAGCGAGGCCTGCACACAATTGGGGACCCTCATGAGCATGCGTCAGAGGGGAGGGCCTGATGGGAGTGGCCCCAGGGTCTGAGAGGGACGCAAAGTTGCTGTAGGACTCGTGGACTGCAGGGTGGCGCGCTCACCTGTTGCACGGCGGCCGGTCTCGCCCCACGGCCTCGGTCTGGGTCCCTCCGGATCAGAGCCTGGATGGCCACTTGGGCGTTGGCCTGCAAGGTCAGGGAGGGCGCCGCTCCCTGCATGCGGGGCTTCACCTGGGAAGCACGTAGCTGAAGGTCCCTGGTAGCCCGCGGTGCCGTGGGCCCTGAGAAAAGCACTTTGGGGGGAAGGGGTCCTCCCGGGCCCACCATTACATGACCTACCAACGGGGGTACTGAGGGGCACTCCATCCGTGCCCCGGGGGACCTTGCCTCTCTCCCTGGACCTCCTGGGGGCGGATGCTGAAGCAGGGGGTCCGACCTCTGCCTGGGGACATTCTCGGCTCCGCGGGGATCGTCTGTGGGGTTGGCAGATCAGTCCCCGGGCTGGGAGCCTGGGCCGTGGGCGGCGCGTGGCCCCACAGCAAGGGGCAGGTTGCTCGGGTCACACACCAGGTGCGGGGCTGGGGCCAACACTGTGCTGAGCGCCCTGTCCAAGGTCCTGCGTGGGCCCACCGGAAGGCAGCTGGGGGCCGGCTGCAGGGCTGAGGGCGCACGCCTGGGGCATGCCCCCCAGGCCCTCCTCCGTCCGGTAGCCCCTGCGCTCCAGGACCGTCTGCGGGGGAGGTGGGGGCGGGGGGAGTCGCTCAGAGAGGTGCAGCTTGGATGTGAGAGCATCGGCATCGGGCATCGCTTAGGCAGGGGAAGGTCTAGAGGGGCGTGAGGACGGGGTACTGGGGGCTCACAGAGCAGAGCACCTGGTAGAGGTGGCTGCGGTACTCGGCGGCGGTGAGCTGGGCTCCCTCGGGCACCGGGAGCCGAACGTGTGCCTCCAGCGACCACTCCTGGGCTGGGCAGTGGAACCTGCGGGGAGCCCCCCAGGCGGGTGCAGGAGCAAGGCCAGGGTCAAGTGAGCCTCTCCCAGGAGCCCAGGCCCGGCAGTGGGGACCCTCCCGCGCCTACCTCCGCACATAGGGGTGCTGCAGCGCCTGGGCCGCGGTAAGCCGCTTGTCCGGGGCAAACACCAGCAGTCTCCTGAGGAGGTCCAGGGCCTCCGGGGGCGTGTCGGCCGGCAGGAGGGCCTCCAGCGCCTGCTGAGGTCTGTGGCGCGGTGCCTGTGGGTCGCCTCCTTTCCCGGGGGCCTGGCCCTCCCCACCACCACCTCTCTGGCCCCAGCTGCACCTTGTCCCTGCCCCACCTAACTAGCTGTCCCCTGGACATTCGCACAGCCCCCAGGCTGCCTGGGAGGGTCATCGGATCCCTGCTGGGCCTTCCGGTCCCCTCCTGCCTCCCACACCCACTCAAAGCAGCTCCTGCAGGTTCCTACCCGGGACTGGGCCCACATGGCGGGGGGGCTCTTTTTTAAAGTATTTATTTATTTATTTATTTATTTTTAGAGACAGGAGAAAGGAAAAAGGGAGCGAGAGAAGCAACTGGGGACCCGGCCTGCAACCCAGGCAGGTGCCCTGACCAGGTATCCAACCAGCGACCTGTCTGAGCCACACCAGCCAGGGCCTCCGTTCAGCACGACCAGAGGCTGCTGGGTGGGTGTCCTGACAGGTTGGGGCAAGGATACTACGGTAAGAGCTGGACTCACGTGCCTGCACTCACCGAGCCCCCACGAGGTGCAGGATCCAGGCACTGTGTTCTGAGCCCAGAGCCAGGAGGCCTGTGGGGTGGGTGGCAGGAAGCGCTGTGGTCCAGTGGGGCAGCTCAGGGAGGTCTTGTCCTCCGGAGTGGCCTTGCTCCAGGCCTGGGGCTGTCTGGACCTGCGCACGCCCACCTGTGCCTGCCTGTGCACGTCTTACACTTTCAACACGAGGCCATGCTCACATGCTTTCTCCTTGCGGGGAGCCCCTTGCCCTCTGCACTATGAAAAGTAGAGACTTGGGGAGAGAATGGGGTCCCCCCACCTGATCCTTTCCTCTCTCGCCTCACCCCCTCCGTCAGGGAAGAGGATGGGTACCACTTCCCCCCTACCACGTCCCCTAACCGCCTCTCCTCAGTTCCTAGCATGGGGGTCGGGGGGCGCCCCGTCACCACTGGGAGGACTGGAGCTCTGGTCCCGACCTGGCTGGGCCTGCTTTGCAGATGGGCTGGTCGCTCCCTGGACACCCTGACACTCCCTGGGCCCAGCCTTCTCCAGGCCGTGAGACTCCTGGACCCTCCCCATCAGGCTCCCCACCAGCCCTGGTCTGTCATGTGCTGTGTCCCCAAAGCCTGTGCTCTTGCCCAGCGGACCCCGCACACACTCACCCTCCTTGGATGGTGGTGGGATGGTCTGGAGGATCAGCTCCAGCTGGTGGAGTGTGGACCTGCCAGGGAACAGGGGCCTCCCCCGCAGCATCTCTCCCAGGATGCAGCCCAGGCTCCACATGTCCACCCCGGGGGTGTACCTGGAACAGAGACATTCAAGGAGGCAGGGCCTAGGGTGCTGGGAAGGGATGGTGTGGAGGTGTAGGAAGGCCCCGGGGGCCTGGCTGGGCAAGAGGGCACAGGGACTGCTGCAGCGGGAGGTGGCGACGGAACAGGTTGGTGTCACTGTTACCAGCTCGAGGACAGCAGCACCTCTGGAGCCCGGTACCAGCGCGTGGCCACATACTCGGTCAGGGCCTGGCCCTCCGGCCCCTCGGGGAGGCCACTGAGGGAGCGGGCGAGGCCGAAGTCACAGAGCTTCACCAGGCAGCTGGCATTGAGGAGAACGTTGGATGGCTGGGGGAGAGGAGGCGGCTGGGGGTGAGGAGCCAGGGCAGTGGGCTGGGCGCACCTGGGGCGGGGCCCGCGTGCAGCGCTCGCTCCCACCTTCAGGTCCCGGTGGATGACACCTCCCGAGTGGATGAACTTGGTGGCCCTCAGCAGCTGGTGGAAGATGTAGCATCTGTGGACATCCCGCAGCAGCCCCCCCTTGCAGATGACAGCATTCAGGTCCGTGTCTGGGGGGTCGTGCAAGTGCGTGAGTGGGGGCCGGGCTGTCCCGGGGGCACCAGGCAGGCAGGGGCACCGCTGCCCGCCCACAGTCTGCAGTCCCAGGTCCCACTGGCCACCCTCGGGGCTATGTCCTGGGGGAACACACAGGCATCTGGGTTCTGCCACTGTCTTTGTTGGTACGGCCAGAAAGAAGTGTCGGGGCTTTTTTTATGATTCTCACTTGAGGACATTTGTCATTGCTTTTTAGAGAGAGGACTAGAGAGAAACAGCAACACCGATCTGTTGCCCCCCAGATGTGCCCTGACCAGGGATCGAATCTGCAGCCTTTTGGCCGTGGGTCAACTCTCCAACCAAGCCACACCGGCCAGGGCTATGGGATTATTTTTAATGCTTCGTTTTATGCCCTTTTCTTATAAAACGAGTAGAAAAAGGAAGGTGCAGCTGCAAACAGCAGACGAAGCAGGAGCCTCGTGCGGATGGTGGGGTCGTGGTGCCGACTGCCAGTCACCCAAGGGCTGGCATGTGCCAGCTGTTTGTCCTTGGGCACAGGGGTGCTGTCCCAGCTGAGGGTGCTGGCCACTGTGGGGACCTGAGCAGCAGAGGGACACACAGACGAAGCTGGGTTAGGACAGCGGGGAGGCTAGGGGCTAACGGGGCCTTGCTCACCCATAGACTCAAACACCAGGTATATGTCCTTGTCATTCTCTGCCCGGACCACATCCAGGAGCCTCACAATGTTTGGATGGTCCCCAAATTCCTGGAGAGAGAGCCAGAGGCTGTGCTCTGGGGTGAAGGGGTGGGGTGGGCCCTGCCCTCCCCTCCCCTGCCCTCCCCTCCCCTCCCCTCCCCTCCCCTCCCCTCCCCTCCCCTCCCCTCCCCCCCCTCCCCTCCCCTCCCCTCCCCTCCCCTCCCCTCCCCCCCCTCCCCCCTCCCCTCCCCTCCCCCCCCTCCCCTCCCCTCCCCTGCCCTCCCCTCCCCTCCCCTCCCCCTGCTTTGGGGAGACTGACCTGGGGAAATGGGCACTCACCTGGAGCAGCACGATTTCCCGGAACGTTCTCTGGAATGAGACAGAAACACAAGCGTGTGTGCAACCAGAAGGACCCAGAGGTCCTTCACCCATTCACACTCACCCACTGTACTATGGGGACCACTCCTCAGAGCCATGCCAGAATCCGGCTGTGGCTGGGCTCCCAGGCACCAAGGCAGCTGCCTGGGGGCCGGGGAAGCTCACAACCCTGCCCCCACCCTGCTCCACGATGCCTCCCTCAACTACCTGGGCATCTGTCTTATCCCTAAAGGCCTCCAAGATCTTCTTGATAGCCACGACCTCGCCAGTCCTCCGATCCACTGCCTTCCACACAATTCCGTAGGCCTGGGGAGGAAGAGGTCAGCCTCCCACCCCACCAGCGCCCCCACCTGGCTGCTCTGCAGACACGCTCCTCCTTCCCACCCTGGCTGCTGGGAGGAGTGCGGTGAGGCTGTGGCTCCGGGTGAGGCCCCTGCCGCGCCCCTGCAGGCTGCCCAGGAGCCCAGCCCCTCGGAGGAGGAGGGGACAGGCAGCAAGGGCAGCGGAGACCAGTGTGGGCTGGATGCTGGGGCGGGACCCTTCTGCAGGCCCCCTAACCCCTCTCCCACACACTCCGTTCCGTCTCTTAGCAAGTCCTATCGGCTCCTTCGGAATTCACCAGAATCCAGCCGTTTCTACCACCTCTGCTGCCCCCGCCCCAGGCCGAGCCACCTGTGCGTCGTGCCTGGTTAGTGGAGACTAACATTTTGACTAACCTATCTGGCCCCGACCCCCGTCTGCAACAGTGGGCAGGGTGGGCCCTGTAAACGGCTGCCACCTGCCACTGCTACCCGTGTCACTAACAGTAGAAGCCGAAGTCCCCAAAGTCCCGCATGATCGACCCCTCCCCGTCCCTCCTACCCAGCCTCAGCAGCTCTGCCGGTCCTCCCGCAGCCCAGCGGGGTCTGACCCCGGGGCCTCTGCGCTCACTGCCTGCCCTGTCTGACCCGCTCCTTCTCCCCCACAACACACACCCACAGCCACACACCTTCACATACACACTCACACACAATTCCACCCGCTCACTCTCAATCACACACACACGGACTCACACACGCCCCCGGCTCCCACTCCACGCCCACCGCATTCACCAGCTCAGGCCCTCCTGCCCTCCCTCTCAGCGATGGGAGCAGGGGCAGGAGGGCGGGGGCCGAGGTTGAGCGAGACTAACATCACGCCTGAGGCTACTGGAGCCCTGGCTGTCCCCGGCCTCCCAGAGCCACGTCCCTGACAAGTTTCCTGGGAGCGGGCACTGTGGGCGCTGTTACAGAAAACTAAGGCTCCGGGACCTTGCCCAAGGCCACGCCTCCAGTCGGTGGAGGAGGCCAGACGCGAGCCTAGGGGTCCCCATGGAGTCGGAGGAAACAGACCCTGAACTGGCCTTGCAGGTGGCCTGGCCCCTCGGAGGCCCGGTTGCTTTCCCGGGCTCACCCCCTTCCCAAGCCGCCGCTTCAGCAGGTATCGCTGGGCTACGTGAGGATCCACCTCGGCCGCCTGCATGCTGGCGGGTGGGCGCAAGATACCTGCACACCTCAGCGCGGCTGGAACTGTTGAACCTGGTTGCCTTGGGAACCGGCAGTGGTGCCTCCCTGGTGCTTGTGCAGGGCTGGGGGTGGGGCCTGCAGCTCAAGCTCCGCCCAGTCCAGGGCCACCCAGGAGCATCTTCCCGCAGCACCGTCCCTTGGGTGGCACCACTCCAAACCCCGGTCCCGGGAGAAGGGGCTCTTTTATGCCCTCCGTCCCAAGGAACCTCGGCGTCCGACAGAACCTTCTCTGCCAGCTCTGGGCCGTGGCACGGGCGGTGCGCAGACCTGGAACGTTCCTTCCCGCTCCGCTGCACTTCCTCCGGGCTCTGGGACGGTGGTGCTGATGGTTAGGGGGTCATTTGCGGGCAGCGCCCCCTTGCGGAGCTGTTTGGGGTTAGGGGCCGCGTCAGGCCCACCCAGGGCGAGTGGCCGGACTGAGCAGGTGCTGGGGCACCGCGCCGAACCTGGGGCCGTTCCTCGTGGCCGAGAGAGCAAAGCTGGAGGAGGGCAGGTTGTCAGACGGGCTGAAAAGAAAGCCAGGTGAGGGCCTTGGCCAGGGGAGGAGGTGGGAGCAGATATAATCCTGACGGCCGGACAGACTGAAGGGAACGAGCGCTGGGCTCGCTCATGGAGGCTCCAATGCCCGAGTGGCGCTGTGATCAGGCCCACCCCGACCCCTCCTTCCCCACCTTCGCCCATGAGCCCCAGAAGGGGTGTTGACGCTGCCATTGTGTTACTGTGCGTGTGGCCGATAAGCAGAATTGTTCCAACATGAGTGAATTATCAAGTCAATATTTAGTGGACATTTGACTCATCCATTAGTTGTATTATTTTATATTTTAATTTTTTAATCAATTTTAGAGAGATCTGGAGGGGGAGAGAGAGGAACATCGACGTGTGAGGGAAACGTCGATTCCCCGCCTCCTGGGCTGAACCCACAACCTAGGCGCGTTCCTGGCCAGGAGCGGAAGCTGCAGGCTGTCCTGGTGCGGAATGATGCTCCAACTGAATGAGCCGCCTGGCCAGGGCCATCAGTGATTTTAAAATCTGCCTTTATATGTTTCTTTCTTGGGGCCTGTATTTCTACCAACTCCCATTACCCGTTGTTCAAATGTCCTTGCAGACGTCAACCTCGAGAAGAAGGGTTCATTTTCTCATCAATTGCTAGTGAAGAGGAAGTTTGGTCATGTGCGGTGGTGACCTTTGACTTTCTTTTGAGCGAGCGCATTATCAGCCTGGGGTGTTCATCATGCATTAGATAAAAATGGACCATGTATTTATTCAGTTGTTATTAATGTGGGAGAGATTGATCTGTTCCGCTTCTCTGTGCATCACGGACTGATCCCTGTGTGTGCCTGACCCGGGCTGGAACCCACAGCCTCGGTGCATCCGGATGACCCATCAGCCCAGCTTCCGGGCAGGGCCTGACCACGCATTGCATTCGTCTTGGGCTGCTCCGTGGGCAGTAGCGGGAGGCCTGGTTCCTAAGACGCAGAAGCAGCGGGGAAGGTGGTGGTGGTGGGTGGTGGCGGCAGGTCAAACCCCTCAGGCTGAAACAACCTGGTGGGAATCTCCAGCTTCAAACATTACCAGCCTCCTTGTAACCTAGGAGACCAGGCTCGGGAGGTATCCAGGCCCCCAGCTCCCAGGCTGAGGACAGCCCCAGACCAAACACATGGGCCCCACCCTCCTGTGTTGCAGTCCCTGTGTGAGGGCCCCACCCCTCCCCTGCCCTTCAGTGTCAAAGTCCGAGTAGGTAACAGCTGCTGTCCTGTCTGTCACTGTTGCAGCCACTGCCCTTCCTGTCCTGTGCACAGCCTCCCCCACCCTGCTGGGGCAAGCCTAGTGTGTTCCTTGCAGCGCCCAGTTATCCTCTGCTTTGTCCTGCTCCCACGTGGGCTCTGGGCTCAGGTACCCAGGACACTTCGTGCCCCAGGGTCCCACAGGCTCCAGGCTGTTTTTGCTCCTGGGAAGTAAGTGGGTACAGTGTGGCCTGCACTGCGCCATGTGAGTGGGGAGGGCAGAGCGCTTCCTGGAGGCACAACCAAGGCTGGGTGCCGATGCACCCCAGGGCCTGGATCAGGGCTCCCACCTGGGCTGTCCATGGGCCTGTTGTGGCCCTGGCACTGGCTCCAAGGTACTGGGCCAAGGGGGGGGAGGCCACTTGACGAAGGGCCCTGGCCTGACTGCCCGGCCAAGAGCTGGCAGCTCAGGTAGTGGTGGTAGCGGTGGTGGAGGGAACAGCCTACAGGCAGCATGTAGTCTGGGACATAGAGGGGACAGTTTCAGCCCCACCCAGGGACAGCCAGGCTCAGGGCTCAAGGGCTTCGTGCAAGCCACAGACGCACTGGACAGACGGGTCTCCTGGGACCTCGTCACGTTGCTGCTCATTGTCCCCTTTGCCCTGGTCCCTGCTGTCAGCTGCTTCTCATCCAAGGGGCAGGTGCTGGGTGGGGGTGGGGCGTCTGACCGCCAGGCCCCTCAGGGTCCCTTTGTTAGGCCGACACTCAGCATCTGCCCCCCACCCATGGGTCTGAGGCTCCCAGGGCTGAGCTCCAAGGACAGGGTCTCTAGCATGACCTGAACCCACCCTAATACCACAGGTCCAGTTGGCCCTGGCAGGTGCAAAGGCCATGGGCACTGGTCATGGGCTGGCTTCCGGTGGCAGGTTCAAGGGAGGCAGCTCTGCCTCTGTCCCAGGGCACAGGGAAGGGCAGGGCAGAGGGCATAGCTAGAGGGTGTGCAGGCAGTGGAAGGAGCCCACCGAGGTTCCAGCCAAGCCCAGTGCTCTCAGGAGTCCTTGGACAAGCCACTCCATGAGTCAGTTTCTCCATCTGTGAAATGGGAGCAGAGGCTCTGGAAGGGCCTCCCATGTCAGGGCCAGGCACCCTGCTGGACCCAGCGGGTTATTCGCGAGGAGGGGAAGCTCACCCAAGTCTCAGGAGCTGAGCAGGGAGGGTGTCCAAGGCAGCGGGGCCAGAGGGGTGTTGTGAGAAGCATCCCCGGAAGAAGCTTGGGGACCTTCTGTTGCAGCCTGGACCTCCAGCAGAGAGCGCTGTGGGGAGGAGACCTGGCCAAGGTATGGGGTGGGGGAGGGGCCTTGGCAGAAGCTGAGCAGACTATTCGCGCCCCTTCCTCCCGGGGCCTTTACAGCTCAGTGACCCCACCAAGAGGTGAGTGACACCCCCAGACCCTCCCCAGCCTGAGTCCGAGGGAGACCTAGTTTTGGTCCCTGGGAGGACAAAGACCACTGTCTATTTCACGGGAGGGGGTGGGGATGGAGACTCTGAGGATGGAGAGAAAAAACACAGGTAACACCTGGTTTTGAATTTGGACCCTTGGAGGCGAGCTCTGTCTCCCTTGGGCGGCGGCGGGACCTGGTGCTCATCAGAGACACCCTTTCCCCAACACACTGAGGCAAAACAAAGGCCTCCGGAGGCCCAGGGCGAACGTTTCATTTCGCCTCCTGGCGGAGCACCCATCTCTTCCCCAGAGAGGTTGCTCCTGGAATCACTGAGGCTCCCCGGGTGAGAGGTGATTCCTGCACTAGGGGCAGGGGAGATGCCTGGGAAGTTGGGGGCCGGTGAGGGAGGGGCCGCTGTCAGCAGGGCCAAAGGGGAGGGAGCTGGGCTAGGGTGCACAGCTTGAAGGTGGTCTGGGCCAGACCTGGGCTTCCGGCAGGACCAGGGCTGGGGAGGGACTTTGAGGGGTGGGGCCACGCTGGGCGTGGTTTAGATGTGGGGGCAGGACCAGGGCTGGGGGAAGGGCAGGGGCGGAGCTTCCACGCTGCTCCCAAAACTATTCCACTGAGATGGCATAATTGGTCATTTCAGTACTGGGAAGAAGCAAATCTGGAGGAATCCTGAGACAAAGGAGGACAAAATGCTCACCAGACATCTGCAAGGAGACATTTATGAGCTTTAAAGTGAGGGCAAATCACCCAGAAATTCGGGAGGCTGAGAGGACTTAAAAAACAGCCCATTGAGTCCCTGAGCTGGCATCAGAAATCAAAAGCCCAAGGTTAACCCAGACACTCCCGTGAGGGTTGTGTGTGTGGCCAGGATCCCGGGAGGGGCAGGGGCAGTGTGGTCTGGGAGGCACAGGGTGAGACCATGAAGGACCAGACCGGCCAAGGGAACAGGTCTCCACCTCCCGCAGTCTCAGCGTTGCAAGCGGTCCCTTAGGGACAGCGGCCCCAGCAGGCCTTGAGGGCGGCCCGAGGTGGGGCGCAGGTGGCTGCCCCGAAGAGCCAGGGACCCAGGTATGTAAATGCCAGGCCTTGGCGGGGGCTGGAGGAAAACATCAAATGGTCTCCGTGGAGCCCCCACTTGCATATTCAAGGTGCTTTTTTTTGTTCTTTTTTCTCCTGATTATACTTGGTCTTTTAGAAATTTTCTGTTAAGTCAGGCACTAATAGATTAAAAGCCTGTATTATTGAAGACCAACATTCAGATGCTATTTTAGTTTATAAGCATTTTTTTAGAAAAATATTTTATTTATTTTTAGAGAGAGGGGAAGAGGAGAGGGAGAGAAGCATCAATGTGTGGTTGCCTCTTGTGCGCCCCCTAGTGGGGACCTGGCCCACAACTCAGGCATGTATCCTGACTGGGAATTGAACTGGCAACTCTTTGGTTCACAGGCCAGCACTCAATCCACTGAGTCACACCAGCCAGGGCCAGCAACATTTCTCTAATATTTTAATGTTAAAATGGAGATTCTGCATTGCCTTGAAATTTATGTCATCTTTTTATTTATAAATACTTTTTTTTTTTTGGCCTGGCTGGTGTGGCTCATTTGGTTGGAGTTTCAGCCTGTAATCAAAAGGTTTCCAGGTTTGATTCCCAGTCAGGACACATACCAAAGTTGTGGGTTTGACCCCCAGTCCAAGTGTGTACAGGAGGGAACCGAGCGATACTTCTAATTCTTCCTCTCTCCCTTCCTCTCTCTCTCTCTCTCAAAGGAATGAAAAAATGTCCTCAGGTGAGGATTAAAAAAATCCATTTTTTACAAGGAGGAAAATGCCTTAACTGTGTTCCTAATTTTGACAGGCTCTGCCACACCTTTCGTGCAGGTGAGACTAGATGAGTGAAGTACCACAGCTCTGAAACCGACTTGCTAAAGCAAGACCAGCACGTAGAAACTGGGGGCTACTCAGGCTGCGCTTAGTCGCTGAGATTCGGAAGCAAGTCCACCGTCGTCCTCTGAAAGCAGAAGTCCTCCTAGTCCGGGTCCGATCTGTGCAGGGCGCACACACGGATATCAGGCACTGCCCTTGAGTGAGAGAGTTGGGGGGGGACTGGAGGTGGGAGAATAAGGCTGTTGCCCGAGCAACGGTGTGATAGTGGGGAAGGGCAACTAAGTTCTGTCTCCATGGAGACTGTATGGGCTGAACGCCAACATTACTGAAGGTGGGCCCACCCTGATGGACGGCAAGGTTCCGAAGGAGCCCATAAATAAAGGTTGGCTACGGTGCTCTGACTACTGAATAATCCCATATTCCTGATTCTGGCTTTCCCCGACTCCTCACCCTACTAGAATATTCAGGATGGGGAGGAGGAGGGCTGTGGTGGAGGGGCTGGCTGGGGGCTGTGCCCTCACCCGTCCCCGTGCTTCAGGACCGGACCCATGGCGCCCAAGAAGAAGAGCGGGCAGAGGGCGGGGAGCCGGCAGGGAGGGACGGAAGACAACGCCGAGCCGCAGCTGTCGGAGCGCGCGCAGTACCTGCAGCGGGAGTACAAGCTGCTCTCAGAGCAGCTGGACGCCTGTGAGGAGCGCTTAGACCTGGTACTGCAGGAGAACGCCTTCCTGGACTGCGAGGCGCAGCGCCTGCGCGAGGAGAACCGGCTCTACGCCAGCTACGTGAGCGCGCACGCGCAGCGCTGCGCCAATGCCATCGTCCGACTTGAGGACCAGAACCGCGTGGACCTGACGCAGATCCAGTGGCAGCGGGCCGATCTCGAGTCTCTGTATCACGGGCGCGAGGACGGGGTGCGCACGCAGCTGCTGGAAATGGAGGCGCGTGCGGCGCAGATGGCGCAGCGGGTGCAGGAGCTGCAGCCTTACAAGGCCAGTGCGCGCGCGCCTGTGGGCGGGTCAGGAGGGTGCGGGCGGGCTGGGTGCCGGTGGCGCTCGGGCTCTGACCCGCGCCACCGCTGTAGGAGCTGCAGCTGGAGCAGCTGGCCCGGATCCGGACGCTGGAGCGCGAGCTGCTTCACATGAGCGTGGAGCATACGCAGCAGCTTCACCGCGTGAAGCGGCTCTTCCTGGAAGACAAGGCGGCCTTCGAGCGCGAGGCGCGCCAGCGTGTGCAGTCGCTGGCACGGCGCGCGGAGCGGGAGGCTGCGCGCGCCCTTGTCATGCACACGCAGGCCATCAAGGCAGATAATGAAAGGCTGCGGGAGGAACTGCTAAGGCTGCTCAGCCGGGCCCAGCTGCTGCATGACAAACGGCGCCAGCTGCTGCAGCAGCGTGAACATCTGCGGCGTGAGCACCAGGATACATGGGACCTGGCAAACGTGCACGGTTGGCTGCTCCGGGGAGCCAGGGGCCCAGCACTGTGGCGACCGCCCCCGCCTGCCTCTTGCCTGGGGTCCTTTGCCTCCCCCACCGGCACGTCGCACACGGCCTCCCAGAACCTGTCGCAGGTCTCTTTGACCGCGTTCTCTAGGATCCCATCACTGATCCCGTTGTGTACGGGCTCCAAGGCCCCGTCGCTGGTGTCAATGAAGGAGAGTTCAAGGATCTCATACCAGGACCTGCTGCAAGCTAATGCCTGGGTCTCGTCCTTGGCCCCGACCCACCCTGACTCCCAGTTCCCATCCTTTGCCTGCTCCCGCCCTGGCTCCGGGGTCCCATCCTTGGCCCCGTCCCACCTTGATTCCCGGATCCCATCCTTGGCCCCTACCCGCCCTGACTCCCGGTTCCCATCCTTCGCCCGCTCCCGCCCTGACTCCGGGGTCCCATCCCTGGCCCCGGCTGGCCCTGACTTCCGGGTCCCGTCTTTGTCCCCGTCCCTCCCTGGCTCCTGGATCTCTTCACGGATGCCATTGCAGATGGCCTCACACACCACTCCCACTGCCCTGGATCGGGCCCTTGCGGTCCCCCAGTCGAAGGAGACTGTGAACGCTGACGCTGCACCCTGAATCTACCCCGAAGAAGGTGGGGGTGATCGGTGTGCAGGACGTTTTTGGTGAGTGCAATTGTTAATAAAAATGTGACCACACATATACACACGCCAATCTGGCACCGCCTGCCTTGCTGCTCCAGTATTTCCTGCTGGCTGAGGGACTACTTATTCCAGCTTCCAGTTTCCAGCCTGCAAGGTAGCTTGATGCGCTCTCCACACTATGTGTCTCCACCCTATGAATCCGGGCTAGGATTCAGCATCCCTCCACACCATGGCTGGTCTCCGGCAGCCCAGCAGGGACCGAGAAAGTCGGTCACGTGAGCATCCTGCTCACTAGGGCTGACAGTGGTGGCAGAGACAGGCACCGCCCCCGCGGCCATATGGTGGGAGCAGGAAAGGAGCCTGGGGGCCAGGGAGGGGCTGGGTAGCCCCGCACGGTGCTCCGGGGGACTGGTGGTACCAGCTGCGGTCAGGGTCATCCCTGGAAGCCACAGGAGGTTTTCTGTGTAACCTCTCCCAGGGGGAGGGTAATTTTGTATTTTGATGTAATTTCCAGTTCAGAGAAAAGTTGCAAGAATAGCGTAGTTCTTTCATTGCCACGGTCCGGCTGCAGCGGGTCAAGGGGTCCCACAGATGAGGGTAGGCGTCCGCGCTGGGTAACAGATGACAACACGCCTCAAAGGACAGTGAAGCTCTGTTCCATTTATTGCAAGTACAAGTAGGTTTTTATATTTTCATTTTAGGTAGTGATTAACATTTGCAGGTGTATAGCATGATCAGTTAAGCAGAAAAAATCAATACAAAGGTAACCAGGAAAAGTATGAAAGTTCTCATAGATTCAGTTATAATAAATAAAGATTAGTTTGACCAGGAGAGCCATTAATCAGACAATTAGAAGTCGCTGTATGTACAGAATTCGAATGTCTTCATTGTATATTAAAGTTTCTCAATTTATCATGGGGCAAAAGGATACGGTAGATTGAGTAGAGGTAATAGGAAATTTATTATAAGGCCTTTGTGATGTCTAATTTAGCTATCTATCCTTTTCTGTCTAAAATGTTTCTCTGTGCACTATAAACTGACTCTCTAGCAACTGTTTCTATGTGTTTAGTTTGTAATAGTTAACCAGCCCTTTTTAAATTTCTTTGCCTGTGCAATTGATATATATTCTTATTCAAGGTAAAGGAGGGGCTGTTACCTCAACAACTTCTAAACATTCAGGGACTATTTCAATAGAGGGAACTTTGTTCTCTGGTCAAGAAATTAGTTTGTACAACTTCACTGGAATTACGCGAATCAATGAACCTGAAATATAAATGTCTAACAATTCCACCACCTTTTGACCACCCAAACAAACATGTAACTTGTTTTTCTTATTTCTGGTACACTATGGCGGTCCTGATCACCTTAAGTTGCTCAGACCAGGGTAATTTATACAACTTGACATGTTTTCCCTTATAGTTAACAATTATATCGCCCTGGCTGTCGTACTCCCCTGTACAAGGGAGAGGGGAATCTGTGGGGATTTGTCCATCCTTTCAGGCAGTTCCGTGGGGAATACTAATGTTTTCCCCTGAACTGTTCCCTCCTCTTTGGTGACTTTCACAGGAATAAGTAAATACAGATCAATGTCTATATTCAGTAGCAAGAGTAGAATAATTAAAATAAAACAGCCAATTGTTAACCCATTTTGGATGCCTCATTCTCTTCCGGGGAGACGAATTCTTTGAACTCGAACCCTCCATGCCCGGACTTTGTCAGACGCGTGGTTGGAAGACGACGTGGCACATCGTACCATTTACCCAGGTTCACCAGCAGTTTGTTTGCTACAGCTTTGGAAGGCAGTGTGTGTGTGTGTGTGTGTGTGTGTGTGTGTGTGTGTGCACGCATGCTTATGTGCACCCGCACCCCCCAAATATTTTAGATTAGGTCATGCCCTTCACCTCCAATAGCGTTTCCCAAGCACAGAGACATTCTCCTACGTTACTGCACCCCAAAGCTCCAAGTCAGGAACTTCCGAGTGGAGCAAACAGCATTAGCTGGTCCACGATTCCCATGAAAATGTCACTGTCACTGACCACAGTGCCCTTGGTGGTCACCCATTTGCCAGGATTATGCACATTCAGGTGTTAATCCCAATGTGCTTGGCCAGTTCAGCTATTAGGTGTGGCCCATATTCCTTGGTGGCTTTCCAGGAGGCCACCTGGCTTTCTGAGGTGGCCAGGCCCCTGTACCACAAATGCTGGTGCCAGGACAGCAATTTCCTCCTCTACACAGAGGGCAGGTTTTTAAAGGGCTGGGTTTTTGGAGGAGAGCTGGGTGCACTTACTGTAGGGTGCTCGCAGTGCTGTGGTGCCCAGACAATGAACCTGATGGCTCAAATTGGACAGCCCGGGGGATGGCATGGCATGGGGCACTGGGACCGGACCAGGGCACTGGGACCAGACCTGGGCCCTGTGGTGTGAGTTCAGAGCACAGGTTGAAGACGAAGCCCCTCTTTGCCAGAAGCAGTGTAACCTGGGCAAACCACACAGAGGAAGTGGGTACAAGCCCGGCCTGACCACACTCTGCCATTTGGGGTCCTCAGCACCCTCTGTTCAGTCCGTACCTGTGGTTGACTCCGGGCAGCTCTATCAGACTCGGCACCTAAGAATCAAGTGTGCTTTCCAGTTTTTCTGAAACATCTACAACGGTCTTACTGTAAAAGGACATTTTTTTCCTTGCTCCCTGAGAGAGAACTGGGAAACTGGCAGATCGCTTAGGCCACTGCCGCGGGGCCCCTCCAAGGGTCGGCAGGGGGCTGGGTTCTGGGGCGGCCTGCAGGGCATGGGGAAGCCGAGCTCAGCAGCGACACCTCCCTCCACAGGAACAGCAGTGACTCTCGGGAAGACGGAGGAGCCCTTTGGGGACAGGAGGGTGCTGAGGAGCAGCCGATCTCAGGAGACAAAGTGAGCAAGAGATACAGCCAGGACTGCGTGCCCGCAGTGGACCGCGGGGGTGGGGCGGGCTTCGCGAAAACCCCGCGGTGCCCGGACTCGCGCCACCCACGGCCCTCGAAAGATCGCGGGGATCTGCCATGAGCAGCTGGAAGCCAGCCGCTTTGCTGCGAACAAGTGACTGGGAACGCGGGGCGGATAATCCTGGGGTCACACGTTAGAAAGAGGGCGGCGAGGGGACGGCGAGACGACCCCTGACTGTGGAGGTGAGAGGCGGGAGCGGGGCCTGGGGCGGGGGCAGTCCGGTGGGAACGGGGACGTGGACTGCCCCGACCGACACCGTGCGATCCGAGTGAGGGGCACGGGCAGGCGGAAGCGGCCCCGGCAGGGGAGAACCACCTTCCCAGTGGGGTCGCCCCGGAGGAGTCCAGGCTGGAGTCACAGGCCGTGGTCGAGGCCACTGGGCTAAGAGGACGCGGGCCGGGCCCTCGGAAGGACGAAGACGAACCTCCGGGACCCTCGCCGCCCGGGTGCGGACGCGCAGGTGGGGCCCTGAGGTCACGAGCTTCCCCAGCGGAAGTGCAGCGGAAGTGCGTCTCCAGGCGCCGGAAGCGGTGCACCCCCTGGAGCGCCCACCTCGGTCGCACCGCCCGCGCGGTGTGTTGTTCCCGGCTCGGGCCCACGGGGCCGCATCCTCCCCGCACCCCAGCCGTCCTGGTGTCGCCCTTGACTCCACCTGTGCCTGGGAGCCTGCACCGCCCTGCACCGGACTGGTAGGTGGCTCTTTCTTCCTCGCTTAATTGTATTTTTTCCAGAGCTTTGTTCAGTGTTTTCATTAGGGCCAAATGTATGTTATTTGTCTCCACTGGCCTGTTAGGTAGTAAAGGGCGGAACCTTAGGTATTCGCCAGGGCGGGCCAACTACCTTGCTGCCTTGTGACGCTGTGTGTCCAGGCAGGTCTCAGAGGGAGCTGTGCCGCTTGCTGGGCGCTCCGCAGGCGTTCAGTCGTTTCCATCGCTTCCGTCACTACCCACAAGCAAACTGGGCCCTTCTGGTGCTGATTCCTGGGTGGTGGGTTTGTGTGTGGTCTAGGAACCCATGGGTGTCTCCAACGACTTATCCTGTCGCCCCAACCCCCACGGGGTTTTGTTTTTCTTTCAAAATATTTTATTTTTAGCCCTGGCTGGTGTAGCTCAGTGGATTGAGTACGGGCCTGTGAAGCAAAGGGTCACTGGTTCGATTCCCCGTCGGGGCACATGCCTGGGTTGCGGGCCAGGTCCCCAGTAGGGGACACACGAGAGGCAACCACACAATGATGTTTCTCTCCCATGCTTTCTCCTTTCCTTCCCCTCTCTCTAAAAATAAATAAAATATTTTTTTTAAATTTGTTTTTAGAGAGAGAAGGGAAGGAGGGAGAGAAACATCAATGTGTGGTTGCCTCTGGCACACCCCCAATAAGAGGCTTTGAGGCTTTATTTCCCCTGCCAGGACCCTGGGTTGCACCATCTGTCTTGGTCCCCAGTTGTTCCTCCCAGTTTATCTGACAGAAACGTGGGACCTCTGGTCCTGCCTGCTGGCCTTGCCCCGTGTCCTCTGCACTGGGCTGCCAGGCTCCGCCCCTCTGCTGGTCTGGGTGCGTGCTTCTTCCTTAACTCCATGGTTGTCGGACTTCCGTACAGTTCTGTTTTTGGTAGTTCTGGATGTTTGTTTGTTTGTTTGTTTGTTTTTAAATTTGTTGTCCTGTTTTTGGTTGTGCGAGGAAGCACAGTGCATCTACCTACACCTCCATCTTGGCCGTAAGACCTGTTTTTACTTCTAATTGTGTTAAAACACACATAACAAACTCTTAACCCTTTTTAGGTGCAGGAACGATAACCACATTCACATTGTGCCCACAAGCTCAAAACCCTTTATCCTGCAGGACAGAAACTAATCCATTAAACATTAACCGCTTCCCCTCCCCTCTCAACCTCAGCCCTCGACCATTTGTATTTATGAATTTGGCTTCTCTAAGTGCCTCGTGAAAGTGGAATCACACAGTGTCTGTCTTTGTGACTGGCTTATTCCACGTAGCATGTCCTCAAGGCTCATCCATGTGACATGGTGGCACGCGGCAGACTTTTCCCTGGTTGAGGTTGAGCAACACCCCGTCGTATGGATAGAGCACATTTTGTGTATCCATTCGTCCGCTGATTGACACTTTGGTTGTTTCAACCTTCTGCCTTAAAAAAAGTGCCTTTTAGGGAAACAAAAGAAAAAATAAATGGGACTATATCAAAGTAAAAAACTTTTGCACAGCTAGGAAACCAACAAAATGAGAAGACAGTCACTGAATGGGAGAACATACTCGCCTTTCATATGATGAGAGGCAGTCACAAAAATTATGAAGAATTTACAAAACTCCCCCTGGGTGGTGTGGCTCAGTGGATTGAGTGCCAGCCTGCAGTCAGAAGGGACCCGGTTCGATTCCCATTAGAGCACCTGCCTGGGTTGTGGGCCCGGTCTCCAGATGGTGTGGGAGGCAGCCACACTCTGATGTGTCTCCCTCTCTTTCTCCCTTCCCCTCTGTCTAACAGTAAATAAGTAAAATCTTTTTAAAAATAAGAAAATGGCTTTAAAGATAAACTATAAAAATTCTTCACAAATTGACTTAATAAAAAGCTTTGTTACTTTTAATTTGATCTTTAAAAAAATCATTAAGAAAATGAAAATGCCAAAGACTATATATGGAAAGAAACTGATCTAGAAAAGAGACTTGCACGTTGATGAGAAGACAAACCACCCAGTTTCAAGCGAACAAAGACTGTGAACAGACACACCACAAGGGTGGTCCCAAAGGGCACCGTGTGTGCAGAGACGTCCGCACTCGCTCAGCATGAGATACAGATGCAGCATACACGACTCGGTGCCTCACATTTGAGAAGAGTGACATCACCAAGCACTGGTGAGGATGCGGAGCAGCTGGAGCCGGGACACGCCGTGGGAGGGGTGTAAAGTGCTGCGGTCAGTGTGGGGGAAGTGTTGGCAATTGTTTATAAAGTTAAAAATGCAGTTACCTTATAACTTGGCAATTAAGTCCTAGTCATTTACCCAAGAGAAATAAAAAGGATGTCCAAATGAGTCCTTTTACACAGATGCTCATAGCAGTTTTATTCATAAGAGTCCAAACTAGAAACACAAATTTCTGTCAACAGATGAATAGTAAGTTGTGGTTTATCCACACAATCAAATGTGACACAGGAAGGAGAAAGAGCTACTGCAACGTGTAAGTACACTGGGTCTGTAAAACATGCCCAAACGGAGGGAGTCAGACACACAAGACTACATATTACATGCATCCATTTATATGATGTCCTAGAACAAGTAGAACTCATCTACACCGACAGTGGTCACTTGGGCCTGGAGTGGGATTAGCTGAGAAAGGGCAAAAGGGAACTTCTGGCAGACGTTAAAACTGTGCACGTAGAGCAGGGGTTTGTGTTCTACTGTGCGGAAGCTGGACCTCAGCAACTCGGATGGCCTGGTCTGGTGATACCCGCGTCCACAGATCAAACCGTGCGTCTTCCAGACAGAGGGCTGCAGGCCCTCTGTGAACGATTTACTGCCCAAAGCCTTCTGGGGCTGCTGGGATTTGTAGGAACTCAAAATATGCTTTCACGGAGGGAAAAAAGTTGTTTTATGCAATTTCAAAAGGGGTTATTTTGGTTAATGTTCAGAAAAGGAAATGGTTTTACTAGGCAGTTACCTGTTGTGTAATAAAACTCGTCTGCTTTTGAACAGCCCAACCAAAGGTGGAAGTTGCAACAGACTTTTCCTGCTTGTTTCCTCTGTTGTTCCTTGTCTAGCTGACAAATGTCTACTTAACACCACAGACCAGTTCAAACGCTACTTCTTCTGTGAAGCTGTCCCAGATCCTCCCTGCCACACCAGTCCCTCCTTGCCTGAGCTCCTGCACAGCTGGGAACGTGGGGGAACATCCAGGTGGGGATCAGTGTCCCCGCCAGACTTGGAATGACCTCAGGTTCGGGGGCGTCTTCCTTGTCAGTTTTGCCAGCACTTTGCACTAGTTCTTACAGGCCAATACATTTCCAAGGAAATGACAAAATGAGCCCACAAGCAAGGAAAGTGACAGCAGAAGCTGAGTTCAATCCTGGAACTGCTAAGACGGAAGTTACATGGTGCACTGGAGTGAGCCAGAAAGACGCGCCGAGTGCTAGCTGAAGTCTGTGCTCCCAAAGGCAAGTGGCCATGGCTGAGCTCTACCTGCAGCAAAACTGAGGGCACTGGGCTCTCGCTGGCCCTCACCCAAGGCTTCTGGCTTCAGGGAAAGCAAGGACATCAGCCACGCTGAGAACAAAGCTGTGTCCAGAAGACCAGTAGATCACAGGATGACAACAACCAAATCTAAGTTTTGGAAATAGCAGGATGGAAAGGACAAAAAAACATGAGAGGCACCACTTGCACAGATTTGGGGTTTGCTTTTTATTGTCCTGTGCTAGACACCAAGGACAAATCGATCAGATATGACAGTTGTCCTCCAATCAGAAGTGTAATAATGACAGAGAGAGAAAACATACCAAAGTAAGTGCAGTAACAGAGGTGGGAACCCAGCGGCAGCACAAGGAGGACAGGTCCTGACTCATGAAGTGGCAGAAACCGGGGGAGACAAGCAGTCAAACGGGACGGGGGCCAGGAGGCAGGGGCAGCCAGGAGCAGGGGAACGCCAGCTCCGTGTCGGGGACTCAGTGGTGAGAGACGAGGCTCCGGATGCAAAAGGCCTTAGGGTGGGTGCAGCAGAGGGGGCCTAGAATGTGTTCTAAGGACCAGGGGGAACCAAACTGGTTTTAAATGAGAAAGAGTTCTCCAATTTGCCTTTCTGATAGATCAAAATTTGCTACATCATACTCTTTAAAGGAACACAATTAGACAAAACAGCTCTCCTTTAAAGGGATTTAACTTAGGGATGAACTGTAATTGCGCAAACACAGAACCCCTTTCCAGACCTAGCTCCTGGCCCCAGACCACTCCAGCTCCGAGTGAGCAGTCCAGGCAGGTGGCTCTCCTGAAGGCAGGCATTCCGAGCCGAGGACAGCAGTCCAGCACTGCCGCACCTGGTGGGTAGAAGCCCATGCATAAAGCAGCCCCACCCGTGACTTTAGGAAAAGCTGACATGTCCAAAGACACTGAATGAGGACTCACGCCACGCCCGTCCAAACATCACTCACTGTTGGAGAGTAACTGCTTTATGAGTCGCCTGTACACTCCACCCGACCTCCAGACTTCTCACTCAGATGTGTGGGGGCCTTACTCAAGGGAAGCCCTTCTTGGTGAACACCTTGATTACTGTTGGAGTTGGGAGGAGAACTGAAGTCTTTCCCGTACTCACTACATTCATAGAGTTTCTCTTCAGTGTGAATTTTCTGGTGCTGAAGGAAGTTGGACCTCTGGATAAAGCCCTTCCCACAGTAACTGCACACATAGGGCTTCTCTCCAGTGTGGATGATCTGATGGAGGAGCAGCTTGGAGCTCTGGATGAAGGCCTTCCCGCAGTCCTTGCACTCGAAGGGCCTGTCCCCCGTGTGGATTTTCTGGTGCTCAGTGAGGTGAGCTTTCTGCAGAAAGGCCTTCCCACACTCCTTACATTCATACACCCTCTCTCCAGTGTGGATTTTCTGGTGTCGGATAAGGTATGAACTCAGAAAGAAGGCTTTCCCACACTCGTTGCATTCATAGAGTTTCTCTCCAGTGTGGATTCTCTGGTGCTGAGTAAAGTTTGACGTCTGGCTGAAGCGCTTCCCACACTCATTGCAGACGTAAGGCCTCTCCCCCGTGTGGATCCTCTGGTGCTGGATGAGCTTGGAGCTCCGGATGAAGGCCTTCCCACACTCACTGCACTCAAAGGGCCGCTCCCCCGTGTGGATCCGCTGGTGCTCTACGAGGTCTGAGCGGTGGCGGAAGGCCTTCCCGCACTCCTCACACTCGTACTGTTTCACTTCCGTGTGGGTCTGGTAATGCCGGATGAGGCTGGAGCTCCGGATGAAGGCTTTCCCACACTCGTTACACTCGTAGGGCCTCTCTCCCGTGTGAATTCTCTGGTGTCGGATGAGCAACGAACTCTGGCTGAAGCCCTTCCCACATTCTTTGCATTCGAAGGGCCGCTCCCGCGTGTGAGCACGCTGGTGCCGGGCGAGATCCGAGCTGTGGCAGAAGGCTTTCCCACACTGAGCACACCCGAACGGCTTTTCCCCCGCGTGTGCGCTCTGGTGCTCAGTGAGGTCCACGTAGCGAGTGAAGTCTTTCCCACAGGCGCTACACACATAGAGTCTTTCTCCGGTGGGAACGCCCTGGTGCTCAGCAGGGTGGGAGCTCTGGCTGAAGCTTTTCCCACACTGGTCCCCTTTGTACAGTTTCTCCCCAGAGTGAGAAATCTGATGTCTAACTAGCTCCGAAGTAGATGGGAAGCTTTTGCCACAAGTCTCACACGGGTGGGCTCCCTCTTCTGTCAGCCCTCTCTGAAGTACGAGAAGGCTGGAGCTTGGAACCAGGCCCCCGCCGGAGTCGCTTCCCACCTGGGCCGCCCCTCCAGTTTGGACCTCCCAGTGCGTGACTGCCTGTGGGAGACCTCTCTCCCGGGACGGGCAGCTCCGAAGGCTCTGCCCTTCCACGGTTCCCAACAGCCCCCCTATTCCAGGTTCAGAGAGCCCCCCAGACTCAGACTCGGGAGTGGGGGACTCCATTACTGTTTCTGACATTGTCCTGTGTGGATTTCCACCCTCAGAAATTCAGGCTCCCGGGTCATCTTGTCCCCAGTTCCTACGTCGGAACCTGAAATAAAACAGAGTAAGATCACCTTTCCCTTCATTGTCAGACAGGAATCTGCTGCAGCAGGTGGGGACAAAACACATCCAGAGAGGGAAGAATGTCTTCTGTCCACACTCGTGACCCGACACACAGCCGCCACCGTGCTCCTTTTGCCTCCGGACAGCCTCCCCGACCTGGGAAGGCTCCCTTGGGCACCAACCCCCAGCTCCAGGGGACAGACTGGTCAGGTGGCTAGTCGGTAGGGGTACGTTGTGGACTATCAAAATCAAGATGTGTTTCCAAAGGCAAATTTATCTCCCTTACCACCGCTCTACTGTCCCTCGTTCTTTCACATCCTCCCCCGCTCTGGTCCCCAGGTCAGTGGTATCACACTCACTTGGGCCGACGATCCAGACTATCCTCGTGTGTGTCCACCCGCACTCCCCTGCCCTTCTCTTCCTCTGTCACAGATGCGTGGGGAAACCTGGCGCGGGTGCGATTCCGCTTGCTTCCTGTGTCGGCTTCGCTGCTGAGAGCTTGCAGCAGCTTCTCCAGTGCTCTGCCTCTCCTAGGAGACCACTGCTGTTTTCCAGTCTGTTCTCAAGTGTCCAGCCCCCCCTGTAGCCTGGGTTAGCGTTCCCGATCCAGCCTACAGCAAACACCCCCACCGTGCACTAGAGCCACCTCTCTCATCTGCTCGATGGCACCAAGCCTGCCGTGCACAGCCGCAGGGGGGATGCTCACAGCAGCACCATTCACCACCCCCCAGGACCCTGACCACAGGGACCCCAGAGGGGGTGTGGCACACAGCAAGGAAGCAGAGCTGCCGCCTCCAAGAGTACACGAGCACCTGCTGCTCGGACAGACGTGCAGCACGTGCAGAGACGCCAGGCTCGGAGTGCACAGCATCTGCCTCCATCTGTGTGAAGTTCCAAAACAGCACCGATCTACAGCAGGGGACTTGAGACAGTGGTGGCTCCAGGGCGTCAGAGGGACGCCCTCCCTGCAGCTCTGGAACCCTCACCCTGGGAACCGCTTCCCAGCAGGAGCCTGCAGCCCCCAAGGCCGTGCCCTGTCCTGGGCAGTCCCCACGGGGCTACCTGTGGCTGTGTATCAACACACCACAGGTGGAGGAACAGAAAGTAGCACACACCTGTCACCTCAGCACTGCAGGTCACAAGTCCAGCCCAGCACGATGGGGACTGAGCCCCACATGTCCCCCAGGCATCTGGACGCTCTGGGAAGTCCCATTTCCACACTCAGATTGTTGGCGGAACTCAGTCCCTCACAGGTGTAGGACCGTGTCAACTTCCTTGCTGGCGGTTGGCTCCTCAGGGCTACGTACATCTTCCAGGCAGGAACTCACTGATCTTCCTCTGCTGTGTGTTCTGTGACCAGCTGCACAAAACCCTGCTGCCCCAGGGCTCCTATGGCAGCTGACTTGGCACCTTAATTGCAGCCACAAAGTCACGCACAGCAGCTGGGACATGTGCATATCCCGGGCTGGGAACCTCGGAGCAACCCCTCGCCCAGTGACGCCTTGGGATGGCCATGCCTTCAGGACCCACCATCCAGCCCGTCTTCCGAGAGCCCTCCCAGCGGAGCACACCGTCCTTCCGGGTGGCCACAGCCCAGTCAGCTCAGAGCACGCGTGGCCGGGAAAGGCTGCCTCCGCAGGCAGCTCTTCAACTGCTGTAAGTGGGGTCTGCCAGTTCTAAAGTGTGTTTACGTCAAGTCGCATGGTGTGTTGTCTTTTGCCTGCTTCTCTGCACGCTGTGCATTTAAAAAATATATATATATTATAAAGACTTTATTTATTTATTTTTAGACAGAGGGGAAGGGAGGAAGAGAGGGAGAGAAACATCCGTGTGTGGTGGCCTCTTGTGTGCCCCACAGGTGTGCTCCCTGACTGGGACTTGAACTGGCAACCTTCTGCTTCTCGGGCCAGAGCTCAATCCACTGGGGCCTGCCAGCCAGGGCCCATTTTTTAATTGATGCACATCTCACACACCATAAAACACACCACTTTGAAGTGCACAATTCAGCATTTTCTAGAATGTTGCTGTGGTTGTGGAACCATCACCACTGCCCATATGACTCCCAATTTTCGGCCCAGCAGTATCTGCCCACACTCAGTGGGCCTCCAGAAGTCCCTCCCCACTTCCAGGGACCCACCACAGCCCCCATCCGCCTTCCCTGGCTCCAAGCTGGGCGACCACAGCAAGGGGCTGTGAAGGAAGCTGCTGTAAAGAGTCCTCCCTGTCTCCTGGAGGAGGGTGCCACTGGCGGCGGGACTGCTGGGTCACAGGTCCTACACGGCTGCAAGCTGAGGACCAGCAGCTGACCACTCTCCCCCTTGCCAGGTGGGTACATCTGTGTGGCAGCCCTTGGCTGGGTGGTGGAGACAGCCTGGAGAAGCCGGGCAGTCTGAGCCGAGCCTGGCTGGCACAAAAGGCGCCCATGGCCGTGGAGTCAGGAGTGGCAGAGGCTGCAGACTGCCCAGCGTCCCTGCTTCCCAAGTGACAGCAATCCTGCCTGAACTTTAGGGGCCACAGGGCTGCTCAGCCAATGGCAAACTGTCCTAGCGTTCCTTGAGGCCAGTTTGACTGTGACAGAGCTCCAGCAGGAGGACAGGGACAGAAGGCATGTATGCACATGGCCTGTCTCCCGGCCAGGGGGACGCGTGGAGGCGGCATAGCAGCCCTCGGAAAGAAGGAACAGGAGAAGACAGTTTCTTGTCGGAAGCAGTTTTGGGATCTATTAGGGCAGTGCGAACCCAGGCTGGAAAAGGCGGCAGACTACCTGGCCGTGGGAGGCGCCGCTGCCTGCAGGCACGCGCACAGCCCCGCACACGCACACGCAGGCTGCCTGCCCCGCCCCCAGCCTCACCGCACTCACTGGGGATGTCCTTCTGGGATGAAAGCCCACTAACCTGGCTGAAAAAAGTCTTTCTCCTGTTAGTAAGAATTACTTTTAACTAGTTATCTTCCAAGATATAAAGATAAATTATGCTGGTTGAGAAAAATTTTAAAATGACCAGTTGACATTTTCACCCTGCTTTTCTGCACCGTATTTTATGAAATCAGAATTACTCAGTCTTACATCCTATTTTGCCTTACTTTTTAGGGGTTAAAAAACTACATATCATGGGGTGTTTTGAACAGTAAGTGAGAGACGATGCAAGGCCTCAGCAGGGAAACGGGCGAGTGACGTTAGTTGTGCATCGGCTGCCACGGAAACCATCACCGGCTCACGCACGCGCACAACCCTCCGACACAGACGGGCCCCAGAGGCCCAGCATCCGCGGCACCAGCCCCCTCCCCCCGGCCTCCTTTAGGGTCAGGGCGCTATCGGTGGCATCACTGTCACAGGCACTCAGTGAGTCCTTGGCGACTGGACGCGTGTCTGGAAGAGGGCAAGGTATGCGGGAGGCACCTGGGCGCGCCGCTGCTCCGCCTCCTCCGCAGGGTGCAGTACGAGGCCCACATCAGCGGCGGCAGGGCAGCGTTGGGGAGCAGATCCCTGAGGAGTGGCCGCATCTGCCCGTGCTCCTGGGAGTGTGCAGGGCGGCTAACGCGCACTCAACCCGAGGATCCACGGTCGCTCCAACGTAGCCTGGGACCAGCAGGAAGGGGCACTCAGCTCTCCACCAGCCCCCCAGGTTCGGAACTGGGTGGGGCGGCACTAAGCACCAGCCCCAGGTCTTGAACCAGGCGCAGCGCTTTACAGCAGTCCCGCAGGACTCCAGCACCCTCCAAACCAGATGAGGCAGGTGTCACTTTTACTTCACGGATAATGACTCTGGGACTGAGACAGTAAACTGCCCAAGGTCATTGAACCAGCAAGAGGCTGAATTAAGGTCCGCACCCAGGCCTGCCTGCCTCCAGCGCCCATGTTCCCATTGTGAAGGGGTTCCCTTCCCAGGTGGGCTCTGTCACCGACACAGGACACTCTGCTTGGATCGGCTGAAATTAGTACTCAGGTGAGTGTGTATCACCCTGGCCAGGAGCTCAGCTGATTGGAGCATCGTCTCAATACAACATTGTGGGTTTGATCCCCAGTCAGGGCACATGCAAGAACCAATTAATGAATGCAGGAGTAAGCAGAGCAACAAATTGATGTTTCTCTCTCTCTCCTTCCTCTCTCTAAAGTCAATAAATAAAAGTTTTAAAAAGTAAGCTTACATTTTAAGTCTTGTTATTTTTCTTAATTTAAAAAAAGGGAACATGCCCTGGCTGGTGTGGCTCAGTGGGTTGAGCGTTGGACTGAAAACTAAAAGGTCGCCAGTTTGATTCCCAGTCAGGGCGCGTGCTGGGTTGCGGGCCAGGCCCCCAGTTGGGGGTGTGAGAGGCAAATCATCGGTGTTCCTTTTGCCCATCAATGTTTCCCTCCTTATCTCCCCCCTTCCCCTCTCTCTAAACATAAGATAAAAATCTAAAACAGTACAAACAAAATGAACAGAAGGAAGTGGGCTACCACGGCCTGCCCTCCTGTTAAAATGTAGAGAACTTGCGGGGTAACATGTAACACGCACTGTCTCCACGCACAGTCGGTGTGGAGGGGCGGGCAGTCCCTGTGCTGCAGATGAAGCAGGAGCTGAACCTGGGAGCAGCCCTGAGAGGCTTATGGGGGGCACTAGAAACTGTTCTCGTGCCCCACAGTAAAGGGGCATTAGGTCTGGGGACTCCAGGTCCCTTGTGGCCTAAAGGAAGGAAGCAGGAAGGTTTGCTTCAGCCCCGAGTCAATAAAAGCAGCAGGGCCCTGGCGTCACACGGACTGGGGCTCCGGGAGAACCTGCACAGGAGCAGCCTACACAGGAGCCTGCCCATCCTCCAGGTCATCGCCCCGAGCTCCCGTCCCTGCATGCGGCAGGGGACGGAGGGCCTGGCCTGTGCTTCCATTGCTTTCTTGCATCCTCCCCACAGCCATCTATGAGGTTCAGAGTGGTGACCGCTCAAGGCCACACCGGCTGCTGGCACGGCCTCCTCCTGCTACCCCACCCGACCTGTTTGGCTTCTGCTCCCCAGCTCTGCCCAAGGGTGCCAACAATCTTCTCTCCTAACAAGTCCAGTGGCCCTTCACCTGTCATCTTCCATGACCAGAGACAGCACTGCACATGCCTGACAGCTCCTTGAACTGCTCCCAAGGAGTTCTGCCCTGTACTGGGTCAGCCACTTCCCGGACCACCACTTCCATCTCTGGCTCCTGAAGGCCCATCTCTGGGCCTTCTCAGCTCTGCCCCCTCCGCCTGTCCTTCCCCAGACCTTTCCAGGAGAGTCAGGAACCCGTCTTGGTCAGTCCAGGAGTCAGAGGCTGCGGTCCGTGTGTAGGCTTGTGAAAAAACAAGTAACCCCTCCCCCAGTCTCTCTCCGCATCTCCCATAAAAGGGGTTATCGCCAGTATTAAGATGCTGTTACAATGTTACAGCCACAACAGGGACAAAAGGTCCATCTCTGTGGTTACGAGCAAGGTATGCCTGAGAACTTGGTTGGACCTTATGTCTCAGATCCGTCTGTCATTCACTGGGCCTGGACCTCAGTGGAAAAGAAGGGCTGCGGGGTGATCATGAGCCTAAGCTCAGCAGACAAACTGCTTGAGTTCAAAGCCCGCTTTCGGCTAACATCCGTGGGAAATGAGTCTCAGGCCCTGAGGTCCCCACGACCACGACCACGATGCGGCCAGTGTGTGATGTCCCTGACATCAGAGAGATGGCCACAGGGATTGATGAAGACCTCTATGGGCAAGGAACCTTCAGGAAAGAGCTAGGACCGCGAGGCCAAACCACCTCTCCCCACCTGGCAACTCCCCTTCAGGCCCGAGGTGGGTCGAAGTCTTGTCCAGCCTATCTTCCCGTCCACCTCCCCCCGCCGGGGCAGGTGCAGCTCTGCACCTCCCCAGCACAAAGCAGCCCAAGGCCCCGGCTCCTGGCCCAGCGTGATTTGCAGAGCTCCCTCGGGCTCCAGGGAGAGGAGACTGGTTTAGAGCAACAGAAGGGCTCCCCGCCCCCGCCTCCCACCCCAGGCCGCCGCAGAGGGTAGGAGGCAGGAGGCTAGAGGCCAGGCTCCACGGTTGGGTGGGTGCTCCAGGAACCCGGGAAGAAGCCAAGAGAGTGGAGCCGGGAATTTACCGACATGACGTTCCTTAGGGAGCGAGGCTGCTGGCCACGGGCCGGAGTGGCAGCCCGGCGGGTGGGTCGTGACGGTTGCTTAGAGACCGCTCCTCGAGGCTCAGGCTCCCGGACACCCAAGCGGGGCAGGCCCTTCCGCCCCGCCCACCGGAACGCCCTACCGCCCCCGCCCGCGGCCCGCGGCCCGGACAGCGCCACTCACCCGGCGCCCAGCGGCGAGCAGACGGCGTGCGCCGCACCTAGAGCCCCGGCTGACGGCCCCGCGGGCCGGCCGACAAACCCCGCAAGGAATCCCGCACACCACAGCCGGAAACCGACCCCAGGCCCCGCCCTGGGGACTTCCGGTTCCGCTGCAGGCGTGCAGAGGCCCGCCCACCTCTGGGCGTTCTGGGTTTACAGCCTGGCGCGGGAGGGGCGAGAAGGGAGTGAGCGGCGGGTGGCGGTCGCAGCCTGGACCCTGCACACCAGAGCGTGGCGTGTCTTCCAGCGTAAACGAGGGGGCTAGTTTCCGGTGAGCTGTCAGTGCCAACGCTGAAAGCCGGCGCCGTTCAGGCATCGCGGCAGAGGCCCTTGCCCGCTCAGTGTTAGTCTGCAAGCACCTCTAGACCTGCAAATATACATGCTTAAGAGGAATGGGAATTATTTGGTAATGCAAACGTACAAACATTATGAACACTACGCTAGTACGTGGGGACCTCTGAAGCCACGAACTGCTGCGTAAAGACGTAACAGTCTCTGTCTAGACAGCGACTGTACCGCTGGCGGCTTTGCAGATTCATTTCTCCCCTTCCCTAGGCCTCTCATCTGGGCAAGCTGACTAGAAAGCCTGCCTGTGCCCTGGCCCGGCGGCGGCTCAGTTGGTTGGAACGTCGCCCCGTACAGCACAGGGGTTTCAGGTTTGATGCCCGGTTGGGGTGCATGCGGGAAGCAACCAATTGCTGCTTCTGTGTGTGTGTCTCCCTCTCTAAAATCGATGAAAATATCCTCTGGTGGGGATTAAAATTAAAAAAGAAAAAGAAAGCCTGGCTGTTCCCTCCAAATCCCTGCCTGCAAGTGGCAACCCCCCCCCCCCAAACAGTCTGTTTGCTGCGCTCTCAGGCCGTTCTCCGAGCACTGACCTGCTATTCCCTGAAAAGCCTACTTCTCTAAGTACTAAATCTCAAACCCTCTTGCGCGCGCACGCGCGTGTGTGTGGCGTCACAACAAGTCCATGTGAGAACCACGTTTTGGGTGAGGATCCACCCTGTTCCTGCAGGATGATCACAGCAGAAAAGAAGGACCATCCTCATCAATGCGCACCACTGCTTCCTTGTGCAGGACGACTGCACGCGAATGAGGAAAGCGACGACTCATGCCGGAAGCAGTATGTTTCCGACACCAGTCAGTTTCAAGGTCAAACAACTGCAAACGTTCCTGATACCTGGACCAGTCTCCACCTTTTTTCTTTAAAAAAAACATTGGTGCCAGAGCCAAGCACAGATCCTGGGGGATAGGGGCGCCCATGAGTTTGTTACTTGAAGTCCTCTGCAGTGAGGGCTCAAGGCACCACTGCCCAGGTCTTCGGTGGGATGTGGACTGTCGTAGGAACAGGAGCGTCCAGCACAGGGTTCTTAAGCCTGCCCTCAACAAGTCTCCAGGAGAACCCATTAAAGTTAATTCCCTAGTCTACCCAGACACGCAAAACCAGAACATTTACGCCCAAAATTCCGTGCCTCAAGCAAGCATCCCGGGTGAGCCAGAGCAGGTAAAAAAACAAGGTGGTACCTAAGCGCGTGTAGTGGACGGAAGAGGGGTCTAGAGACGGTGTGGGGCGTGGCCTGAGCGTGCGCTTTTGCACTGGAGAAGCAAGGTTCAAAGCCGGTGCAGAGGCGGGGCCTGATTGCGTGAACAAAAGGGAGGCTGGGCGTGTGGAGCCGCTCTAGGGGGGGATTGAGAAAGGGGCGAGGCCTGAGCCGTGGCCCGGTGTGGAGCCTGTGTGGACAAGAGGAGGGACACTTTGGCTGGTCCTCTGGCCTGGATATTCGTGGGCGTGCGCTCAGTCCAGTGCAGATGCGGTTCCTGGACCACGCGGGCCCACATTGGGTGCCCGCTGGACCCGGGCAGCATCCGGACCAGCCTGTGGGCTCCATGTCCCCTGCGGTCCCTGCCTCGCAGTCCCTCATGCGCTGCGGCCACCACCAGTGGCCCAGACGGCGTCGCTCGGATTCTCCAGCCGGGTCAGCACTTTGCTGATCCAGCTCCCCGACTTAATTAACTGGTAATAAGCTGCACACGTGCGGGGTGTGCGGCCGCGCCATTACGCCCTTCACGCTGAAGCTGCACTGCCACCAACGGGTTCACAAAAGGCAAGAAGCCCTTCAGTGGCGAGCAATGCGGAGAGACCTTCAACTACAGCATCCTCCTTGCCCAGCACCAGCTGTTCCGCACCCGGGGAGGCCGTTCTGGTGTGCAAGATGCTGGAAGAGTTTCATCAGGAAACGAAGCTTTAGAAACCATCACAAATCCCACTTGCACAGTGGTGCAGCTTGGACCTCAGCCAGTTAAGCTTCGAGAGCAGCAGCTGCGAGGGAAAAGGGTTGGGACCTGCTCCAGTTCTCTGTAAAAATGAAAGGGCTCCCCAGGAGGACGGCCCATGGCCAGCTGGGCAGCGCCACGGCAAGACCAGCCCAGGACAATTCTAGTCATCATTTGGTTCTAGAGTTTTCAGGGTTTTTTTTTTCTTTTTTTTAAATAACTATTTTACTTATTTATTTTTAGAGCAAGGGGGAGGGAAGGAGTAAGAGAGGGAGAGAAACGTTGAAATGTGGTTGCCTCTAGCACGCCTCCCTGCTGGGGGCCTGGCCCACAACCCAGGCATGCACCCTGACTGGGAATTGAACCGGTGACCCTTTGGTTCACAGCCCACACTCCATCCACCCAGCCACACCAGCCAGGGCACAGAGAGTGTGTCTTATTTACATGTTTTTTTCAGACAGTTATTCTACAAAGAATAAGCTTGCATAGTACGAATGTTTCATGTACAATAATAACATTAAAAACTATGAAAACACATGGTCTAAACATGAAACCAGTTTTATGAAATAAGCTACTGGTAGTAAGATCGATATGAAAGTTAGTCGGCCAATGTTGCCCAAGCATGAAGGAGCCAAAGAATGTTGTGTATTGGGAACGTTGTGCATTTGCGTGCCCAGATCACCCACTGAAATCTCAGCATTCCTGAGGTCTGCCTGCCTTTGGGCAGGGGACCACCGACAGTGTAGGGGAGCCCAGCGAGCCTCCAGCTCTGCCTGCGGCCCTTCCTTTCTGGAAGCCCGTGGCCAGCCACCGTCGGGCCTGCAGGAGTAGAGCGCGAGTGCACCAAGACCCTGGTCCCACCCAGTCAAGAGAGGGACCGCAGGTTCCTCCCAACTAAGACTACAGAGCTTCAGCGATGCGCGGCCTCTCCTCTCATATTCCCGCATCCTCCTCAGCAGGAGGAGGATGCCCCGCACCTTTGGTTTGGTTAAGGTGGTCGTGGCCCGGGCAGCCTGAGGTCATCGCGCCAGGGTCAGCCCCCCAGGACCCGCCGCGCGGATGCAGAGCTGGTGAGGACTACATTTCCCAGGCTGCTGCGCGGTTCCGGGTTGCACAACACTACAACGCCTGGGCGCCTTGCGAGGACTCCAGGTCCCAGAAGGCCACGGGAGGGCCCCTCCCTCCGGACCCGCCCCCACCTTCTGGTCCCGGGCTGGCGGCTGGAAACGTAGCCTGCGCCGGAAGTAGCAATCTGGACACGGAGCAGGTCTGAGGTACACGGGAGACCCCTCGGGACACCGACAGAATCCCGGCAGGGTGCGGCGTGGCCAGCTGGGGCCCTGGGCACTCCATGACAGCCAGAGAGCCCTGAAAGGTGTCGGGACCCCGGGGACGTGGGACAAGGATAACGAGTGTGAGAGGGTACCTAGCTACAAGATACCTGCGGGCGTGGGAAGGGACCCGTGGGCGAGGGCAGGGATCGCGGGCACGAGAGGGTCCTAGGGGCATGAAAGGGGACCCCTGGGTTTGTAGGTGGCCCTGGGCCTAAGGAGACATCTGAGAGAGGCGTAGAAGGGCTGGCTGCCCTGGGGTCTCTGTCCACAGGCCTGCTGCTAGACTGCCTGCGCCGTTGGGAGCAGCAGATGCCTGGGCAGGGCCCCGCAGCGCAGTCAGAGCCTTCCGGTAGGGCTTAAGCAGATTTCCAGCCCGCAAGAAAGCGTACTCGAGGGTGGTGGCGCCTCGAGGCCTGGGGACAGGTGGAACTTGGGACAGATTCACTTGGCTGGGTGGTAGCCGCAAGGTTCTCGTGAAGTTCTGGACAGAGGGCTGGGAGGAAGGATGGTTCGGGCCAGTGGGGTGTCTCTGTTGCCCAAGAGCCACCTCCTCCCTGGGGTCTTTGCCCTGGGCCAGCCTCCGGACAGTCGTTGCCAGCCCAGCCCATGTAAAGGCTGTGACACTGGGCAGGGGTGTCTCAGTGGAGCAGGCTTCTGCTGGACAGAAGCTCGAGGGCCTCAGCCTCACACCCTCTGGCCCTACAGGTGCAGCCACTATGGGTGAGCCCCAGGGGTCCATGAGGATCCTAGTGACAGGGGGCTCTGGGCTGGTGGGCAGAGCCATCCAGAAGGTGGTAGCAGATGGGGCCAGGCTGCCTGGAGAGGAGTGGGTGTTCGTCTCCTCCAAGGATGCTGATCTCACGTGAGTGGGCCCATCCCCAGAGCAGGCCCCATGCCCTCTCCAGACAGAGCGCTGCTGGGCCAGGCCTGTCCCCAGAGCCTGGTGGCTTCATGGCTGCTCCCTCCCTGCCAGGTGGCTGGTGTGGCCTGAGGGTGCACAGCTCCGCTGCTAGGCAAACACCCATATCCTCCTGGAAGTCCACACCCTCATCATAGCCAGGGCCTGAACTGGCCACTTTCCCTCTTGGCAGCCCATCCCGCCATTGGCCCCACCCAGCACCTGTTCCCCATCCCCCATCCCCAGGGTGCTAGTCCCCTGAGGCTTTCAAGGGACCCTTGATGGTCCGCTACTCCTAGGGATGATGCACAGACCCGAGCCCTCTTTGAAAAGGTCTGCCCCACACACGTCATCCATCTTGCTGCGATGGTGGGAGGCCTGTTCCGGAATATCAGATACAACTTGGACTTCTGGGTAAGTGAAGGCCCCCACGGAGCACTGGGAGCTGGGTTCTGGGAACTTCCTGGCTGGCTTTCCACTTTCATGTTCTAGCCTCAGGAAGTCCCTGGTGATCAGGGCTTGACACAGGCTGAGGGGGAGCCCCAATGATCCCCACTTGCTCTTTATATAGGCAGAGGGGTGTGCAGGTGGATCTGGGGCATTTGGCCTAATAGAAAAAGCCATGGAGATGGCCAGCTGGTTAGGGGCTGAGGGGAGCCAGCCCAACATTCACCACGTGACCTGGGGCTTGGGCCCTGCCCCCGAGCTTCGCCTGTGCCCAGCACCTCTCCCGTTCAGCTGCACTGAGCTGTGAGCTGGACGCTGGGCCCACAGCCTGGGCCCTGGGCGGGGGGCGGGGGGCATGGTGTAAGAACCAGAAAGAGAATGAGGCTCTTCCAGGCTGTGTCTGAGGGTTGGCTTCACCATCTCTGGGTATCTGCTGGCTTAGGCATAGTTCAGCCCCACGCCGGGCACTGGGCTGGCAGAGACTGAGACCAGGTTCCGGTCAGGGCCCCTTATATCAGTTACAGCCTTCCCAGCAGAACTGACCACCACTTCTCCCTTCTCCCCTGACCAGAAGGGGAGGTGGGGCCCGGGAAGGAGTGGGGCTGGCCCAAAGCTTCCCTGTTCCTGGGTAGTAGAGCCCTGGAAGCTCTTCTGACTGGATGGGTCCCTTCCGCCCCAGGGCCTGGTTGGGGTTCTGAGTGCCTTTCTGCCCCTGAGCTACTTGCCCTGTCCTTAACAGCCCCTGTGGCTACGGCCTAGCCCCGAGCTGAGGGGTGGGTAGGCCCAGATCCTCCTACTGTCCTGGGAGTGGGCTGCCAGCTCAGGAAGTCACAGGCCAGGAAGGGCAGAGCAGTGAGGAGAAGCAGGCCCAGGTGCGTCCCCACTTCTGGCCCTGGAGGAGCAGGTAGGGCTGGGGGGCCTGAACCTGCCATCATCCCCCAGAGGAAGAACGTTCACATCAACGACAACGTCCTGCATTCCGCCTTTGAGGTGGGAGCACAAAAGGTGGTCTCCTGCCTGTCTACCTGCATCTTTCCTGACAAGACCACCTACCCCATTGACGAAACCATGGTGAGAGGGCGGGGCCGGGCTGGGGGCGGGGCCAGGCCTGAGGGCGGGGCCAGGCCTGGGGGCGGGGCCAGGCAGCTGTGGTCTCCTCTGCTTCCCCAGATCCACAACGGGCCACCGCACAGCAGCAATTTTGGCTACGCCTACGCCAAGAGGATGATCGACGTGCAGAACAGGTTCTAGAGCCTGCCCAGCTGAGGCCGGCCAGGAATAGGGGGCCCGAGGGGCTTGGGGGGCACTATGTAACCCCCGCAGGGCTCCCAGGCCTCATCTCTCTTCTTGGCCAGCCTCTGGTTTTTCCATCTGTACAAGGCCAGAGTGGGGTGGGGTAAGTGGTCCCAGAGTGAGAACTGGAGAGGACACTGTGCCTCCGCAGGGCCTACTTCCAGCAGCATGGCTGCACCTTCACTGCTGTCATCCCCACCAATGTCTTCGGGCCCCACGACAACTTCAACATTGAGGATGGCCACGTGCTGCCTGGCTTGATCCACAAGGTGCACCTGGCCAAGCGTGAGTGCCCGCCACTCAGCACACTGGCCAGACCACCTTCCTGATGGGGTCCCTGGGGGTCAGCTGGGAGGCACAGGGCTGGCGCAGCCGCTGACGCCCACCCGTCCCCAAATCCACAGGCAGCGGCTCAGCCCTGACGGTGTGGGGCACAGGGAAGCCTCGGAGGCAGTTCATCTACTCACTGGTTCGTGCAGGCGGGTGCACAGCTGTCCCCAGATCGTCTCAGGCCTGCGGTTCTGGCTGTGGGGAGGCAGTGGGGAGCCTGGGGGTGGGTGAGTGTCTGGGCTGACACCCTGGCGGAGCAGCAGCTCGTCCTGAGTCCCTGTAGGCACCCAGCCTCCAGGGAGTTGCTGGGTGCAGCTCTGAGCTCAGCGGGAGAAAGGGTCTGGTCCACTGAGCAGAGCTGGCCAAGGACTGCCCAGAGAGGGAGGGACCCTGCTCTCTGGGCTACGCCCCCACTGGATAGGGGTGCTTGGGAGAGGTGGCCCCTGGCCCCGTGTGGCAGTAACTGGGGGCCCTTGGCCCTGCCTCTCTGGCTCTAGGACCTGGCCCGGCTCTTCCTCTGGGTCCTGCGGGAGTACACTGAGGTGGAGCCCATCATCCTGTCAGGTGGGCACCTTGCAGCCCCACACCCACAGCCGCAGCAGGCATATCCGTGGGTGGCTGGGTGGCAGTGGGGCCCGGCAGAGGGGGCTTGACCTGGCCTTTGTTCGGTCCCTCAATCGTCACAGTGGGTGAGGAGGAGGAGGTTTCTATCCAGGAGGCAGCTGAGGCCGTGGTGGAGGCCATGGACTTCCGCGGGGAGGTCACCGTATCCTTCAGCTCCAGTGGGCACCGCGCCTTCCTGCGTGAGACTGCGCGCCTGGTGGGCAGGGGGCGCTCACACCAGCAGCTGGAGGGAGGGTCTGCGGATCCAGAGAGGCTCCCCAGGGAGAGGCAGAGAAGGTTGAAGGGCAGCCTGGAAGGAGGCTGGGGCCGCCCTTTCTGCTGTGGCCTTGACTAGGCACCTAGTTTGATACAACCAAGTCAGATGGGCAGTTCAAGAAGACGGCCAGTAACAGCAAACTCCGGGCCTACCTGCCGGAGTTCCGGTTCACACCCTTCAAGCAGGGTGAGTGCCCTGTCCCCCTCCATCCTCCTGCCGTCACCCCTCAGACCTCCCAGCCTCCCCACCGCCCCTTTCTAGGCCTCGGCCCACTGCTGCCAGCTGGGGGTGGACACCTGGCAGGTTGGATCCCCCATCCCTCATCAGGCAGCAGGACACAGAGGGGTGACCGCCCTCCCTGGGTGCCCTGGAGGTCGGGGCTGTCCTAGCCCTCACCCGCCACCCCCTCACCTGCGCTCTGCAGCTGTGAAGGAGACCTGTGCCTGGTTCACCGACAACTACGAGCAGGCCCGGAAATGAAGTGCAGTGGTGGGCCAGGTGCTGGCCCCCCACCACGGAGACCCTAGTGGCTGCTCACCTGGCAGAGCCCAGTGGCAGCCCCCCTCATGCTCAAACCCTACCAGGAGTCAAGGGCGCTGCCCAGCAACTTGGGCCCATGTTCCACCCCCTCCACCAGGGTGGCTCCAGGCTGCTGTCTGCTGGGGCCACCATTCACATCATTCCTCAGGGAAACCAAGGCTTGGCCAGGCCAGGTGCCTTGCTCCTCAATGCCAGTGCCCGGGGCCTGAATGTGCCCACTTCCGATCTTGCCCTCCTACTCCTGGGAGCCAATAAAGTACGTTTCACAGGCCTGGCCTTGGCAGTTCTGTGCCAGCTCTCCCCCACACCAGGTACCGCCTCCTCAAACCCCGCCAGCTCTGGGAAGCCCTGCCCCACTGCTGATGGCTCCGCCCCTGAGAGCTGCTGGGCCCGGGTGGGCACCTGTCCCTGGGGGGCAGAGGGAGAGACATGGAGACAGGCAAGTGTGGGGCAGGAAGCAGGCAGACGACAGGGATGAGAGGGGACTGTTGTCGGTGGGGACGTAGGGCAGGTGTTCCCTGCTGGGGCCCTGGGCCCCCCAAGGGCTTTCCTCTTGGGCCCCAGGATTCTGCAGAGGGAGGCTGGTCTGGATTTGGACGGGCCGAGTGGTATAGATCTGAGGGCACAGTGGCGATTGGGTGGTGTAGCCTTTCCTGGGACCCAGGAGAAAGCTGGGCCAGGCCTGGCCCTCATCTCTCTTCCCCCACTCAGGTGGCAGCTTGGGTGCTGGGGCCCAGCCTGCCCTTGTCCCATGGACAGTAACAGGAGTGACTCGAGGCCTGGAGGGCAGGGAGGTGAGTGGCATGGACCTCCCATTCTCAGTGGGAGCTGGGTGAAGTCCAGACAGGTCGAGTGACAGTTTGCCTCCATCGGCCCCTGGTGCTGGGGTATGGACCCCCAGCGGTACCCAGCTCCAAAGCCCCCTCTGGACCGCCTCGCCCAGGACCCAGGCCTCGCCCCTGGCCTGCCTCTTTTCAGGGCTGCTCTCCCAGGGCCCTCCGCTTCCTTCACTCTGATGACTCCCAGCTTTCTTCTGACCCAGATGTGGCTGCCACATCCATTCCTTCCTTCGTCTACTCCAGTGGCACTGCCTCTCCCAGAGTCCAGCTGACCTCTCACTGCACTTGTCACCACGCCCTCTTGGGCAAGCTCAGGGGTTCGTCCTGCAGTCCCCAGAGCCACTCACATCAGTGCCTGCCAATCTAGGTCTTGGCCATGGTGCTTCTTGCCCCCAAATGCCCACCTGCTGTGCAGGGTGCTGTGCTGCCTGCTTGCCTGTGCGGAAACCCCTGGAAGGCCCCCCTCCCCAACGCCTTGGAGCTTCAGGACCTGGGTCTGCCCTTTAGTATAACCCCTCGCAGCCAGCCCTTGGGGATGAAAGGGCTGTGTGGGGGCTCAGGGGCAGGATGGAGGGCATGGCACCTTAGTGGGAACGCTGATTGGCCAGGTGAGAACAGTGGGAAGAGGCTGGCATGGAATGGAGAGGCCCCTGGCAGGACACACAGTTGTCTGTCCTGCGTCCCCTGGGCTGTCCTGTATGTATGTTTACCGAAGAGGGACTGTCTCCCCAGATGGAGCACAGGTCCTCAAACCCGGGGTGCTGCTGTGCAGCTGTGAAGTTAGCAGCGGGGTGGCACTTGTCCCTGCCCAGAGCAGAGCCCCACATGGGGTGGGGGTGGGGGGATGGGGATGGGCAATGTTGAAGTCCATCATTAAGTGAAGCACTTAAAAAATCAAAGTAGAGCCCTGGCTGGTGTAGCTCAGTGGCTTGAGCACAGGCCTGCGAACCAGATGATCACAGTTCGATTCCCAGTCAGGGCACATGCCTGGGTTGCAGGCCAGTTCCCAGCAGGGGATGCATGAGAGGCAACCATACATTGATATTTCTCTCCCTCCCCTTCCTATCTAAAGATAAATACATTTAAAAAAATCAAAGTAGAGTTTAAAAAAGAGTAAGCCTTAAAATGTGATTTTAGCTTGAGTGGACAGTAAAAAACAAAACCCCCTACAATCTTGGATCTTCAAGCCTTAATTTTCCCACGTCAATTAAAAATGACAGGAGCACTCCCCATCCTCCCCATCAGTCTCTATGGTGGCCCCTGGCCACGCGCTCCACCTCCCTCAGAACCAGTGAGGGCCCGGCTCACTGGCTGGTGCGGCTCAATTCAAGCACTGGCCTGGGGACTGAAAATCCCCAGTCAGGACACATGCTTGGGTTGGCCCAGATCAGGGAGTATGGCAGGCAACCGATCAATGTTTCTCACCCTCTTTTCCCTCTGAAAATAAATAAATACAGTATTTTAGAAAAGGAAAAAAGGCCTCCAGCCTCTTCCCTGCAGTGCTCCGGGAGGTCCACGGACACCTGGATCTGGGCTGGCCGGAGGAGCTCCCAACGCAGAAAAGCTAGACATCAGCTCACAGGGTTCACTGGCGGTGTGCGTTTTACTCTGCCACCAGGGGCCGCTGCAGCTTGGGAGGGAGTTCTGAGCAGGGAGCTCTGACCAGGCAGTCCTGTTCCCACCTGTGCCCACTCCCAGGCTCTGAACAAAGAACCAGGGCTCTCTGAGAACACTGCTTCCCCCCCACCCCAGCAACCAGCGTGAGGCTGGCAGGACCCCATATCCCAGCACCTGACCTGTCGTGCTGACAGGCCCGAGTTTGGACCCTGCCCTGCCTGGGTTGCCCAATTAGAGCATCCTCCCAGCACACCAAGGTTGCCGGTTTGACCCCCCAAGGTCGTGGGTTCAATCCCCCATCAAAGCACATACAAGAATCAGCCAATGAATGCATAAATAAGTGGAATAACAAACTGGTGCCTCCCATCCTCTATCTCTCTAAAATCAGTAATTTTTTAAAGGGGGTTGGGTGGAAGTGGAAGGAGGATATATGGTAATGAAAGAAATACAATAAAAAATAAGTTATTAAAAAATAAAGATGTCACTCCTGGAAGCTCAGCTGCTCAGCGACGACCAATCGGTGGCCTCCAGGGTTCTGCAGGGTCCCCACGGGGAACACCCGCCAGGCACCCTCCCCCGCACCGGCCTTCCAGTCGGGGTTGGAGGAGACCCCATCCTTTCCGACCGTTTCTTTGAATGGAGCTTCTCAAGCTGCCCTTTGGAAAACTGATCTGATCTGCACACATGCGCCCAGGATTCTGCCCAGGCTCGCCACGGTCTCAGCACCGGAACACAGATCTTCGCTCCGCATGATTGCGGGCCTCGCCCCTCGGGAAGTCGTCCCCGTGACGTTACCCGCCCGTGTCCCCACCAGACCCCTGACGCAAACTTTCAGACCAATGAACAGGGAGGGGGCGGGACGCGGTAGCCCGCCTGGAGGGGCGGAGCGTGCGGTCCCGGTAGCCAATGACGAGGGTGGGGGCGAGGCGGTGTAGCCCGTTGGCGAATAGAGGGTCGGGGCGAGAAGCGACTGGGGCGCCTCGAGGCGAAATGGCGGCGGCGGCGGTTGGGGAGCCGAGCTCTCGGCGCGTGGGCTTCGTGGGCGCCGGCCGCATGGCGGAGGCCATCGCTCAGGGCCTCATTCGAGCAGGTGGGGCGCCGCGGGTGTGGGTCTCACGGAGGCGTCCGACGCCGGCCTGATGTGGGAGGGACGGGCATGCCAGGCCGGACGGAGCTTCCCAGCCTAGAGGGATGAATCCTGCAGAGCCCCTAGGCGGAGCCTGGGCAGCCAGGGTCCTGCGCGCTGGAATCCCACGGTGGTGCAGGGCCGGGCGGGTGTGGGCCGGAGTGGATGCGGACCCTGCTGTCCGGACTGCTGCCCTCAGAGAACACGGCAGGAGTCTTACTAGAGTCGGCTGTCCCCAAGCAGCCTCCAGCCTCATGTGACCGGAGAGCTCTTGAAACGTGGCTAGTCCGAATTGAGAAATAAATGCTCAGAGTGTTTAGAATAAAATCTGTATCTGATTTGGAAGATTTAGCACATAGGAAAAGTGACGTATTTAGTAATTTTTAATAGTGGTTATGTGTTGGCAGGATACTATTTTGGGATTAAATAAAATATACCAATAACTTCACCTGGTGCTTCTTTCTTGTTTCACGTGACTGCTGGAAAATGTAGTTACTGCTCTTGGACAGCGCTGGCACAGCCTGGGATCTCCAGCCAGGTCTCTGGCCTCGGTCGCATTGCTTGACCTCTCTGAGCCTCCTTTGTGTGCCAGCTCCACTTGCAGTGGCCAGATCATCCCTTATGGAGAAACTGGTTTCCTGCAAGGGATGACGGTGCCGGCTTAACCCTATTCCACGGTAACCAGAGCCCTTTACGTGTAGGTAACGGTCTGACTTTCTGACTTCAGCGGTACCTCAAAGTCCCGAGTGGTCAAAGTCAGTCACCAAATGGCCTACTGCAAGGCGCAGGTGTCTCACCTGTGAAGCCCGGCAGCACTGCCCGCCTCCGAGGCCTCCCGGGCTCTGTGTTGAGCTCAGTGCCTGTGATGCACCGTGGGCCTTGCTGCCCCGATGGGTCAGTTCTGGGTTCGGTTTGGGGTGCACTTCTGCCTCTGCTTTGACACCCCCACAAAGATGCACTCTCTCCAGAGAAGCTCGGCCCTCACGGGGCCTCCCTGCCTCGCACGTCCCCTTCCTCTCTCGGCCCCTGGGATCTCTGTCCTCTCAAGATGGGGCAGGCTCTTGTCCTCCGTGTCCAGGCAGTGTGGGTGACTGCCGAGTAGAATTAAATGGGTCTGACTACTTGGTCCTGGCTGCACGGAGCACCCCTGCCGGGCACTTGGGTTCTTGGAGGGTTCAGACCAGCCAAAGGCCAAGATGGCCCAGGCATGGCTGAACCTGACAGCCCTCAGTAGGAGGCAGGCCCGGCTGCCTCCTGCCCGCCCTCCTCCCAGCCTCCTCACTGACACCACGCCCTTGCCCTTCCAGGAAAAGTGGAAGCTCATCACGTGCTGGCCAGTGCACCCACTGACAGGAACCTCTGTCACTTCCAGGTGAGCTGTGGACCAGCTCTTCTGAATTGAAGCTTCCCACAGGGACCTCGGGTGACTCTAGCTCCTGTCTCTCTCAGACATTTCTTGAGGCCAGGGAAGTGCTACTGATGTAGCTCAAGTTTGGGACTAGCTGGGTTGGGCTAGGCTGGAGAAGGGAGGTCAAAGGCCAGAAGCAAGGTCAGGGTTGTGCAGGGCCAGGGCAGAGTCAAGGGGTGTGGTGTGTGCACATGTGAGTCTGCACATGTGTGTGTGTATACATGTGCGTGCATGCCTGTGTGTGTTGGGGTGGGCAGGGATGCTCATGGGCGCTCACCGGGCTTGGAGGGCTCACAGAGGGGCTGGTGACAGGTGTTTGTGAGACTCAGGGTTTGGTCCCAAGCAGCACTGGGTGAGTCCCAGGGGTGGTGCATCTGCAATGGGAGGGACCCACAGGGACCCGTGGGAATGCAGGGCGGCCTCCAGCCAGAAGGGCAGTGGTCTGGGAAGATGCCCACTCACCGTGCCCTGACCCCTGTGTTCCCGGTGCAGGCTCTGGGCTGCCAGACCACCCACTCCAACCAGGAGGTGCTTCAGAGCTGCCCGCTCGTCTTCTTTGCCACCAAGCCCCACATCCTGCCAGCCGTCCTGGCAGAGGTGGCCCACGTGGTCACCTCTGAGCACATTGTGGTGTCTGTGGCTGCTGGGGTCTCTCTGAGCACCCTGGAGGAGGTGAGTGGCCCGTGGGATGAGGTGGGGATGAGGCTCTGACCCCCGCAGAGTAGGCTGTTCTGGGCAGATTCAGCTTTCCAGCCTCTGCCATCCTAAACCGGCTCCACCCTGGGCTCAGCAGGGGTGGGACAAAGGGCAGGCGGCCTCCTAGCCAGCCTGCAGAGGCGGCCGGGTGGCTGAGGGAACTGGGGTTCGGGTTTCTCCTGGCATCACCCCTGGGAAGTGGGGGTGGGAGCCTGGCTGAGGCGTGTGCCTGCCCTGCAGGCCAGGCCCACGGGCTCCCTGACAGCAGCCTCTCTCCGGCCAGCTACTGCCCCCGGCCACACGGGTGCTGCGGCTCTCACCCAACCTGCCCTGCGTGGTCCAGGAGGGGGCCATGGTGTTGGCCCGTGGGCGCCATGCCAGGAACAGTGAGGTCGAGCTCGTACAGACTCTGCTGGAGGCCTGCGGGCAGTGCGAGGAGGTGCCTGAGGCCCAAGTGGACATCCACACTGGCCTCAGCGGCAGTGGTGTGGCCTTCGTAAGTGCTGTTTGGTCCCTCTGTCCCCTACAGCTGTCCACTAGCTAAGTAGGGCCGTCCAGATCCCTGAGACCACCCCTACCTTCTGGACCCAGTGGCTTAGGCCTCAGCTGCCTGTGAGGTTTGCTTTCCCCCTACATCTCTGCTTTCCTGGGCCTTGGAGCTGGCTCTTGGCAGACCCCTGGGCTAGGCCTCAGCACTAGGCCCTGCACTGGTAGCCAGCACTCTAGACCTTACTCCCGAAGCTTCTGGGCCTTCTCTAGATGGGTGCTGTGTCTAGGGGAGTGTTGGCTTTGATACCGCTGCCCCCACAGGTATGCCTGTTCTCTGAGGCTCTTGCTGAAGGTGCCATCAAGATGGGCATGCCCAGTGGCCTGGCTCACCGCATCGCCACCCAGACCCTGCTGGTGAGTGACTTCGGCTCCAGGGGAGCCAGTGTAAGGGGCTGGGCCTGTGTGCTTCCTGGGAGCAGTGGGGACGCATGGCAAAGCTGCTGCACAGTGGGGCTGAGCTGGAAAATGAAGGGGCTGCTCACCTCTCCTGAGTCACTGCCCCCAATGCTCCTCTCCCCAGGGGACAGCCAAGATGCTGCTGCAGCAGGGGCGGCACCCTGCACAGCTACGGACAGACGTGTGCACGCCCGGCGGCACCACCATTTACGGCCTCCACGCCCTGGAGCAGGGCGGGCTGCGGGCAGCCACCATGAGTGCTGTGGAGGCCGCCACCTGCCGGGCCAAGGAGCTCAGCAGGAAATAAGGAGCAGGTGCCGGATGAGGGCCACAGCCCCGGGTGCTGGAGCCGCCCTGCCCCTCCGTTCCCTTCCTCTGGCCCCTTCCCGAAGACTGTGGTTCTCTCTGACTCGCAGGACCCTCACTGGACGCACCCTGCTTCCCACAGGGGAAATGTGGGGGGTGGAGCCGGAGGGGATCCCTCAGCAGTGGGGACCCCGCGCCCTGCCATCCAGGCACAAGGCCTCATGCTGATGGCCCACCTCGGGGTGCCACAGGCAGAGACGTCGGCAGAGCCTCTGGCACAGCAGCAGCTGTGTGGCCGCATCTGGCTCAGGTTCGGGGACAGGAATCTACGCGAGAGACTTGCTCCCCTCAGTAAAGCCAGCAGTGCCGGGCTGTCACGTCTGTCCTGTCCCTGGGTTGGCCTGCGGCTGGGTTGGGTTGGGGGCTGCCCCACATTTGGGAGGATGAGCCTTGGCTAGCAGGGGCCAAGCTCCAGCTTGGCTTTAGCTGGGTGTGTGTCCCTTCCCCAGACCCTTAGCTTCTGGCAAGTGGCAGGTGGAGCTGGCCCTGATGACCCTTCTCAGTCAAGAGTCCTGCAGGGTCCCAAGGCATGGCCTCTGACTGCAGGACCCTGCTCTTCAGGATGTCCCTGACAGACCGGTAGGCCAGGAATGGCCTGAAGCAAGGCTGGGGTAACCTTTGGGTGGGTGGGTGCCTGCAGCTTTGTCCCTGGCACTGCCCATAAGGCCCCTGGGCCTCTTCGCTCCCACAGTCGCCGCTGCCACCAACTGCTGAGGCTTTGGGAAAGTAATCTGACTGTAAGACAGTGGAGAGCCCCTGTGTGCTTGCGCCCTCCTGATGGTCTACCCCCCACTTGGGTCCAAGGGGGCCCCCCCTGCAGGTCTCTGGCCCCCGCCCTCTTCCCACCTGCGTCCGACCCCACACCCAGCCCCTTTCCTGTGCGGTGGGAATAAAGCCCATGTCGTGTAGCACAGAGTGGCCAGTATTGAATGGGAGGCCGACAAAACCGCATCCTCGGGCTTGGCAGCACAGGCAAGGGACCCACCCGTCACCCGAGAACCCTGCGTGCACCATCAGCCGTCTGGCATGGGTCCCAGTGTTGCATCCCTCACAGTCCTTGGGGAGCAGAGTGGACTCAGCCCAGCAGGCTGCTCCCTGAATGAGGGCCCCGCCCAAGAAGGGGCAGGATCGCAGCCCGGCTGTTTGCCGGCCAGCTCTCACCTTCCACCACGAGGCTGAACTGACTTTCAGGAGAGCCTGGGGCCTGTGGTAACCATTTCTCCTTTCTCTGTGTCGTCTGGTTTTCAGCGAGGGAGACAGTCCGGATCCAAGGGACTCCCACCCCCTACACCCAGGCAAGCCCTGTCATCAGTGAGGCTAGATGTGAAAGGGCCCTATGGAGCGTGCAGCCCACCGGCTCACTGTCCTTCCAAGGATATGCCACTGGCGTCAAGCCTCACTGGTGGCCACCCCCATCATGGGCCAAACTACTTCCAGGACCCTGCTCCCACCGGGGCTCCCCACGGCATTCCCTTGCCTGCACTTGGCCCATGGGTGTGGGTCCCTGGGTGGTGGGCCTCTCAGCTTGAAGGTACACCCCTTCCTCTTGTCCCTCACTCAGATTGCATCTGCCACTGGGGAGCCTGGGCCCAAGGACTTGGCCCCTCCAGGCAAGGCAGGGCCCCTCTGTGGCCTGGTTGTGCCACACGGCCCGAAACATGCAGGCCAGGGGTGGGCACACGCTCCCCTGCCCAAGGGCCACTGTGTGGAAGAGCAGTGACTGTCATGGCCTGGAGTGGACCTCAGGGGTGTGGATGGGGGGGAGGGGCTACTGGCTTCATCCCCAAGCACGCCCTGCTGCAGGGACCCCACACTGTAGCCAGGACTGGGTAACCCTCCAGGGCCAGTTTCAGGCTTGCAGACAGTGGAAGAAGGAATTCTAGCAGCATCAACACTGACCCCTCCCTGGTGGCACTCAACCCGCATTCTCAGGTCGGCACAGACCAGGGTGGCAGCTCTAATGCCCACGGGTCTAGCAGATGGCAGCAGTGAGGCTGCCAGCTGGGGTCCACTCCCACCATTCTGCTGCAGAGGGATGCCGGGGGGGTCCCGTGGGAAGCCTCTAGCTGGCCCCCCGTGATTGCACACCCAGCTGAGTGGCTGTGAGGTGGCCACACTGGGACCACAATGACCTGTGGGTGGGACAGCCCGCAGGGCCGGGTGCCTGCAGCTTCCACCCCATCACACATGTGACACCAGAACCTCCATTCTAGACAGGACACTCTTATGGGCCCCTCACGAGGTGAGGGGTGCCTGTCCCGCACCTGACTGGCATTCAAAGTAGCTTCTTTGGGCCCCAAGCTAGCATGGACCAGCCTTGTTTTACACAGGGCCATGAGGACGGGCCAGGGCCACCTCTTGGGGTGCAGCCTGGGTCCCCAGACAGGAGGGGCTGGTGCAATGTGAAGCAGCTTGAGGTGGCAAGAGGCCCTGCTCCTGACATGGGCCTTGTTACCGACTCCAGGCCCCCCCACCCCAGGCCCACAGGTGGCTTGACGGGGAAGACCGGAAATGGGGACTTTGACCAGAGCCGGTAGCGCCTATGCAGCCTGAAGGGCCCTGCCATATGGAATCTCGGGGGCACCCTTACTCAGTGCCAATCTGGGCCAAGGCCTGCCTCCCACACACCCAGCAGGCTCCCAGCCTGGGTCCCAACCAGGATTGGAGATGGTGTAAAAGGCAGGTTCCTGAAGCCCTGGGCCAGGATTGGACTGTTGCCTCTAGGCATACAGACTCCAGGCAACTGGCAAGGGAGGTGCCCGGTGGGCCCCGACAGGAGCGGCTGCCCTGGGCTTGGCCAGCCAGGGCTCACTTCCCTTGCTCCCAAATTCTCCATACCTTCCTTTGCCTTTCCGATTTGAGATATATTACGTGTGTGTTTATGTGTTTGGACGGGTGGTGGTTCCAAAGTTTGTTCTTGAACTTGCCAAGAAATTGCTCAAGGATGCCCTCTAGTGCCATCCCAAGGTGCAGTCATTCCACAAACACAGCCTCCACCTGTGCAGTCATTCCACCTGTCTGCAGCCTCCTGAACACTAAGACGACATGGGCAGGGGGAAAGTGGAGGGGCGGCCAGTCCCCTGCTCCTCGTGAGGGTTCTGGGCAGCAACGTGGCAGAGACAGCCCCCAGGAGGGCCAGGCATCTCCAAGCCTCAGACCGCCAGCTGGGATCCGAGTTCAGAGTAGACAGGACAGCAGACTGACTGTGTAAGAGCTGGGCCACAACACAGGTGACTCTCCCACCTTCACACTGTCACCCAGAAGCCTGGTTCCAGCCACACCCTTAACTGTGCCAGAGAGGGGAGGAGCCCGGGGGAGCTGAGGCACGGGAGGGTTGTCCCACAGGGCTGTCAGTGCCACGGGGCCTGCTCTGGGCAGATGGGTGGCCCTGGGCCCTGAGCCTTGACGAAGCTTGTCCAGTCACTGGTCAAGTCACCAGGGTCCAGCTGCATGCCAACGCCAACCCCATGGAGTAAGAGTTCAGAAAATGTATTTTCTCAACAAGAAAGTTAAAAGTCCAAGTGGAACAGAAGTCTACACCTGGCATCAGGGTGCCCGCGTGTGGCTGCCCCCGTCCTTCCTCCCCAGCCCAACCTACCCGTGCCCCTGAGTATCTGTAAAAATGGACTTTAATGCAACAGAAACAGAACCTGGGGTGTGCTTCCCACCGAGATCAGGTTGCATACGAACCACGCAGCACCAGGACTTGGGGTAAACAGGCCACCGGGCAGGAAGAGGGGCGGGCAAGAGGCTCAGCCCCATGGAGCCCGGGCTCTGGTAAGTGCTATGGTGTGTGTGTCAGGTATGTCTGGCAGGGGCCCAGGCTGAGACCACAGACCCCATGTGCGTGCCCAGAGGAGGAGCATGAGCCCAGGACCTCTCTTCCAGCCACCCCCCATGCCCTGGGAGGGAGACTGGGGTACCAGCGGAGCAGGCTGACCCTTCACCAACAGAGCTCCTCCAAGCCCGGCTGAGCTGGCATCCCTGTGACCACTAGCCTTGGGAGGGTTACCCCAGGAGAAGGGAGGAGGGCAAAGGGGAGGCTCCCTTCAGGTGCAGCAGGACGAAGGCCCCTGGGGGGCCAGTAGGGCTGGTTTGGTCACACCCCATCATCAGGGGCTGCAGGTGAGGGCCCAATGCCCCCAAGTCTCCGGGCCATGCTGATCAGTGAGCGCAGCTGCACCAGCTTCAGTGGCCCCACCTCCTGGGGGTCCTGGCTCTCCAGCCACCGCAGAGCTGTTTCCAGACCCTGAACAGCTTCCCCAGCGGTGGGCACAGCAACCTCTTCCTCTTCCCCACTCTCAAGGACAGAGGACAGGCTGGCTGGGAGTGGAGCGGCCACAGAGGCCAGCACAGGGGGCCGGCCAGGGCCTGCCTCCTCTCTGCAGCCCTCAGGCAGCCCCCCATCGTCGTCCAAGTGCAGCCACTCAGCCACCTCCTCCGGCGCAAGGCGCTTGTAGGCCAGGGCTGCCAGGTGTGTGAGGTCACCGAGCACCCTGCTGTGCTCAGCTGCCTCTTCTGCCTGGCCAGCGTGTTGCCCAGCATACTGCTCCTGTGGCCGGGGCTCGAAGGCTGACCGTAAGCCCAGCAGCCAGCAGCGTTCGATGCTGCCTGCCTGCACCAGATCCCAGGAGAGGCCAGCCAGGTAGAGCATGTCCTTGAGCATGAAGCTGCGCATAAAGTCCAATGGGGAGGCACCCGCGCAAGACACCGCCAGCCGAAGCAGCTCCCGCTTGTACAGCTGCTTGAAGGCAGCCACCACCCCCTGCTCCAGCGGGGCGGGGATGTGCGCTCGGCTGCTGCCTTTGGACAGGAACAGCACCCGCACGGCCCCGTCAGGGGTCTGAAGCTCCTCCGGGGGGCTGAGGAGCTCAGGCCGGAACCGCCTGCGGGTTTCCTCGCTCTCCTCCAGCGTGGGCAACCTGGCAGCCCGGCCAGGGCAGGGCGGGTGTGCGACCAGCAGTACGGCCCTCTGCTGCAGACAGCTGCGGCGCAGGTAGCGCCTGACGCCCGGGACGAACTCCTCGAAGAACCAGCCCCGCAGCAGAGGACGACTGAGCCAAGCGTCTGGGCTGTAGCGGTATGAGGCCGGGAACTTGTCCTGGTTGTGGTGGCGCAGGCTGGGCGGGTCTGGCAGCTGCCCGATGACCAGCGGCTTCAGCTTGTGGCTGCCAGTCAGGTTGGCGGCCAGTAGCACCGTCACCCGGTCGCCCCGCCAACGACGGCTGCAGCCCCCCGCGCCCAGGGGTGCAGCTTGCTCCGGAAGCAGCTTCCAGTAGAGGCCAGTAACATTGGCGTTGTAAATCTGCTCATCACCATAGCCGCCCTCCGCGGGGGGCGGTGGGGCCGGGGCACGGCCGGGCGGGGGGCGGACGCCAGCGGGCTGTGTGGACTCCTGCTTGATCGGCGGGCCGAGTGTGGGGCCGACGGCCGGGGGCTCGGCCTCGCCGTAGATGCGCTGGCTGGAGATGCCGTGACGCTTCTGCCAACGCCAGAACCAGCCGTGGCTGGCCTTGAAGGTGCACTCGGGGCCGTAGATCTGGCGCGCGAAGGCCTCGGCTTGCGCCTGGATGAGCGGCCCCGACAGCGGCACGCCGTGCTGGCGCAGCGCCAGGAACCACGAATACACGGCGCGATCGATCTCCTCCTCGTTGGCCAGCCGCATCTTCTTGCGCTGCGTGCCCACCTCACCGCCCAGCTGCTCCAGGAACCAGCGCAACTTCGGCTCGTCCTTGAGCCAGCCGCGCAGCGTGCCGCCGGGCACGCCGAAGTCGCGGCACACGCTGGCCTGCCGCTCGCCGCCCTTGACGCGCTCGATGGCCTGCAGCTTGTCCTTGATGGAGTAGGCCTTGCGGAAGGCCATCTTCATGGCCACGCGGGGTCGCGCGGCAGGGGCCGCGGCGGGCGCGGATGTCCGCGGCGGCGGCGCGGGGCGCCCGGGTGGGGGGTGGTGGCCGCGGCGCGGGGTTGGACCGGCCGGGGAACCTGCAGGGTACATGGCAGCGGCTGCAGGGACCCGGGAGCCATAAGCCCGCCCAGCCGGCCGCGGGGGGCGGGACTGGCCGCGGCCCTCCCCTTTGTCTCGCCGGCTCTTGGGCAGCGGGCGCGCTGGCCGCGCCCCCCGTGCGTCACGCAGTGTTTGCCGAATGGTCCGCCCGCCCCAGCTGGATGAGTCCACTGGGCCAGTAGAGCCGAGGGGCGCCGAGCGTACTACGGTCCTGTTTCCAGCTGTTTGCTCCGGCTCCTCCGCAAAAGATCCAGCCCCGTAGGGCTCTTCGTGTGCCTATTGTCTTTGCAGCAGCGGAGAGTGTCGCGCCTAGGGCTCCGGAGGCGGGCCGGGCCGGGCGCACGAGTCGTTTCCCCCGCGTCGTGTGGTAGAGCCCGCTGCTTCATTTCCCGTGCGCGACTTGGGCGGCCCACCCTTTCCTCAGCAGTCCTGTGCTGCCGCGTCCTGCAGCTCAGACGTCGCATCTTTGATAGGCGTGTGAGTACCGCGGTCCGCGCGGAAGAAGCCGCACGCGCCACGCAGGCTCCACGGGCCCAGGGGCGGGCAGCCGGGGCCGAGTTAGCGGCTCCGCGCAGTCGGGGACCGGGGCGCAAGTGCGGCCGGTGTGCCGGCTTAGGGGCCGTGGGCCAAGTGCGGCTCCGCGACGGAGCGCAGAGGGGCGGGGCCCGCGGGCCACGTGGCGGTCTGAGCCCTGCGGCGGCCAGGGCAGTGGACGGCCACAGGAATGCCCCGGCCGCCTGAGCCCGGTCTCTGAGGGTGGCCGGAATATCGCCCAGCTGTGGCCTAGTCCTGTAGGCCTTGCTTTGTGCAGTGCGCGTGTAGTAAGCACCTGCCGCGCGCCGGCGCTGAGCTTCGGGGCGCGGGCCCAGCCTTGGCGGAAGTTTGGTGACTTCTGAATAGGGAAAGGAACCGGGACGCGACTGCCGAGGGACTGGGGTCTGGGCTTGGAGGAAGCATCCGGACAGGAGGCAGTGTTGAAGCCAGTTTCTGAAAGAGAGGGTGATGCCTTCCGTACGAAATGGGTACTTGCAGCGGAAGAAGGGAAGGCTCAGGCTGGAACCGTGGGGGTGGATTGGGGCAGAGACTCCAGGTAGGCTCCCATGTCCGCGGCTCAGACTGAAGGGCCCCCTTTGAGCCGTTCGGGTGGTCCCTGCTGCCGGGGAGTCTCGTAACTTGACCTGGCCTGTCGCTCCTCTGGGGGTGGACCTCGCCTGGAGCCCGGAGGGCGTCTTAGCTTAGAGGCTCTGCAAGAGCAGCTGTGACAGCCTGGGCTCTGTGAGCCAGTAAGTGGGCCGACTCCCATGCAGGTCTGTCATTCCCAAGCCCTCCTGTGCCCAGCCCTGTGGACAGTGTGTCCCCCGGAAAAGCGCCTTCTCATGGAGCGCCTGGAATGAACTCTCAGGAGCAGGTTCCCCAAGTCACCTTTGCGGAGCAGGGTTCTGGGACCCGTGCCAGTTGTGGGGTGGCCTCCAGGCTGGGCCACTGCTTCCTGCCCTTGGAGTGGGGCCGCTGTGCAGTTTGCGGAAGCCTGGGCAGAGCGAGTACTGCGCCTTCGGTCTCTTTACTCTAGATGGCCAGGATGACTGCCCTCTGGAGAAGCCAGGATGGGGCTTGGCCCCTGCGCTTTTCTCTTGGGGAGCTGTGTGAGGCTGCAGCATGCAGTGAAGGTGGGCAGACGTGCTTGACTGGTGTTCTGGGAATGGTTTCTTTTTTAAAATTTATTGCTTTTAGAAAGAGAGGAACTTCGATTTGTAGTTCCGCTTAATTTATGCATTTATTGGTTGACTCTTGTACGTACCCTGCCTGGGGAGGGGACTGAACCTGCAACCTTGGAGTATTGAGTCAACGCTCTAACCAACTGAGCTGCCTGGCCAGGGTCTATGTGAATGGCTTCTTGAGGGTGGTATTTTTTATAAGATTGACAAAAAACACATCCCACTCAACCACGTGCTAGTTAGTGTCAGCTTCTCTGGGGCCGCAGGCAGGAAATGCTGGGTGGATGTTCTGAGACGACCTGTCGGTGTAGAAGTGGGCAGCAGGTTGACGTGATGCTATGTCCAGGCATGGAAGACAGGGATTCCCCAGCCTGGCATGGACTCAGAGACTTGCTTTCCCACCCCCGCCCCCTGGCTGTGTGAGCCCTGGACCCAGGGAAGCGATGTGTGTGGGAGGGGGCAGGAGCCCGGCTGGCCCGGTGAGACTCGAGCACCACCGCCAGCTGTGCTGTTGGAAGCAGGAGACCCCAGCTGGACCTGGGTCTGGGTGACCTGAGCAGCCCTCGTGTGTGCCCTATGGGCCCGGGGCCCCTCCTGCCAGCAGGACAAGTTGGCGTTTCTTAGTGGGACTGAGTTGTCCAGGAGACAGAGGTCTGAAAGCATCTGAGCAGGAACTTGGGGCTGTGGGACCCCCCAGAGGAAGGCACTGGGCCTCCCGCCCGCCTGCACTGGGCTGCAGTGTCAGTGCGGCTGTTCCAGTCGACGCTCCTGTGCTCTCTGCTGCCCTGGTGGGTGCTGCACACAAAACAGTCCTGTGCAGCCCTGGGCGTGGCCACACCAGCCAGAGGGCCTGGAGCCCCCAGCTCCTGCTCCCCCACTCCCACTGCCCAGGGGAGGCAGGCGTCGTTTTGACCCCTGAGTGCGCAGTCTGGGCGCTCCCGTGTGTGATTTGAAGGAGTGCTGTGGGCAGGGGGCTGTTTGAGGCAGCACCCAGAAGGTGGGAGGGTGGTACGGACAGCACGGCTGGTGGAGGGGCTGCCCTTCCCAGAAACCTTGCCCACTTGCCTAGTGTTTCGGGTCCCCTGGCACCTCGGTGAGCACAGCTCTGACAGGCCACATCCTCACCTTTCTTCTGGGCCCGCTGCCCTCGGGGCCCAGGACACTGCAGGTTTTGGGGCCTCAGTGCAGCCAGGGGTGTGGACCGGCCGGGTGCTGTGCTGAAAGTGTTGCCAGCGAGGGGTCCTCTCTACCCAGGACCCCTCTGCCATGCCAGTGGTCTTCACCTGGGCCAGGCAGGACATGATCTCACAGGGGTCTCCCAAACCATGGGACACTGAGAACCCTGGTGGCTTGGCAGGGCAGTGTCCCCCCTTGTGGGAGGGGCTGGGTGTGCCTGGTGGTTCTGGGCTGGGCTGTCATGGGGGGCAGTCTGGTCATCGCCCTGCAGGCGCTTGAGCCACCAGTGGGGACCCCTGAGGATATTTTGGTCCCCGCTCTGGTGAGCTCTCCTCCCCAAGCTCCAAGCTGGGGCTGCTGCCGCCAGTAGAAAGTCCTGGGTGGGAGGGTCTGATTGTCCCTGGGAGTGCGGGGCCCTCGCTGGAGAGCTGTGGGCTTGCATGTTCGCGTCCTCACGGGGAGGCATCCAAACTCCGACTTGCTTTCCTGCTGGGACGGGTGGGTTTCCAGTTCAGCAGGCCATCGGGAGGCAGGGAGGGTGAGGTCTCCGAGATGCCTGTGCCTAAGCCTCAGGGGTGCTGTTGGGCTGTCCCAGGAGATCTAGCAGCAGGGCGGGGGGAGTGGGTGCTGCTGGCCCTGTCCCCAGCACTGGCTCCATGGCCAGGTGGCACTCTGCTGTGGCCCGCCTCCAGACAGCGCCCTGCTGGCAGCAGAGGCCCTTCTCCACTCAGCTGGTCTCTGGTCTCTGGGAGCCTCGCCTCCACACCTCCACACCTCCACACCTCCACACCTCCACGAAGCCAGTGTGTGCAGTGGGTGTTGACCTGCCAGGGGCCTGCCCCCAACCTCCCGTGCATTCTCCCGGGCCAGCTGCCTCCGCTGGGAACCAGCTTCTGTCACCTGCCCCAAGGGGGTCCTTGCGTGTCCACATTCGTCTCTGACTAGTGCTGCACAGGGACCTGCGTGGCAGACCTCGTACTAAAGGAGGGAGACAGGTTCTTAGGGCACTGAGTCGCTGGTGAGCACGAGGTTGTGGTGGGGCAGGGTGGGCAGGTCTTGTCTGCCCAGAGGGCCTTGGGGAGCTGGATGGTCTCACAGCTGCTGGGTCAAGGCACCTAGGGCCCCGCCACCAGTCTGGGAGTGATTGAAAGCTCCATCCTTTTGCACATGGCAGGGGGAAGGCAGGCTCTGTCCCTGAGATGGGGCCTTTGGTGGCTGCTGAGACCCCTGCAGTGGCTTTGTCACCTTGCACCTCATTCACCAGCCTGGACTTGATGGCACTGCAGGGGCAGAGCTGAGTGGGGATTCCCTCCATAGGCAGTTCCAAGGGCACCAAGGGGGTGCTCAGGCCCCAGAGGGGAGCGGGCGGGCGGGCTGCTCAGAGGGTGCCTTTCAGGAACTGCCCATTTCGCGGGTGACGGGGGTGCAGGGTGGGTAGACACGTCTCCTCCTGGCCTTTGGTGGCGGATCTGTCTTGTGCACGCCGCCCTACCACACAGCTTCCGAAAGGGCCCTCCGGCCTTCCCGGGCCGCCCCGCCTGACGGCATCTAACCTTGCTGCTTTCTCTTCCTGCTCTCCTAGGAGGTCAGAGCAAAAGTAAGTACCTGCTGTCCCATGTGTCCCTGCGCCTGTCACCTGAGCTGGGGACCCCTTGTAGCCAGGACAGCCCCAGGGGGTGGGGCAGGCTGCTGAGCTGGTTTCCTCTGGACACAAGGAGCCAGATGGGCAGGGTCCGGTGTCTGATGCCCTGGGTTCAGGTGCTTCACTGGACAGACCTTTGGCCCCAGCCGGCCCCTGGCCCCTGGCCCCAGGCCCTAGGCCCTGTGCTTTGCACGCTAGTTTGTGAGAAGCAGCTCTCCCCTCCGGAGCTAGGGCCCCTCTGGTCACAGCCTGGGCTGGTGTCAGAAGCTGGAGAAGTGTTTAGACCAATGGGGTCTAGCAGAGTGTGGGCACTGGGGGCCAGCCTTGTGGGCAGGGCCGAAGGGGCTAGGCACTGCAGAGGTCAGAGGGCACATAAGCCCTGCCTGGTTAGTCCCTTGCCCCCTCAGGGACAGTGAGTGATGTCACAATGCCCTGCCGCCTGGGCGCATACCCCTGCCGTCAGCCTGGCCTTGGTAAGTGCTGGCCCCAGACTGACAGCAACGTGTTAGGTGTCGGTCTGGCACCTCCCCAGAACCTGCTGGGACCTCGTAAGAGGCCTGTGGCATGTCCCACATAAGGCCCCCAGCGTGCCCCTGCAGAGTACAGGGGGGCCTCTCCCTGAAGTACCAGGCAGGTGTAGGACCAGCTCCCACGTCCCTTGGAGCAGCGGGGCTCAGGTCCCAGTTTTGTTTGAGGTGCTAGGGAAGGGCCAGAGGTCCGGTGCAGAGCCCTGCGCCCAGGTGAGTGAGAGGAGGGTTTGCCGTCCGGGCTAAAAGGCCACCCTGCCTTTGTCCCCCAGGTCTGAGGACCTGATGCTTGGGGCCAGGGGGTCGGCCCTTGCTTAGGCTCCAGCAGCCCACGGAAGCAGGGGACAGCAGGGGCATCTCAGGGATGCCTCTCAGCCCCTGGGAGCTGGTCAGGGTGCCAGGCAGGTTTGGGCCTGGCTGGGAGAACTCTGGGTGGCAGCCACCCTGCTGGAGCAGACTCCCTGAGTGTGTGCTCAGGGACCCTGGGCGTGCCACAGGGCTTTCTGGGCCTGCGGCTGCAGTGGCCCGGACTCTGCACTTGGTGGGGAGAGTGCTGGCAGCCTTTCCAAGGCACCCCGCTGGGTGCGGGGCAGGGGCAAGCCACTGCTGTGAGGCAGCGCCCCTGGGGGCAGCGGACGACTGAGGTGGTCTCCAGTGAGGCCTGCATGGCTCGGAGTCCCGGGCCCCCCTCCCCCGTCCTAGTGATGGTGTCTGTTGCACCAAATGGTGCTGGAATGAGGGGAGGGGTCCTGATGGCCTGGTGCTCAGAGTCGCGGTGTCCCCTTCAGTTCAGAGGCACCTGCAGCCTGCGCCCCTGGGCTCCTCCCTTGCTCACCTCACCACCATCTGCCCTGGTGTGGTTCTGTGGGGGTGGGGCCCTCCACTCTCTGCTCCCAGCTGCCCCCTGAGAGGCGGCTCCCCGTGGAGTGTGTGCTGCTCTGGGGGTGGTGTGGCCGGGGTGGGTGTGGGTGACTCGGGCGGCGTGTCCACCACGATGAGCCGGCCTCAGAGGCTGCCAAGTGCTCACTCTCAAACATGCCTCGAGGTGGCCAGATTGAGCAAGAGCACAGGACGTCCAGTTAAACTTCAGGTGAACAAGGAATGACTTTTCAGTGTGAGTGAGTCTCAAGTATTTCGAGGGACGCACTTGCTGTGAAGGTCATTTGTTGTTCGTGAGAGTGAAGTTGGCCAAGTGCACTCTGTCTCCTCTGGCCCCCCTGTTTGGGGTTCGGGGGAGTAGCTTTCCGGGGTATGGAGACAGTGTTCTCTACACCCTTTGTTGAGCTTGGGTGCATGTGGATTAGAAAAGTTTTGAAAAAAGAGTTTTGCAGTTCAAAGAACACAGGTGCTTACACACCCACATACGTGCACTTCTCCTTTACTGCTTTACTGAGCTCCGCGCCAATTGGACTGGGACTGGGGTTTTTGCATGTTGCCTGATGGCGCTCCCCCAACCCCCCACCCCCCACCCCTGGGAATCATCCTCAGCTCCTCCAGTCCTGCCAGCCAGGCTGCCGAGGGAGGGGTGGGCGCTGGCCACTGGGGCTGGCGGTGCTCAACTGCCTTCTTGTGCTTGCTTTTAATGCTGCGTGGAAGATGAGGAGCGGGAAGGCCTCCTGTGCCCTGGAGACCGTCTGGGAGGACAAGCGGAAGTGTGGGGAGGCTGAGCAGCGCTTCCACGAGCAGGAGGCCACGCGAGCCGCCGCCCAGCAGCTCCTGGCCCAGGCGCCAGCTGTGAACGGGCCGGGTCAGGAGGACGTGGAAGAGGTGGACGAGGCTGGGGCTCCCGACAGCTGCAGGGGCGGTCCTGGGAAGAGCTGTAACGTGAGGCAGCCCCTGCAGAAGAAGAGGAAACGATCCCCGAAGAGCTGGCTCCGGGGGGCAGACCTGGCCCTCGTGGGCCTCTCGGCTGACCACGTCTGGCTGGACAAGCCCCTTTTCGATCAGGCGGAGAGCTCCTACCGCCAGAGGCTGGCAGATGTAGCCGCCCAGGCAGCCCGGCCACCGGCTCCAGGTCCCGGGAGTCCTTGCAGCCACGGGAGCCAGGTGGCCTGCCACCATGTGACCTGGGGCATCTGGATCAACAAGTCTGCCTTTGACCAGGCTGAACGGGCGTTTGTGGAGTGGTCTCAGGCTCTGCTGTGGGCCGCAGAGGGCAGCCGCAGGCGGGGGGCTGCTGACACGGGCCGGCGGGCTCCCACCCTGGACCTGGCTCTCAGCCGCCAGCCCAGGCCCCCAGCTAACGGCCAGCCCCCACTGGGCAGTCTGCGGGCACTGGTGCGGGAGGTGTGGCTGGAGAAGCCCCTGTACGACGCAGCCGAGAGGGGCTTCTACGAGGCCCTGTTTGACGGCCACCCCCCGGGGAAGGTGCGGGTGCAGGAGCGAGCCCTCCGGGCTGAGACTGCTCGGCAGGGCCGGAGAGACCGGCGGTGCCGCAACAGCGTGGGGAGCAGGCGCGTCGGGCTGAGACGGGCTGAAGGGGAGGTGCTGCCGTCCGCCCTGCCCTACTGGTACTTCCTGCACAGGGACGCAGAGGCCCCCTGGCTCAGCAAGCCCGCCTACGACAGTGCAGAGGGCCGCCACCATGCCGCTGAGGCCCTGCGCATGGCCTGGCGCCTCGAAGCCACATCCCTGGCTCACCGACCCGGCGCCCGGTCTGGCCCATCCGTGTCCAGTCTGAGACCCAAGTAGGAGAAACATGCTGGGCGGGTGCCCGGTCTGGGCTCACCCAGGCTGGGGCCATGTGTGCCCTCCTTCCTGCCCCCGCCCCAGCAGGGCTATCCCCGAGACACCTGGACCCGGCTAAGTTGTATGCAGGAGTGGGTTGGTCAGTGCAGGCTCCAGGGACACCCCTCAGGTCACAAAGCTCTGGGCCACTGAGGGTGGAAAGGGGTGGCCAAGGACTGAATCTGCTCCGTGCAGGATTTTCCCTTGGCCGGGCGGCTCCCAGGGAAGCACCGAAGGCTCCTGGCCCTGGAACCCCAGAGGAGCAAGACCTGGGAGCTGGCCCCTCCTCTCCGTCCACCCCTGCCTCCCTTGCCATCTGTGGCCAGCTCTGAGATAAGGGAGTTGTCCCAGGCGTACCAGTGCATGACCAGTCCATCAGCCTAGGTCTGGAGGACACGCACTGGGAGAGGCAGACCTGTTTCCTCCCTGGGGACCCAGGGGCCTCACCCAAGGACAGTGTCATGCAGCACCAGCAGCAGTCCCTGGAGGCCTGGCCACAAAAGGCCCCCAGGCAGGTGGGCAGAGACTGTTGGACTGCAGGAAAGATGCACAGGGAGCTGGGAGGCGTGGGGAGTAGGAGGCTGTGCCCCAGCCAGGCCAGCAAGACCTAAAGAGGTTCCCTGGGTCTCCAGGGAAGCGGCACTAGCCTGGTCCCCAAACTCCTAGCAGGAGCCCCCCGGCCGTGCCCTTCTGTGAGGGTAGTCTGATGGTCTGACGGCATAGGCCCCACTGTGGTGGGGAGTGCCCCCGTCAGGTCGTGGCGGGGGCACAGGAGTGAAACTAGTGCAGGGAGCTGGCTTCTCACCGCCGAGCCCCACCTCTTCTCACCAGGAGGGCACTTGGCAGGGCCCAGTGATGGCCTGGCTTTCTCGGCACAGCATTGGTGGGACTGGGGCCATTTCTGTCTGTTGAGGGGCAGGAGGGGCTCCGTGGGCCAGGTCCGGGGGCGGACGGGCGTCTGTGCCCCAGCAGCAGCGGGCAGGCACAGCCTCGGCCGGGGCTCCTGGGCCTGGAGCAGCAGTTCTCAGGCCCCAGGGAGCTTTCGTTACATCTGTGGATTTGTGCCACATTGGCAGAAACGCTAGAGGTGTTTATTGAAAATTAATACGGAGCTCATTATACGTAGTAAGATGTCATGAGAAATTGTTTTCCTGTGAGAAAAAACCCAGTGAGCAGGTGTCCTCGTTTGGCATTTTGACATCTTTAGTGTCTGGCTTATTAGGAGGCACTGGAGTCCCCCCTGCTTTGCATGCAGGTGTGGGTGGGTGTTGTCTGACATAATTCCAGCCTTGCACAGGTGTGTGCTTGGAAAGGGGGGCCCTCCAAGCCCCCAGAGGTGCCTGGCCACATTTGGAGAGCCACTGCTCTTAGGGACAGGCCTGGGCCCGTGCACAAAGGGAGTGGCAGCGGCAGCCGCACAGCCAGGACTGCTCTGCCGCGGAGCCTGGAGGCCTCATCTCCCAGGGGCCCCTGCACCCTTGGCATCTGGGCCGTCAGAAGGGGCGCCTGTGCAGGCCAGGCCGCCTTAGCTTCTGTTCCTCTCAGCAGGAAAATGGCCACAAACTTCCTAGTGCATGAGAAGATCTGGTTCGACAAGTTCAGATACGATGACGCAGAACGGAAATTCTACGAGCAGATGAACGGGCCTGTGGCCGGCGCCTCCTGCCAGGTAAGGGCTGTGTGGGGGCTGCTGGCCGCGCCTGCACCCAGAGGCCAGAGGCCCTGCACCAGCTGCCGGTGGTGGGATCTTCGGTGGAAGGCTGACCCGGTCACAGCTGCAGGGCTGCGGCACCGCGGGCTTTCTGCTGTCTGCTGAGCTTCCATCCTGCACATCGCTTCCCCATTCTCTACCGAGGGCCCTGGGGGTCTTTTTTTTTTTTTTTTTTAAGATTTTTTTTTTAAATGGAAATGGAAGACTGGTTCTTTCTGCACTGTCTGCAGGAGAACGGCGCAAGCGTGATCCTCCGGGACATTGCGAGAGCCAGAGAGAACATCCAGAAGTCCCTGGCTGGAGTGAGTACTGCGGCACTGCCGCCCTCACACCCACCAGCACGCTCGCCTTCCCACCAGGACTGCTGATTGTTTTGCCCTCGGAGCAGTCAGGGAGAGGCCGTGTGCCCGCCTGCACAGCATCCTGTGCCCAGACCACAGGGGACCTTCTTACTGTGTACCCTTGCTGCTTGCTGGTGCTCACCGGTTTCCCTCCCTCCCCGGCCACGTCCTTCCTGCTTGCTCCCTGCTCAGGGAAGCCTCTCTTCCTGCCTGGGCTTTGGCCTCCCCAGAGAGATGGGTTCACAGGGCATGGAGTTCAAATCACAGAGTGGGCAGCTTTTTGCATTTGAGGCCCAGGCAGGACCCCCACAGCCCAGCTTGGTTTCCTGGTCCCCGATAGATCAGGAGAGGACAGGGCCATGTCCACCTCCACCGTAGCCTGGCCAGCAGGTGTGTCCCTAGGAAGCAGCAGACCTGCTCTGCCTTCCTGGTCAGGGGAGCTGGGGTCTCTTCATCCCTCTGGGATGCAGGGGGCGTTCAGGTCCTGGGAGCCAAATGTCTGCACATAGCTGGGCACCTTCTGCTGGAGAGAACCCACTTCCTTGCCTTTTCCGGCTTCTGGAAGCTGCTCACATCCCGTGGCCTGTGGCTCTCAGCCAGTGGTGTCGGGATGCCGTCCTTGCCTGTCACATCTTGCTCCCTGCCACCCTTTCACGTGGCCCTTCACATCTGTACCATCTCTTTTGCCACAGGAGGTCACCTGCCTGCACAGGTGGCTCAGGTGTGCTGGTTCCTGGCCACAGGCTGGGCAGCCCTGGGCAGGTGTCCCCTGGGGAGGCGGGGCTGCTGCCATCCACCCAGCAGGCCCTGCGTGGTGCTTGGCCCCTGCATGTTCCTTCCTGCCTTGCCTTGTGCTCAGTGAGGCTTGGGCTGGGTAGACAGGCCCCAGGTAGCACCAGGTCTTGGCACCAAGGAAGCTCATCCTCCCCCAACCCTCTGGGCCTGGCCATGCTGCACAGCCCTGGGTCCTGGCCTCTAAGGGGAGCTGTGCGCACTGCCAGGGTTGGGCAACACAGCCCCAAGGACCACACGGCGTGGACCACTCCTTTCCTCAAAGCCCAAAGCTGAAGTCCAAGGTCGAGGTGTAGGGGCAGGGTTGGCTCCTTCCAAGGTCTTGCTCCTTGGCATGCAGAAGGTCATTTTCTTCCCTTGTTTTTGCATCCAGTCCCTTCCATGTGTCTTATAAGAACACCAGTCATCGGGTCAGGCCTCCTGGCGACCCCAGTGTGACTGGGTCACCTCTGTAAAGACCCTGCCTCCGAATGAGTCCCAGCGTCTGAGGCTCTGGTGGCAAGGCTTCTGCCGGCAGCAGGACTGCTGGCCCAGCCCCAGGCTCGGACCTGGGTGGGGCGGAGCTTAGCAGACTCTGGGGCTTCAGCACCCAGAGGTCCCTGGCACCTGGGCCTGGTGCCGGGCGTAGGGTCAGGGGTGGGGGTGAAGGGCTCTAGATTCAAAGTTCTTGGGCCTGGCCCTGCCCAAGGCCCAGAGGCGGCTGCCTGGGCAGTGACTGCTTCCTCATCCCTGCTGGGAGAGGAGTTGGTGGGGCGGGGTGGGTGCAGCCAGAGCATAGACTTCGTGGAGGGGCTTGGTGACACATGAGGCCAGCCCACCCTGGTCTTCCCACCACATGTGCACACAGGCAGCAGGCACAGTGGGGCTTGAAGGGTGAGCCTGCTGCCCACTTCCAGCCTCTGAGCCCCTGTGGCAGGAGCTGTTGGGCCCTCAGTGGGACCAGCCCTGGGAGACCAGCAAGAGAAGGGCCGTGTGCTGATGATGGCAGCTAGGACTGGGGTGTGGGTGGGGCCAGCAGGAGACTCAGCCTGGGCTGCAGGGTGGAGGGTGTGCCGTTTACTGCCCAGAGTAGGGCACTGAGTTGAGCTGAGAGGGGGAGTGGCGTGAGCAGAGCCTGCCCTGGCCTACCTGGGCTGGCCCTGCTGGGAGCAAGCTGGTCGGCCCCGGGACAGCATTAGCCTTGCACTTCCCAGTGTCTTGTCCTGTGGCTGTGTGGGTAGGCCTCAGGCACAAGGCTTTCATCACGACTGGACACTGCGAGTGGCAGTGGCCCTGGGAAAGGGGCCAGGTGCACAGTGTCCCAGGACCTAGGACCCATTCCCCTGGGGTGTGACGCCGGCCTGAGCTACAGTGGTGCCCTGGTGGCGCCCTGTAGGTGAGCTCCCAGGGCAGTGTCATGTGGGTCCGCCGGCCGGCCAGGCTCTGGCTCCCAGGCCACCCAGACTTAGTGAGCCAGACAGTGCGTGCGTGGCTGGGAACGCGGGGCACTGTGCTGGCTGATGCAGGCGGCTGCCCCCTGCACCGGCTGCTGCTCCCCCTGCCTGGGCTCCTCAACCGCTCTCCCCTCCTGTTGCCGCCCAGCCCCCCCGAGGCTTCAGGCCAGGTGGCTTCTGGGACTGTAAGTCCTATTCTTTCCACCCCGCCAAGCAGTGGTCGCCAGGGCTCTGAACTGCCAGTCCTGTGCTTTGTGCTTGGCTGAGGATGTCGCCAGGTCTCCTGCTCACGGGGCTGCCTCCTCCTCTCCCAAGAGGAGCGTGGTGGTGCACCCAGCTGGGCTCGTGCCAGCTGCTGCCTGGTGTCTCTCTCACAGGCCTCCCTCCCAGCTCAGGGCTGTGCTTCTCAGCAGCTGTGAGTGGGGGACCTTGGAGCAGGGTGGGTGCCAGGCCCTCACCCTCCCCCTGCCTTGCAGAGCTCAGGCCCTGGGGCCTCCAGTGGGGCCGGCGGAGACCACAGCGAACTGCTCGTCCGCATCGCCAGCCTGGAGGTGGAGAACCAGAGCTTGAGAGGCGGTGAGGCCCTGGGCCTGGCAGGGCGGGGTGGCAGCCTGAGGTCCTGCGGTCTGACCACACCCCCTCTGCCCCTGCAGTGGTGCGGGACCTGCAGCAGGCCATCTCCAAGCTGGAGGCCCGACTGAGTGTGCTGGAGAAGAGTGCGCCCGCCCACCGGGCCACAGCCCCCCAGACCCAGGTGAGCACTCTCCCAGGCCTGGGTCCCCGGGTCCCCCAGGCCCGCCAGCCGGGGCGTGCAGGTGTCACCACCCCCTCCACTTTGGCAGCACGTGTCCCCCATGCGCCAAGTGGAGCCCCCCTCCAAGAAGGCGGCACCCCCTGCAGAGGAGGACGAAGACGACGACATCGACCTGTTTGGCAGTGACGAGGAGGAGGACAAGGAGGCCGTCAGGCTGCGGGAGGAGCGGCTACGGCAGTATGCGGAGAAGAAGGCCAAGAAGCCTGCGCTGGTGGCCAAGTCCTCCATCCTCCTGGACGTGAAGCCTGTGAGTGGCCCGCCCCTGCGCTGGGTTTGCACCAGAAGAGCAGGGTGGGTGCAGGGCAGGAGCAGACGGGACTGCTCCTGGGGCTTCACTAAGAACTGTGCTCTGCTGCCCAGGGGCCTCCCCTGGTGTTGCAGGTTCCTGACCCAGCCTGTCCTCCCCCTTGTCCCCTAGTGGGATGACGAGACAGACATGGCCCAGCTGGAGGCCTGCGTGCGCTCCATCCAGCTGAACGGGCTGACCTGGGGGGGCTCCAAGCTGGTGCCAGTGGGCTATGGCATCCGAAAGCTGCAGATCCAGTGCGTGGTGGAGGATGACAAGGTGGGCACTGACCTGCTGGAGGAGGAGATCACCAAGTTCGAGGAGCACGTGAGTGGGCAGGCCCACGCGGGGGGGGGGGCAGAGGTGCGGGCAGAGCAGCAGGGGGCCTCCCTGGACCCTGGGCCCCACGTGACCCCGCCCTCTCCTCTCTGTAGGTGCAGAGCGTCGACATTGCTGCCTTCAACAAGATCTGAGCTCTACTGCCGGGTCTGCGCGAGCCCCTGCCGCTATTAAAGACTGAGACTGTGCTGTCTGGCTCCTGTCCTGCAGTGGGCCCTGTGGGTGGGTGGCACTCAGTGGGCAGCTCTTCGCTAGGCCCTCGGCCTCAGGAGCATCCCACCTGGGCCCCCATCCGTCCTGCATTGGTGGTTCCGGTGGCCACTGCCATCCTCCCCTTTCTTGGCCTCTGCACAGCCTTCTCGTGGCTGTGACCTCCGCCTGCCCCTTCTCTGCTTCATCTCTGGGTGCCCAGCTGTCTTCAGTCACCCATCGAGTGCCATGTCCAGCTCCAGCTTCTGAAGCCGGGGAGGAGGCGGGCAGTGTCCCAGCCCTCCACCAGCCACATGGCCTCCTCTTGCTCCATTCCTTGCTGAGCTTCCTCTTTGGGAGCAAGAGTGCCAGCCTGGCCCTGCCGCTGTGACCAGTCACCTGCCCCACCAGCCCTTAACCTGTGTGGGGCCCTGTCTCCCAGCCTTGGCCCTCACTCAGTCCTGTCTCCCCAGCGCACTGCCTGGCTGCGCCACCTGCTGGAGACCTGAGCTCTGGGCAGGCCCCACACCACTGCCCTCACACACTGCCACCTCTGCCTGCCCTGTGTGTCAGTGCTTAAGACACTCCAGGTCCCTCCCCTGGACTGGCCAGCATGGCTGGAGAGATAGATGGCCATGCTCCCCTCTTGCAAAGTGTGGGCTGCAGTCACTACTGTCCAGAGCTGGTCTCCAGGGCTCTGAACCACACAGGGATGAATGCCCCCCTTAGTGGTGGGGGCAGGACCTCGAGCTCTGGTGCCCGCTGGGGGTGGGCCCCAGGCTGGCCGGTTCTGGAGGACAGTGTGGGCGGCACCCCGATGCAGGAACTCAGTTTGGACTTGCTTCTGACTCCTGCCCCTGCCCCCTAGGGTTGGCTTCTAGTGGGGTGGGGCGAAGTCTAGGTAGAGGTGGATTATCCGCTGCACCCGATGCAGAGTTGTGGGGGCGCGGGAGGGGGCCACGCCTGGAGGGGCTGAGGGGAGCTGGGATGACGCGGATGACAGACACATTGCCCTGTACTGGTCTGGCCGCCAGGACACGTCTCCTATGCAGAAGTCGGCAATGCTATCCCGCCCATTCTTGTTGCGGGAAAGGTGGTTGCGTCCCAAGTGTCCCCGCCCTCCGAGCTCTGGGATTGTGGCGCATCATGATTTGCAGGCTCCGGATACGGGCTATTGGGCAGGGGGGTGTCACGTGGGCCAGCTGGGGCGGGGAGGCCAGAGGCCGGGCGCTGGGGCAAGATGGCGGAGCAGGACCCCGAGGGGCGTGCTGCGGCGCGACCACTGCTCACGGACCTCTACCAGGCCACCATGGCGCTGGGCTACTGGCGTGCGGGCCGGGCGCACGACCTCGCCGAATTTGAGCTCTTTTTCCGCCACTGTCCGTTCGGCGGCGCCTTCGCCCTGGCCGCGGGGCTGCGCGACTGCGTGCGTTTCTTACGCACCTTCCGCCTGCGTGACGCAGGTACCCCCTACTTCGTTGCCAGGCACCCCAGCCTTCAGACAGGCCCCTCCTGCTGGACGAGCACCTCCTTCCCCAACAAGACACACTGGCGAGCCTTTCCCATACCTAAACGAACCCCTCCACGTTCCCCGCCTGCACGCTTGCTCCAGCCCACGAGTGCCTTTGTCCCCCCCCAGATGTGCAGTTCTTGGCCTCGGTGTTGCCTGCAGACACTGACCCCGCGTTCTTCGAGCACCTCCGGGCCATTGACTGCTCCGGGGTGACGGTGCGGGCCCTGCCCGAGGGCTCCCTCGCCTTCCCCGGCGTGAGTGCGGGCTGAACGGGGCAGAGGGGTGGTCCCGAAAGAGGTTGTACGGCTGCCAGCTGACACCCTACCCACAGGTGCCGCTGCTGCAGGTGTCGGGACCGCTCCTGGTGGTGCAGCTGCTCGAGACTCCCCTCCTCTGCCTAGTCAGCTATGCCAGGTGGGGTCCACCGCCAGCTGGGCGCGACAGAGCTGAAGCTCGGACTTTGGAGGGCTAGCCCTTGGGGGCGTGGCTGTGGCCCGGTGCGCTGGGTCCCACCTCCTCCATCGCTGAGGAGCAGGGTCTCCTGCTCACTTGCTCCCCACAGCCTAATCGCTACCAACGCGGCGCGGCTTCGCCTAATTGCTGGGCCAGAGAAACGCCTGCTGGAGATGGGGCTGCGGCGCGCTCAGGGCCCTGACGGGGGCCTCACGGCCTCCACCTACAGCTACCTGGGGGGTAAGGGCCAGGGAATGGGGGGGCGGCAAAGCAGGAGGCCGGGCCTGAGATTCCCGCCTCCCCATGGCCTGAGGTCCCCCAGCCCTGCCCTATTCTCTGACCTAGGCTTCGATGGCAGCAGCAACGTGCTGGCAGGACAGCTGAGGGGTGTGCCGGTGGCAGGAACCCTGGCACATTCCTTCGTCACTTCCTTCTCAGGCACCGAGGTGCCCCCTGACCCGGTCAGTACCCTCATCTCCCCTGCTGAACTCCAGAGGGCACACCCTAAACCCTTGCCTAGAGGAGGGGTGGTCTGATTCCTGCTCAGCTCCAGGGCAGACGGCTTGTCTGGGCCGCCAAGCCACCCGGGCGTGTAGCCACAGTGCTACAACTGGCAGGTGGCAGGCAGGTGGCATTACCCCTAATCAGACTTTCGGCCAGGTGTGAACCAGACTGCACTCTGCACTCGGGGTCCCCAGCCCTTCACTGACCCCTCTCCCTAGATGTTGGCTCCAGCTGCTGGCCAGGGCCCCGGAGTGGACCTGGCCACCCTTGTGGAGGCGTGGCTGGAGCGAGTGTGTGCCCACCTGGGGCTGGGGGTGCAGGAGCCACACCCGGGGGAGCGGGCAGCCTTTGTGGCCTATGCCCTGGCCTTTCCCCGGGCCTTCCAGGGCCTGCTGGACACCTACAGTGTGAGGAGGTGAGGCCCAGGCACCCCCCGGGGGGCTCGGTGGAGCAGCTGCAGCCTTCCGACCTGCTTGCGCCCGCCTGCAGAAGCGGTCTTCCCAACTTCCTGGCCGTAGCCCTGGCCCTGGGCGAGCTGGGGTACCAGGCTGTGGGCGTGAGGCTGGACAGCGGCGACCTGTGTCAGCAGGCCCAGGAGGTCCGAAGGCTGTTCCGGACCACGGCAGCCCGGTGAGTTGGGGCCGAGGCAGGGGTGCGGGTGGGGGTTGGTTGTGCCTGTTGAGAGTCCCACACAGGGGCGCCCGTGCTGGCAGGGGCAGAGGGAGGGACAGGTCAGGGACTCTGCCCTTCCCACCACGGGAGCTGTAGGGCTCGTGTGGGTGAGGGCAGGCTCTCCCACGGGACGTGTGGTCCGGACATCTGGGAACTGCCCCCCTGGCCCACCCAGGTTCCAGGTGCCCTGGCTGCAGTCGGTCCCCATCGCTGTCAGCAACAACATTGACGAGGAGGAGCTGGCTCGGCTGGCCCAGGAGGTGGGGCAGGGCAGGGCAGGGGTTGAGGGGCAGCAGAGGGAGTCCCTGGGCCTGCGAATGCTGGCTGAGGTCAGGGCCCCTCCTCCCTCCACTGTCCTCCAGGGCAGCGAGGTGAACGTCATCGGCATTGGCACCAGCGTGGTCACCTGCCCCCGCCAGCCTTCTCTGGGCTGCGTCTACAAGGTATACACAGGGCCTGGGGCCCAGGGGGCGGGTCATGGGGGTCAGGGTCTGGGGGGAGAAGGGCCTAGCTCTCCCAACACCCTGTCCCCACAGCTGGTGTCCGTGGGAGGCCAGCCACGGATGAAGCTGACTGAGGACCCCGAGAAGCAGACGCTGCCGGGGAGCAAGGCGGCCTTCCGGCTCCTAGGCCCCGATGGTGAGGCGCCCGTCCCGTCGCGCCCCGCAAGGCCCCAGGCCCCCGAATCATTCTCGGTCCCCCCCTGTGCACAGGGACTCCGCTGTTGGATGTGCTGCAGCTGGCCGAGGAGCCCCCACCCCAGGCTGGCCAGGAGCTGAGGGTCTGGCCACGAGGGGCCCGGGAGTCCCGCACTGTGAGGCCGGCCCAGGTGGAGCCCCTCCTGCAGCTCTGGGTCCAGCAGGGACAGGTGACCCCTTCACCCGCCCCTTCACCCGCACCTGCTGCCCAGACCGAGCCCTGACGCCGGGCCCTGAGCCAGCTCTCTCCTTCCCTCTTGCCCCAGCTGTGCCAGCCCCTCCCATCTCTGGCCGAGTCCAGAGCCCTTGCCCAGCTGTGCCTGAGCCGTCTCAGCCCTGATCACAGGCGGCTGGAACAGCCGGCACCGTACCAGGTAGGTGGAGGACCCGCCCCTGACACCACCTGTGTGCCCTCTGCCCCTGCAGCCACCCAGTGTCCTCTCCTCCTGTCCCTGCAGGTGGCGCTGTCTGAGAAGCTGCAGGCCCTGCTGGGCAGACTGAGTGCTGGGACCCCCTGAGAGAGCCCCCCACTGGCCTGTGGAGTTAACATGATTGCTCGCTGTCCCCCACAATTTGTCTGAGTCTTTTCTTCCTCCGGGCTGCCACTCACTGACCCTCAGGAGGGGCCCAGGCTTGGCCAGGGCGGGGAGGTTGCCCTGTGCCGACCCTACGAGTAGCAGGGGCTGCCAGTGACCCTGGGGAGCTGGGCCTCGGGCGGGTGGGTCCGAGGGGAGGGGGGGCCTCAGGAAAAGGGACGGCTTTGGTGCCCACCCCACAGTGGGAGCCGTGGGGTCGGGGGAGGTGCCAGACAGAGGGTCTCCTGTGTCCAAATACAACACCTGGGTCAGTGGGGTACTTCAAGGTTCCCAAGGCAGAGAAGCCCAGGTGTCCCCTGCTGTTGCTCCCGCCACCACCTGCACAGCTCTGCCCCGGGGGATCCTGTTCCCCTGGGCTCCGCCCACACAGCTCTCTCCTGGCGTCCGTCTCGGGGTCAGCCAGGCCCTGGCCTCGGGGACCCAGCTCCTGGCCCAGCAGCCCTGAGAAGGGAGAGCTGGTGAAGAGGTTGCGGGTCCAGGAGGGGCTGCTGAGGGCAGAGGCTCGGGTCTCCGGGGAGTGCACACGGTGGGGGTAGGGCCTGTCCAGGCAGAGGAGGGCGGCAGGAATGCAGGCTGGCTGGGGCGCTGCCCAGGGCACTTCCGCTCGCTCCGGTATTCAGCTGGACCAGCTCTTCTGGCTCCCTGGGGTCAGTGTGGGCAATGCCTGTTATGTCACTGGGTTAGGGTGACAGCGGAGATTGAGGACAGGGCTTGGTCAGGCCAGTCCTGGGGAGCGTGGAGGCCTGGAGACACAAACACACACACACACACCAGCTGAATCAGGCCCCAAGGGACCTGCAGGTCCCTGGTGCTCAGCTGTGTGCTCACTGCCCAGTGCTTGAGTCCAGGAACCCTGTGGTCTGGCCCTGGGGGTAGGGGCGCCCTCAGGGTGGAGGTCACGGGCAAGAGTGCCTGGGAGTCAGCACGTGTGGCTTCTCTCGCCTCACTGGCTCCGCCCCAGGCTCACCCAGGCATCCCTGTCCCCAGGACGTCTGGCTGGGCAGGAATGTGGTGGCTCCACCTGGACCTGACTCAGCTCAGGGCTGGGCCCAGATTTCTGGACCCCACCGGGCCTCCTCAAGACCGTCCATGCCTTCCCTGGAGCCCTTGCCCAAAGAGGTGGAGGTCAGGGCCAAGGGCCCTTCTTCCCTTCCTCTCGCCGGTCGGCCATCCCCCGGGGTCTTGCCTGCCCCTTCTCAGAGCTCGGGGGCAGTGAGGGCAGAGCCAGACCCCAGACACACAGGCTCAGGCTGGCCACTCACCACCAGCATCCCAGGAAGGAGGGTCCTTCCCAGTCTCCAGTGGCACCCTGCCTGGGGACACCTCTGGGTGGCTCCCCAGTCCCCACATACACAGACAAACACGCAGGCCCACACCCGTCCCTGGCCCCGCCCACCCAGAACCTGCTTCTGGGTCAGGCCTGGGCAGGACTTCCTGGGAGGCCGCTTGGCAGGCTGCAGGGCCTGCCCCACTGAGGGCTGCGTGTGGCGGCCATGGCTGGGGGTGTGTGGGGCCGGGCCCGGGGAGCCCCTGTGGGAGCTCTAACCCTGACAGCCCTGGCTGAAGGGATCCGGGCCAGCCAGGGAGAGCGCGCAGCAGCTCCTTCCAAGGACCCTGAGCCCGAACCTGAGCTGGAACCCGAGGCAGAGCCTGGAAGTGTACCCACCAACCCTCCAGCTGCCCAAGAGCCCTGCTCCCCACCCCATGCACAGGACCCGGCCCCCGGGGGGCCCCATCAGGTGAGTGGGAGGGAACAGAGGTTGGGGGGAAGATCTGGGGGATAGAAGGACTGAAAAAAGGGGGAAGCTGGGCACAGGAATAGGGGCTAAGCAGTCTGGGCAGGGACAGTGAGAGCAGAGGACTTCATGGGGCCAGGTGGTGTTGGGGAAAAGGGAGGGGGTCTGGGGAGAAGAGCTGGGAGAGGCAGGGGACTTCATACATCCCACTCCCCACCACAGCCCCCCCAGAGTTCCTGGGAGGAGGGGGCCCTCTCCGACCTGGCGTTGTACACAGCTGCCTGCCTGGAAGAGGCTGGCGTTGCGGGGACACAGGCTACAGCACTCACCCTGTCCTCAGCCCTGGAAGCCCGCGGGGAACGGCTGGAGGACCAGGTGGGCATCCTCCTTCTGGCCCCCAGAAACCCCCACCTGGTTCCCCTCCGAGGTTGGGTGGTTGGAGCAAGCAGTTTGACACAAAGCCCATTCCGGGCTGCCCCTGGCCAGAGAGGATACAGGGAGCAGCCTCCGGGAGTTGAGGCGGTCCAGCCACTGACACCTGCCTCTCCACGCCAGGTGCACGCCCTGGTGCGTGGGCTGCTGGCGCAGGTGTCCGGCCTGGCTGAGGGGCGGCCCCGGCGGGCAGCCCTGCGAGTGCTGAGCTCGCTGGCCCTGGAGCACTCCCAGGACGTGGTGTGGGCACTGCTGCCCTGCTCGCTGCCCCTGGACCGGTAACCTGCTCCTCCCCCAGCCAGGGCCTGGCCCCCACAGCCCCAAGCGGCTTCCTTCCCCTTCCTGCGTGGCTGTGGAGTCTGGCCCCAGCGTGGCAGGTGGTGGAGGGCCCAGGACCTCCCAATTTCTTCTCCCCCCACACCTGCCCCCTCCACTTCCCCACCTCTCCCACCTTGAGGTCCCTGGTGATGGGTTCCTGGCTTGGGGCCTAAATTCTCCCCTTGGTCACCTCTGGAGTGGAGCGTGGGGGTGTGTGGGGGGAGGGCACTGTAAGGCAGGGTTAGTGACCAGGTGGCTTCTGTCCCAACACCCCTGGCTCTTCAGTGTGAGCTGCCCCAGGTGAGGGTGTCTGGCTGCTCTCTCTGAGGGACTGCCTGTAATGCCACGTGTTTCACTGTGGTTGGTCTGACGGCCTGAGCAGCCCACTTCGGCAAATGACCCTGCGGTCCCCCACCGTGTGGAGGGCACAGATGCCACTTACTTAGTTTCTCTGGCAGTGGAGGGACTTGTGGGGAGGAGGGGGATGGTTTACCAGTCCCTCCCCCCTGCTGGAGTCCTAGTGGTCACCTCCACCTGGACCTGGGATCTCCTGGCCTGCTGGCAGGGACCTGGCCTCACAGCCCCATACCCCCCAGGGCGGCGGCTGAGCTGTGGCGCAGCTTGAGCCGGAACCAGCGCGTGAACGGGCAGGTGCTGGTGCAGCTGCTGTGGGCACTGAAGGGCGCAGCTGGACCCAAGCAGGAGGCCCTGGCAGTAGGTGACTCCAGCCAGCACTGCCAGGGGATTCTCCCCCACCCCCAGCCCAAGGGGGCGGGTGAGTTGGGCCACAGGGGCCAGGGGCAGGAGGGGCTTGCCTGAGTCCCACCCAACCATAATGTCCCCTAAGCATCCACAGTGTGTCTGAGCCTGAGGGGGCTGCTCACTCCACAGGCCACTCGCGCCCTTGGGGAGATGCTGTCTGTGTCTGGCTGTGTGGGCGCGACTCGGGGCTTCTATCCACACCTCCTCCTGGCACTGGTCACACAGTTGCATGAGCTGGCCCAGGGCCCACACTCCCCTGACACCCCCAAGGCTTGGGCCCCGTCCCACCATGGGCCACCACTCAGCCACACCAGGTAAGGGCACGCACTGGGGCAGTGAGGGCCGGCTCAGCGCCCCCCTCCTCACGGGCCTCCCCCTCACTGCCCCACACCCAGCTGCACAGTTGAGGCCCTGAAGGCCCTGCTCACCGGGGACGGCAGCCGCATGGTGGTCACGTGCATGGAGCAGGCTGGAGGCTGGAGGAGGCTAGTGGGAGCCCACACCCACCTGGAGGGTGTCTTGCTGCTGGCCAGGTGTGGGCAGAAGAGTGGGGGAAGAGGCAGGGGCATGAGGGTGGCCAGGTAGGGGCTTCTCCAGGGTTGAGGCCATAAGCAGAGGGAGAGTTCCCATTTCACCCCATCCCAGTGCCATGGTGGCCCATGCGGACCATCACCTGCGGGGCCTGTTCGCCGACTTGCTGCCCCAGCTGCGCAGCGCAGACGATGCTCAGCGCCTCACGGCCATGGCCTTCTTCACCGGGGTAAGCCTGTTTCCCGGAGGGCTAGTGAAGGGTGACAGAGGACCTGGCACCGAAGTGTCCCCGCCTGCACCAGGAGTGTGAGCATGCTGACTCCCTGTCCCCCGACCCAGCTGTTGCAGAGCTGGCCCACCACGAGGCTTCTTCGGGAGGAGGTGATCCTGGAGCGGCTCCGTGCTTGGCAGGGTGACCCTGAGCCCACAGTGCGTTGGTTGGGCCTGCTTGGCCTCGGCCACCTCGCGCTGAACCGTGGGAAGGTGAGGCACAGGGCCGGGTGGGATTGGGCGGGGTCTGAGGGCAGCCGCCCACAATCCGAGACTGCGCAGGTACGACACGTGACTGTGCTGCTGCCCGCGCTCCTGGGTGCGTTGGGTGAGGGCGATGCGCGACTCGTGGGCGCAGCGCTGGGTGCGCTAAGGAGGATACTGCTGCAGCCGAGGGCTCCGGTGCGATGCCTGAGCACAGAGCTGGGGCTGCGTCTCCCACCACTGCTGGATGATGTGAGCCCCGCCCCGCCCCGCCCCGCCCCGGCCCGCCCCGCCCCGGCCCGGCCCCGCCCCTCGGGGGGGCACAGCCCCCTCCCCAGGCTCCGCCCTTAGGCCCTGTCCCAACTTGGCCCAGTTTCCTTGCTCCACCCCCAGGCCACGCCCCCAGACAGCCAGTGTCCAGAGCCCCTCCAGCTGCAGGCTCTGCCTTGACATCTGACAGCTGGTCTTTTATGCAGGCCCGAGACTCAGTCCGCGCTTCGGCTGCTGGGCTTCTCGGGACACTGGTACGGCGTGGTCAGGGCGGGCTCCGGGTGGGGCTCCGAGGTCCCCTACGGAAGCTGGTGCTGAAGAGTCTGGTGCCGCTGCTGCTGCGCCTGCATGACCCCAGCCTGGATGCTGCTGAGGTCAGCCGCCCCCCAAGATGGCCCCAGTGCTTCTGTCCCCATCCAATCCCACTACCTCTCCGAAGGTGGCAGGTCAGGGACTTCCCTGAGGACCTCAGTGCAGGCCTCACGAGCTCCCAGGTTCCTGGGACTCCTGCCCTGGACTTCCCCAACTCTCATGCTGGCCACACTCAGACCACCCCTGCTACTTTCTGGGCCCCTAACCCTCTTCTCTTCCCATGTCCCAGAGCTCAGAATGGACCCTGGCCCGCTGTGACCGAGCCCTGCGCTGGGGACTGCTGGAGGAGGTGGTCACTGTGGCCCACTACGACAGCCCTGAGGCTCTAAGCCACATCTGCCACCGTCTGGTCAGTAGGGGGAAGACAGTGATGGGGTATGGCCAGCTGCCTGCTCAGTCCACTATACACTGGCCACTCTCTCCCCCCAAACGGAGTCTTTCCACCTTCCCAGTCAAGGTGGTGGCAGGTCTAAGACCTCAGGCCCTGACCCCTGCCCTCGAAGCTCCCCAGGGACACCAGCCTCTGTGCTTGCCTCCTCTCCACACAGAATTGGTCCTCCTATCCTGCTGTGAGCCCTTATGTCCCCAGGTTCAGTGGTACCCGAGCCATGTGCCCAGCTTCCTGAGCCAGACCCAGGGCTACCTGAGGAGCCCAGAGGACCCTCTGCGCCGGGGAGCAGCCATGCTAATAGGTGAGGCAGTCCAGGTGTCACACTGTCCCTCGTACCCCGAGTTCTGGGACCGTGGGGCCAGCACTCACAGGTTTGCTTTGCCCAGGCTTGCTTGTCCATCACAGCAGCCCCAGACACATCAGCTCGGATCTGCTGGACTCCCTGTTCCAGGGTGAGGGCCCAACTTGCCAGGGTGTGCGGTCCTGGAGAGGCGGTGGGTGCTTGGGCTGAATAAGTGGGAATGCATGTGCCGGGAGTCCTGGGGTGCGTCATGGTGGCCCTTCCTGAGCTACTGTGCTGTTCTTGCAGGCCTGGGGCAACTGCAAAGCGACCGAGAGCTGGCTGTGGTCGCCGTTGCACAGGTATCTTCCCAGCAGGTGGCGCTGCTGGCCCGCGCACAGGGCTGTGGGCGGGGCCTGCACTTCCCGGGTTTCCGTCCGAGCCCCACCCACCCCTCCCGGCCCCCACCAGTCTACCCGGATAGCCCCTTCCAGCGCCGGAGCGTCGCAGGGCGGTGGGGCTGCCTTGGCCCTGGCTGAGCCTGAACCCTGGCTGTCCTCTGGGTGGGGTCCCAGCCCAGTGAGGGTTCAGGATCTGCATCTGGTGCCCGACCGCTCTGTGGCCAGCCTTGGGCCCAGGGCCAGGCCTCCTCAGCAGGAGCTCCCTGCTGCTGTGGCCATGTTCCCCAGAAGGCCATCAGCGCTTCTGTCCGAGCACCATTTCACCCTCAGCCCCCGCACCTGCGGGCCCACCCATCCCTCCTCAGGCCTGCGGCTCTCCCAGCCCCCTGACCCCAACCTTTCAAGGAGGGGTCCGGTGGAGGACACTGTGAAGCCCTGTGAGCTCCTGGGGTTTCCTGGGCCCCGCCCCAGCTGGCCACCCACCAGCCCTGTCATGTGCCCCACTCCTTGTCAGCCCTTGTCCTGGCCTGACCTCTTGTCCACACCTGTTGTCCCTCATCCTGGCACCGTCTCCCACACGCTTCCCTACTCCCAGTCGTCAGACCAGACCCCACCTGAACCTCCTGCAGAGGGCACCCCGACCTCTCCACTGGACACCACAGGCCTGGGGTTCTACCTGTGGGTTCAGGTGTGGGGTACCAGCATCTACGCCCCCACCAGACTGAGCCTGCACACTGGCACCGCAGCACCCTGTGAGGGGTTGAATGAGGAAAGCATGACAGTTCATTCAGGGGAGGAGCCCCCCCCCCCAGACCTCCCAAGCTGTGACCAAGAGCACAGGGCTGTGGGCGGGTTCCTCCGACTGCTTTTCAAGCCCCTCCCTGCAAGCTGCTGTCTCGGAGAGGCCTCTACTGACACAGCCTCTTTGCCTCCAGGCTGGGGGCCTCCGGGGGAAGGCCAGGGTCCTGCCAGCTGCTAGGAAAAGCGTCTGAAGTAAACTCACATGGATCACGGAGCCCGGCATTTGACTGGGGGGTGGGTCTGGGCTGAGGGTGTGGTCCAGATGCTCTGGGCCTGGTCCAAGATGGGGCTTGGGCTGGGGTTACAGAAGAGGCAGCGTGTGGGCGTTTGGGGCACCAGCATCGGAGCTCCCTGGGAAGGGGTTGGGATCTCGTGCAGGGCGTCCCAGGGCTTGGTGTATGTAGGAGCAGGGCCAAGGTTTGAAGTGTGAGTTCAGGTCCCACAAAGCCCATTCCAGGCAAGATTAAACTACAGGAAGTATGCCTGTGGGGAGGGACCCACCAGGAGGCCCCCAGGGCCCCGTGAAGGAGTGGGAGGCAGCGGGTGTGTCCCGGATGCCTGTCTTGGCCTTAGGGGTTCTCCAGCCAGCCTGTCACCTGTCGGGGGCCTCATGGGACTGGGTTTTTGTCCTGCAGTGGGACTCTGCAAGGAGCCCCCCGACACAGGCTGGGCCTAGGGCTGGCTCAGCAGGAGCCTTGCGGACCCCCCACTGGAAGTCTCTCCTTGCAGGCCAAGAGCCAGAGCCAGAGCCAGGGTGAGCATTCACATCCACTCCTGCCAGACACATGCTCCTCTGCTCTGCACAGCACGATGCACAGGCCAGTGGCCAACCCCACGGTGGTGCCCCGATGAAAGGAGGGCCCACCTCAGGTGGGGGGCCTGGCTGCTTCTGCAGGGAGCCCGCATCCTGCCCTGTTCCAGGCTACTTCTTGCACAGCACAGCCAGCCCGCCTGCTCACAGTCTTGCCCCCCCCACTTTGGCCCCGCCCAGTACCTGGCAGCTCGCTGGATGCTACCTACCAGGAGGAGGTTCCTGAAGGCCGGAGGATTGCTGGGCCCTGGGAGTGGGACCCTTCTGGGGGACTTCTCTGCTGGGGTCCCCAGGTGGCTCAATGGCCTGCTTCAGCAGGGACGCCCCTATAGCTGTGACAGGGCTACAGCCCCTCCCCAGGCCGGCGCCTTCGGTCTGGGAGTGTCCAGGCCGACCAGGCCCGTCGGCCCCACTGGCAGTAGCCCAACCGGCAGGCCGGACGTGGGTCTGAGCAAGCCGCTCTCCAGGGACAACCCTCCTGCCTCGATGTCGGTGATGAAATGACCCCAGAGGCCTGGGTCCCCCGGCCACAGGTGGGTCTAGGACCTGAGTGCCAAAAACCAGACTGTCCTAACGGGGCTTGTGTGCAGCGGGCTAGCACCTCTTTCCCCTCGCCCTTGAGGCAGCTTTTCTGGGGCCCAGAAGCTGGACTCCTATACCCACTTCTTTTTTTTAAAATCGTATTTGTTTATTTTTAGAGAGAGGGGAAAGGAAGGAGAAAGAGAGAGAAACATCAGTGTGGTTGCCTCTCATGTGGTCCCCACTGAGAACCTGGCCTGCAACCCAGGCATGTGCCCGGACTGGGAATTGAACCAGCGACCCTTTGGTTTGCAAGCAGGTGCTCGATCTGCTGAGCCACACCAGCTAGAACCAGTTTTAATGTCACTATTGGGCTCAGGTCCTGGGTTTGTGTGGGGGTTGGTGTCCTGGCTAAGCCCACTGTCCCTCCTCTCCAGTGAGTCCGGAAGCTGTATGTCTGGTTGGCCGCGTGACAGGGGAGCGGCCTCCTCCTCCCACCCGGGGAGAAAGGCAGACTCTGCCCCCTCCGAGGAGAGGCAAACTCCTGGCTGTTCAGGCCAGAGGAGAGGAAAATCCTTGCTGACCAGTTGCCGTCACCCCTAGGCAGGGTGTGCCCCCGCAGCACGGGGTCCCCACGGCCCTCTGCGTCCTGCAACCTGAGCAGGTGCACCTGGCGGGGCACGGGCCGCCAGCCAGCCACACACGCCCCAGCCCCCTCGACAGCCCCCGTGGGCCCAGGACTGGCCCCTGCCCACAGCAGCGTGTCCTCGAGGTCCCTGAGGCAGTGGGAGACATGTCCCGTTGGAACTACCCCACCCCCCACCCAGATAGAGGGCCCTTCAAACACTCAGCGACCTGCTGCCTTTGTGCTTCCTATTTATTGACTTCTCCCAGCTCCCAAGCCGGTGCTGAGTGGCCGCTGGGCTGGGGGGGCTCTGGCCTGAGCAGGGCTGGCCGCTGACAGGTGTGACTGCGTTGGACGTCAGCTAGCAGAGCTGGCTCAGCTTCGACAGCAGGGCCAGGCAGGCGTACAGTGCGCACGCGCAGCCCTGGGCCTCTGGCTTCCAGCACACCTGGGGGGCGTTCACCTGCAGCTCCAGGCCAGAGGCCTCCAGCAGGATCCAGGCAGGTACCTCTGGACCCCACCTGCCTGCCAGGAGCCCAGGTGGCAGGGATAAGGCCCTGGGCTCCTTCCACGGGGAGCTCTGCTCCAAAAGCTTCTCCACCTGCCGGGATGAGGCGGAAAGTTGTCCTCAGGGGCCTTGGGCCTCCAACACCTGCCCCTCCCCCCTCCCCCCAGGGGTGCCCGGGCCCCGCCCCACAGCCCCAGCCCTTTCCCCACCATCTGGGCCTCCTCACCAGCTTGAGGGGCTCCAGCAGGGCTGAAGCCTCCAGCACCTCGGCCAGTAGCACTCGCTGGGCCTCACTCAGGGCTGGGGAGAGACCTGGGGTAAGGGGGGCTCGAAGGCCTACCTGGAAAGCCCACAGCCCTGCCCCGGCTTTCCCCAACCCCAGGGGCCCCTCACCAGCCAGCGCTCCCAGCAAGTAGGTGACTGGGCCTGCAAGCTCCTCCACCAGTGTCCTGCAGGGGAGCACCAGGCACTCGAGGACATGGCCTGCCGGGCCCTGCAGAGGCTCTGCCCGCCCACAGCACAGGCCCTGCTCCAGCTGGGGGCACAGGGGGCTGGTGAGCCTGGCGGCCAGTGTGGCCACTCCCGTCCCCAAGCCCCCAGCCCCAAGGGCTCACTCACCGATTCCTCCAGGGTTTGCAGGGCCAGCTCGTCCCGCAGCACCTGCCCCAGGCCCCTCAGCAGCTGCTCACACAGGGTCTTGGACAAGTTCTCCAGGAACCCAGCCCAGGCTTTCACCTCTGCCTGCAGGCCCTGGAAGTCTTCTGTGGACACCACTTGGTCCTCACCGAGCCCATCTGTGGGGACAGGGGTGGCATTGTCGGGCTGTCCACGGAGCCCTGGGGAGTCCTCGTTGGAAAGCAGAGACCCCCAGGGGGCAGAAAGGGAGTGCACCAGGGGTCCCAGAGGTGTTCCAGAAGGTACTGACCTGACAGGAACCTAAGGTGATCGCCTATGGACTTTAGGAGGGTGGAGAGGGAGGATGGTCGCTGTGGCTGGTCACCTGCTGCAACAGAGCTTGTCAGTGCGGGGGTGGGTCCCCGAGCCTGAGAGGACTGGGGCCACCCTCGGGCCCGCACAGCACCTCACTGTCACCATAGCACTGGTGGCCCAGGGCAGGGCACAGCCCTGCTAGACTGGTGCACACACCTGCATGCACACACCCACACGTGCCCAGCCCTCAGGCGTCTGCTGGCTGCACCCCACTGGGCAGGAGATGGCCCCAGTGCGCTTGCCTGGCTGCCAGGGCCAAGCTTGGGGGACATCCATGGGCCTCACCTGTCTGGGGCCGCATGAAGGTCCTCTGCCTCTTCTCTGGGACGAAGAGGATGTCTGGAAGCCGGACAGGAGCAGAGATGGAGGAGGCAGGTCAGCCAGGGCTCCCAGCCTTCCCCTCACCTGCAGGGTTCCCTGCACGGTTCTGCACACACGTGCCAGCCACCCACATGCCGGGGTTCTGCACACGCGTGCCAGCCACCCACATGCCGGGGCGCAGGACCCTCGGCCACTGGGCTCAGGAGACCGCACAGCCAGGTGCCTGCATGCCCCCAGCCAGCTGATGGCTCTTCCCAGGCCTCAGAGTCTGTGTCTTTGCCCCAGAGTCGGGGCCCCAGAGGTCACCCCAACCCTGACTCACCCCACTCAGGGCCAGTAAATACTAGCTGGGCCACCCGGAATGCGAGAACACTGCCCGAGGGGATGGTGACCGTCTTCTTCCGGCTCAGGTGGCCCTTGCCCTCGCCCTGAAGGGTGGATCTGGGCTTAAAATGGCTCTGGCTTGGGAGGTGGCCATGGGCTGGCGCAGTGACCTGCCTGGCGACATGGCCCCCACCCCCCACCCCCAGCCGCGCTCCCGGCCCACCCAAGCTCCACACCTGGAAGCACACAGCTCCGGGCAGCGAGAACTGGCCTGAGCCCTCGTGCTTGTGGGTGCGGGTGACTTCCACCTCCTTCTGGGTCTGCAGCACCTCCGTCACCACGAACACATCACGCCCACGGTTCCGCAGCTCCTGTAGAATTTTGTGCTCAGGCTGCCGCAGGCGCCTATAGCAGAAGGTGGGTGGGTCAGGAGGTTCAGGGTGCGAGCGGCTGCCCTCCCCTCCCCCCCACCAAGGCACTGGCTTTCCTGCCCCAGGCCTCAGTCTTTGTGCCCAGCAGTGGGGATGACAAGGGGCTTGAGGCTGAGGGGACCAGGAGCTCGGTGGGGTAGGGTGGCCGTCACTCCTGCCCTAGGCACTCCTGACAGTGTCTGTGGATGAGCGCGGGGGGTGCAGGGAACAGGGACGAGGGCTGGGCAGGGACAAGTGGACACCTGCTGGTCCTGGAGGCACTCACCGCCCCCACCCCCTGCCAGCTGTGCACTGGGGTGCTCTCTCCCTTCACTCCCTGGGTCCAGGTTTCAGTCTCCACCCTGAGGTATCAGTCCTCCTTGCCACTGTCCCTCTGTCTCCATGTCCACTCCACCCCAGCAGCCCTGCCTCCTCTCGGTGACCTGGGGGCTCAACCCACACCCCCAGCTCCCCAAGCCCTGCCCCGACAGCTCACCTCTCTCGGTGCATGGCCACCCAGGCGTTGGGGGGCACTTGCAGCTTGCACACATTCATGGAGGCGCTGGAGCTGCCAGACACTGCGGCCCCGCCTGCAATCTTCCCCTGTCCCGGGGCCACCACCTCCACGCTGCCCCCCAGATGCCCATCCACGGCGTCTTGGAAGTAGAAGGGACCAACATGCTCGACAGCTGGAACAAGGCCAGAGCTGAGGACCCCACTCCCCCCTGCAGTGCCTTTCCCCCAGGCACAGGGACCCTGGAATGGGCCCAGAGCAGGCGGCAGGCTGCTCCCCCGTTCTTCCAGCAGAGGGGCTCCGACGCAGCGCCAGTGGGTACCTGGTTCTGGTGCGTCTGGCTCCAGGATGTCCCTGATGGACAGGTTGACACATGTGTAGCGTCTGAAGAACCTGGAGCTCGGCTTCCGGCTCAGAAGGCGGTAGGGCTGGAAGTTGGCAGAGCTCTGTAGGCTGTACACGGGGACCAGCTCTCTGTTCTGGTCCAGTTCCAGCCCCACGCTCTTGACCACCCGCTCGAAGGCTGATGCCATGCTCCTGAGGAGGGCAGATGGGTCAGGCCCTGCCCCGCGTGGCTGGAAGGCGGGGTACACCATCGGCTCTGGGACCAGAGTGCCTGACAGACCCAAGCACATCCTGGACTGCCGGTGATGGGGGCGTGGTCAGGGGCTCTGGGCTGCCCATCAAGGCCTCCATCACTTTGTCAGCCCAGCATGGCGTAGAGCCACCACCAAGGGAGGGCAGGGGGAGGAGGGGCTTTGGCGTGACCCCGGGACAACACCCTATAGGCTGAGGTGGCCGCCTCCCCCCCATCCCCGGAGGTGCCCACAGGGGGAGGGAAGAAACAGGCCACCACCTCTGGGGACATGGCACGGGGGCCCATGGCAGAAGACGGGATGTCCCAGCTCCCGGCTCCCGGGTATGTCCACTAGGGCTTCTCTGGGCCCTGGCTTCATGGGCCACTGTCCAAGGCTGAGACTTCGGGGGTTAGGGACCAAACTGGAGGGACCCAGGACTCAGGAGACCCGGGCCGCAGACCTGCCAGCAGCCAGTTGCTCACCAGGAGGAGGTCACTGGGCCCCCAGGCTGGCCTGCAATCAGAGATAGGCCAAGCAGCGTCTGGAGGGCCTGCCCTAGACTCAAGCCCAAATCCGGTCTGGCTGGTGAGGGGCCTGCCTGCCCAGAGGCCCTGGGCTTCCTCCAGTGGTTTGGGATTGTGGGGAGTCCTGGGAGGGTGGAGGAACCAGGGCGCTATCCCACCCAGCAAGAGCGGTGTTGCTGGGGCGCCAGGGGTCGCGGGGTGCAGCTCACCGAAACCGTGGCGCCCGGGTTCCAGGCCCACACAGCGAGGCGAGGAAGCCCTGGGCCGGGGTCACCCGGGAGTGCGCTCCGGAGTCGCCGAGGGAGCGCTCAGCCCGCAGGAGGCCAGACCCAAAAGTGAAACCAGCGGAGCAAGACCTCCAGGCGCTCCCGGAAATGCCCGAGCTGCCGCCCGCCGTCGGCCCGCCCACTCGCGGTTTCTTTCTAAAACTTTGGAGCAGCGGAGGGGCCGGGCAGACACTTTTCAGAAGAAAAACTACGAACGGCCGACAAGCACATGGAAAGGAGCGAATCAAACCACGATGAGATGCTTCACACCCGTTAGGCGTGCAGGGGAGGGAGCCCGGAGCCCCGCTTGCTGCGCTAGGTAACCGGGCGCCGGCAGGGGCCCATTAGCACCGCTTCATGCAGCCCACTACTCGGTGTGCGTGTGTACCCCAGGGAGAGGAAGATGCGTTCACGCAAAGCCTGCCCGCGAGGGCCCTACAGCACCGCCCATGACTCCCAAGACCTGGGCACCTCCCCCTCCCCCGTCGTAGGGCTGATGCGTGCAAAGGAAACGGGGAACCCGTGCGGCGCGCAGGGCCGCAGGGAGTGGTAGGCAGCGAGAGGAAGGAGTGACGTCCCGTCGCCGGGCCAACATCCACGGACCGCGCGACGTCCCCCCTGAGTGCAAGAAGTCACCTCGGAAGACAGTGTCTCCCCCAACGCCTGCCCACGGGTGTTCACGGCGGGAGAATCCGTACAGAGGGAAAGGAGAGGCAGGTGGTTGCCAGGGACAGGGCAGGGGGAGGATGAGCTGATGGGGATGTGATGAAAACGTTTATCCGGCTGCGGTGCGGGTTGCGCAGCCCTGAATGTGCTGAAACCCACGGAGGTTTACACTGTAATGTGTGAGTTAAGTGGCATGTGAATTACTTCTTAAAAAGTTTATTGATTTGAGAGAGAGACATCAATTTGTTGTTCCACTGATCCATGCATTCATTGATTGATTCCTGTATGTGCCCCGACTGGGACCGAACCCACAACCTTGGCGTGCGGGGACAATGCTCTACCCAACCGAGCTACCCAGCCAGGGCTGAGTTATATCTTCATAAGGCCTGCACAGGCCCCTCAGCACCCTTACTGTCCTGGGCCACAGGTGAGGTTTGCCTGGTGCCAGGCAGTTCCTCATCTCGCCTCGAGGCTGCTACCCCGGGGCTCTGCAGAGCCCACACTGGGGCTGCTGGCCCTACATGCCCCCCCCCCCCCAAAGCTCTGCACATTTGGTCACCCCATCGGCACGTGTGCAGCAACACCTGTGCCAGGTGCTCTTCCCACACAGGCCGTCACAGGCACCCGGAAGGCTGCTTGCTGTGCAGGTGAGATGCAGCTGCAGCGCCCGGCCTCAGAAACATTGTCTCCTGCACGCAGAAGTCCCTAACAGCTGAGTGCCCCAGGGCAGACACAAGCAGGAGCAGCTCTCCAGGGGATGGGCGGGGAGGGGCCTGGTCTGCTCTGGTGCCTGCCTGTGGCCCTGCTCGTGCTGGGGCCCGGGCGGGTGGGCCTGTGGGCTCTGCTGGCTGAGGGCCTCTGGGGGCTGGGCGCTCAGCAGCCTGGCTGGGGACTCCCAGGTCTGATCCGGCCCCTGGAGCCACTGGCTGGAGAGAGAGGGCGTCCTTGCTGATGATGGCAGGAGGCTCCCAGAGCCTGAGCAGGGCTGAATGGGTGTGTGTTCACATGTGTGTGCAGTTTGTGTGGTTTGTGCTTGTCTGTAGGTGTTGGTTCAGCCTCGGGGCACTCCTCCAGGGAGGTCTGCTCTCTCCCCAGCCACAGCTCCTCCAGGCCTCCAGTCCCTCTGCTCCTTATCTGTTTCTTCAGTGGGCAGGCTCCAGGCCAAAGTCAAGGTTGTGGCCTCCTCAGTGGTGTGACCTTGCTGTGGGTTTCCAGCAGGGATTGACCAGCCTGGTTTATTTTTCTGGAAGGCCTTGGCTGCTGCATGGGAGAATGGGGTGGGGGCGGCGGCATAGCTCTGGAGCTCAGTCCGAGGCGGAGGTGCCATCCACAGGGCATCTGGGGACAGCATGGCACACTACACCACCTGCCTGGCTGTAGGGACCCAGGGCTGGATGGGGCTGCAGGTGGCCTGGCTCGTGCTGTTTCTTGTTATATCTTCAGCTCTCGCAATAACCAAACCAAGCAGCACTGTCGAGTGGCGGTGTCGCCTGGGTTTCTGACTCAGAGAGGACAGAGGTCAGCCTGAGGGGCAGGAAGTGTGCTTAGTGGGGAGAAAATGCGGAAGGAAGAGGGGTGGGGCAGACAGCCAGAAACTCTGAGGTCGCCCTGGACAAGGTCTGAGCAGGCCCTGGAGGTCCAAAACTGGCCAGGACCCCATGACCCCAGTGGCCAGCTGTGACCAGGGCTGGGAGGGGGTCTCTGCCTGTTGGTGGGGAGGGGCCAGCTTTACTGGGTGAGCTCTAAGGACGAGGAAACACGAGGCTCTGGGCCCCTGTCTCCACCCACCTGAATAAAGATCTAGTGCCTGAGCAAGCAAGCTGTTGAAGGCAGCGCCCCTGAGAGGGAGGGAGCAGGCCATTAAGATCTCAGAGGCGAGCTGGTTAGCGCAGTGGAGCGAGCAGAGGAAGCGGATGGGAGATACTGCGGAGGAGATGGGACACTGGAGTTAGAGGGCGCTGCATGCTGAGCCAGGAAGGAACAAGAGGCCAAGACAGCGTGAAGCCGAGTAGGGGGCAGCGGGCTCGAGGAACCCACCCACGCTTCACAGGCGGGCTCGGTGGGCCCTGCCCTAGATCTGGATTCCGAGCCAGGGGAGGCCTGGCAGTCCAGGGCCGCAGAGAGGCGCGGTAGGCGCGTGGGCGGGACTGCGGGATCCCGGGAATTGGCACAGCCTCCTGAGCACGAGCAGTAGGAGCCCGGGCCACCACGTCCAGTGTAGGCCGGCCGGGACACTCTAGGCGTTTCTCCAGGGGAGACCACGCCCAGGGCAGCCCCGCCCCCTTCGCCCTTCCAGCACCCCTCCCCACCCCGCCCGGCCTGTACCCAGGTCTCAGCCGGCCCCGAGCCACTTGACACTCGAGCCCAGCTAACAGTTCTGCGGAGTAGTCCTGGCGAAGAGCAGCCGGGACTGAAGGGGTGCCAGCCCGGCTGCGCGGCGGGGCCTCAGCGCAGACGAAGTCCGTCAAGTCCTTTCCTTTGGGGAGTTGAGTCCCTGCGAGGCCCCCCTCCCGCTTGCTGCCCCAGATCCTCGGCGGCCAGGACGGCACCCGGGTGCCCTTTGGGCTGCGGCTCCGACGGTTGGTCCACAGGCCCTGCCCGTGGGGAGCTCAATCAACGTTCGGAGGTCGCTGGGCAATGCGGTGGTCAGCAGGCCCCCTGACCGGGCGGCCCCAGAGCCGGCAGGGGTAGGGGGTGTCTCGGGTTCAGAGGCATCTTGGGAATCAGAAGTGTGGAGGGCAGGAAGGCCTGGCAGAGGTGGCAGGGGTGGAGTGGGGTGCGGAGAAATTACCCTGGCAGTTGGGAGTCACCCAGAGACTCATAGGAGGGGGCTGGTGCAGTTGGTTGAAAATCCACTGCCCAGGCCCCGCCTCGAGGCGACCCTCCCCGGCGCACCCTAACCGTCCTGTTTCCTTTTGGGGTCTCCGGCCCTGTGGTCGTCTGCGTCCTGCCTGGCACCCCGGGTTTTCTGCCGACTGGGGGTGGGGGACACAGCACTCAGCCCACTCCACTGGGCCTCTGCAGGGGAGGCAGCCCCTTGGTCCTGCTTCAGGGGTCTTGAGTGTGCTCCTGTGTCCCAGCTGGGGTCTCTTCCACGCAGGCGTTGGCGGGGATACTGCCCTAGCTTTTCCCAGTAGGAGGGCATGTGGAAGACTGTCGTGAAAGTCACGCCACCCATCCGTCGTGGTCCCTGAGAGCCTCGTGGAACTGTCCTGATGGAGGGAACGGCTGGCATAACCTTTTCTTCCGGGAGGATCCGTCTCAGGGTCTGAGGGTCACGCTTGGCAGTGAGGGTCCATGCGGGATGTGATGCTGGGGTGAAGGACCTACGGGGTCTCGAGGGCTTTTCTCGCATTTCTCTCCCAGTTACTTCCTGCTTTCCCAACGCGAGGATAAAGGCAAGGGGGCATCCGGGAGGCGTGGTCCCAGCCTGCCAATCATCTGTCCCACCAGAGAGCCTGCGGGGAGACATCCCCAAGGCGGTGCAGGCTGGGTAGGCGGAGGAGGCCTAGAGATGGAGGGCAGCTGGGGACTGGGGAAGGAACTTAGGCTGGGGTGGGGTCCAGGTCTCGGCCCCCCGCCAGGTCCCGCAGGGAGGGAGAGCCGGTGGCGGAGAAGCCCGCCGGAGCCCCTCCAGCAGGTGATCACCTACAGCCCACTCCTCCAAGCACGAAGCAGGGATTCCTCTGCGCTCTGTCCAGATAGCTCCAGGTCCCTAGCTCTGCGCGTGCGCGATTCCGCAGGCGTTGCCGAGGCGACCATACGTCCGAGGCGGTCTGGGCCTCGCCCCAGTGCGCAGTCTCGGAGTCTCCCGCGCCCCGCCCCGCCCCATCCACAGGGAAACGGTCGCGCGGCGATGACGTCGCGGAGGGCTGGCCTGGCGTCGCGGTCTGCGGAGATGGAGGAAAAGGAGCTGTTACGGCGACAGATCCGCCTCCTGCAGGGTGGGTCGGGCCGGGTGGGGGGTCGCGTGTCTTTTCTTTCCCCTCACCTCACCGGGCTCGCTCTCCCCCCCCGCAGTCCCCTCGGCCGGGCGGGGTCGGGTGGGGAGGCAGGTAGCATCAGACAGGAGGTGGGAGACACAGAGACACCGAGGGGCCGGCCGGGTCGGCGCTCTACCCGGTTTTCGTTGGACGACGGGTAACGCAAACCTTTTCGGCGCTATGGCGGGACTGTCGCTTCTAACCGGCCGGAGGCCACCTCCCCTACTCCCACGGGCGGTCGAGTCCTCGGCGTCCCCGCGCTCCCAGGCCCTGACGCGGGGGCGGGGGCGGGGGCCCTGGCGCGGGGTGGCACAGCGCACTCCTGAGGGGCGGTGTTCCTTCCCAGACGCTGCATTCTCCGTACAGTCACACTCCCCTTAGTATTCAAGACCCAGACTCCCAAGGCCGCAGTTCCCAAACTTTTCAATTTTTAGACGCAAGTCGGGCTTTCTGCACTGTAAAAAATCTTTTTAAAGTTATTCCTATAAAGAGAAGGTTTAAGGACTTGGAAAATAGGTATAGCGGAGAGTCTAGGTGTGCTGGTCCCTCCTTTGGGCCACTTTTTTGGCTTCATCACATTTGCCCTGAGGCGTCGCCAGGTCTGGATGGGGCTCTCTTTGGGTGTGAAAGCAGGGCCTCTGGGGGGGGGGTAATGTAACTGGGCGGCCACGGGGGACCGGCTTTCTACTAGCTGTGGAGTGGTAATGCCCTGGAGTCTTGGGTTGTTCCTGGGCTGGGGCAGCCCTCCAGGGGTGTCCTCAGGAAGGCCCTGGGCTGGATTTGTCCACTTTGCTGGAGCTGGGGCTCCAGACCATCCCTCCTCTCTCCTGGGGGGAGGACTGTGGGCCATTCTTGTCAAGGGTTGAGTGCCCAGGGCTGTCAGTCGTGTGACACGCAGTGTCCTGGGTGACAGGCAGGGAGGTCATTGAGGTGCAGCCTTGCCCCCTTCCTGTCAGTGGGCAAGTCCGAGGGCCTCCTTCTTGCCAAGGCAGCACAGTGCGCGGCCTCGTTGGTCTCTTCATACAGAGTGATGCTGCTCCACAAAGGACTGTGGGCCCAGAAGACATTCCCAGCAGAGAGGGACTAGGATGCCACAGGGGCGGGTCTTCAGGGTGGACAGCTACAGACAGGAGTGAGGTGGGGCAGGTGGGGAGGGCTCCTGGAGGAGGCAGGCCAGGAGGTCTGGGTGAACTGTCAGAGGTTCTCAGACTCCGAGGGGTCCGGAAGGGAGATGGGGTTGTGGGTGTCTTGTCATCTGATGCCCTTCTCAGGGACTGTTGCCGATTTTACTTTGACCCTCTAGTGAAGCCTGTGATTCTGTCTCCTCAGGTTTGATCGACGACTACAAAAACCTCCATGGCAATGCACCTGCCCCAGGCACCTTGGCCACTTCCCGGTGGCAGCCACCGTCCTACAGCAGCAGCAGGACTTTCGGTGCTCGCCACCCTCGTCCAAGCAGGAGGGGCTTCTCCCCTAGCCATGGGCCTGCGTGGCGCAAGAAATACTCCCTCGTGAATCGCCCCCCGGCGTCCTTGGACCTGCCTGGTGATGGTGCCACGCAGCCAGCCCCTGGGGCTGGGAGTGGTCAGGACCCTGACTCCCAGCACTGTGTCTTGGAGAGGCAGGTCCAGCTCAGTTCTGATCAGAGCATGGTCATCAAAATCAAGCCACCGTCAAAGGCCGGCTTGGCTAGCATTGCAGGGGCCTCTCAGGGCTCTTCGGACGAATGTGAGGGCTCGCCCTGGAGCAACCCCAGGCCTCGAGAAGGTGAGGGGGAGCCTGCTGGTGGGCAGCGGCAGCCCTCGAAGCCAGGAGGACCCAAGGGGACCTGCAGCCCAGAGGACCCCCTTCTGGTCTGCCAGAAGGAGGCCGGCAAGCCCCGGGTGGTGAAGTCTGTGAGCAGCTTGAGTGACAGTCTCTCTGAGTCCCGGCGGACGGTCAGTGAGAGTGCCCTCTCTGCCAGGGCGCGCCTCCTGGCTTCCACCCAGTCCTCACGCAGTGGCACTGCCCTGGCCCGGAAGGCGGGCTCTCTCCCGGTGGCCCACTCTGCTGCACAGCTCCTTGGGGACGGGAGAGTGGATGTTGGCCACCCAGATCAGCCAGCTCCTTCTGGCTCCGTGGCAGGCCCAGCTAGACCGGCTTCTGGACCCAGGCAGGCCCGGGAGGCCTCGCTGCTTGTGTCCTGCCGAACCAAGTTCCGGAAGAACAACTACAAGTGGGTGGCTGCTTCGGCAAAGAGTCCCCGGGCCCCTAGGAGGGCCCTCGGCCCCAGAGTAGCTGCAGAGAATACGTGCGTGGCCTCCTGTGGCTCAGCTGAGCGCCCGGAGAAGCCGCAGTCCAGAGCGGACCTGGATGCCAAGCCCAGGAAGTCGGCCAACCCCAGCAAGTACAAGTGGAAGGCTGCCAGCCCCTCGGCCTCATCTTCCTCCTTCCGTTGGCAGTCGGAGGCTGGCAGCAAGGACCGTGCATCCCAGCTCTCTCCAGTCCCATCTAGGTCCCCCCCAGGGGACAAACCGACAGTGGGACCAAGTGGCTCGAAGCCCCTCTTCAGTGAGACCACAGGGCTCTCAGCTTACAAAGTGAAGAGCCGCACCAAGATCATCAGGAGGCGGGCGAGTGCTAAGTGCGTGTCCCAGCCGACACCCCAGGGTCCTGTGGGGCGGGCGGCTGGCACACCTTCCTGCTGGGCAGAGCCACTGGGAGAGCCTGCCTGCAGGTGTATGGGCGGGATAAGCACGGCGTCACCTGCCAGCTCCTGGCAACTGCCTGGCCAGGCCTGTGTGAGAGCCGAGCTCTGTCAGCACCAGGCTGGCTCGCTGCGGAATGAGGGAGGCTTGGCCTGGCCAGGACCTGGCTGGGGGCTCCAGTTGGGCAGGGACAGTGGACTGGGCTGCAAGTGGACCCACCCTTTCTCCTGCCGGGAGAGGCTGCTGGGGTGGCCTTTCTTCCGGGCCCACAGGCAGGAGGCTTCGTGCCTGGCCCAGCGCCGGTGGAGCAAATGTGGAGTGCAAGAGCCGCTCTCCACCAGGGAGGAAGGCTGCCCCCTGGCGGCCCAGGGACCCCATGTCTTCCTCCAGCCCCTACCCTTGTGGCCTGTGAGGAGGCTCAGAGTTGGTGCTGTGGCCCCGCCCTCGGTCTGGGTTCAGGGACTTACCAGTGGCAGCCACTGCTGACAGGGCCTACCTCTGTCACCAGACAGGGCGGTGTGCCCTCCTTCCCTGCGAGTGCCCCTCCACAGGTCCTTCCCCCGTCCCGCCTTGATCTTTGACCTGCTCTTCCTGTGCAGGTGGCCTCTGAAGTTTCAGGAGGGTAGACAGGGGAACTGTGTGAGAAGCTTTTGTGAAGAGGTCTGGGGTGCTCGTGGCTGCCCCCTGTGGACATTTTTGGTCTCCTTTGCCCCCAACCCAGTGCCCCAGGGGGCCCACTTAAACTGGGTGGGGGTTGGGCTGGCCACTGCACTCTGCTCTGTGCCTATCCCGGCTCAGGGACCCTGGGACCCTCCTCGAGTGGCTAGGAGTCAATAGCCCTGTCACTGCTGGCTGGTGGGGCAGTGGCACTGGCAGGGCTGGGACCTATCAGGCTCAGCCCGCTGTCTCCTGGGGCTGGGACCCTCATGGGCCTGGGTGGGTGGGCCAGCCATCTGCTGGGGGAGGGGTTCTGTTGAGAGCTACCTCTTCTTTGTCTCCGCAGCCTTCCGGGGGACAAGAAGGGCAGTCCCCCACCTGTTGCCACTGCTAAGAGCCAGTTCAGCCTGCGGAGGAGGCAGACCCACCGAGGGAAGACTAGCCCCCTTCAGAAGAAGACCCCCACCAAGGGCCTGACACAGGTCACCAGGCAGCGGCTGTGTGGCCCACCTGCCGGCGGGGCTCATCCACCCACTAAGGAAGGTATGAGGACCAGGCTCTGGGAGGACTGGCTCTGGGGAGCCCTGAGCTGGGCCTGTGCTGGCTTGGGAAGGTAGGCTTTGCCTTCTTTGGGAGTCGCTGGTGTTTTGTGGGCAGTGTGGGGGCAGCGTCCTGGGCTGTGGCCCCACTGAGGCCATGGCAGCATATTGGGGGAGCTGCTGCCAGCTGAGAGTCTGTGGGGGGGACTTGGCTGCATAAATCTGGGGCCATGGGAGGTGGACAAGAGGGAGGCAGGTGAAACCGTGGCACTGTCCTGGGGAGACAGGACTCATCTGGGTGCACTTGGTCCTGTGATGTCCCTTTTTCGTCCCCTGTGAGCCCCTGGGGGTTGGGTGGTCGTGGCTTCCCAGGCTGGTGCCTTGGTACCTGGAGGTGACCGGGTTTAGGGCCGAGCAGGCTGGGCCTCAGGTTGTTCGGCTTGCTGTGCTGACTGCTGTGGGAAGGGCTCGGGAGGAGCCCAGCCCCAAGTCCCCACTTTAGCTCTGCCGTGTGGCCTGGTGGCCAGTAGAGGGCGTCCTTGCCCCTGTTTTCCCTCGGTCCACCTCCTTCTGGTAATTGATTGCCTCATTTCCTCTTTATGTGAAAGAAAGCAGATATCAAGTAATTTGCAGCAATAACCTGCTAATGCCAGGCTAGTGTCGAAACTCCCCTGTTCATTTCAGGTGGCAGATAAAACGCTAATACATAATTATCCTCGCAAATTGGATTGTTTTAAATAACCGAAAGGCTACGGCCAGGAGGAGGGGACAGGCTCCCTCGCGTTTCTGTTGCTGTGTAATTGCCCCGTTCGGTCAATTTCCCTGGCATTAGAAATTCCATCACAATCAACATTAAGCTTTATTCATCTCGATGGCTGAGAGCCGGGCCATTTCTCCTCTTTTTCTTAACTGGCAAAATTAATCAGGGAAGAGATTTTAAACGTTTACCCGTGCGAAAGAGGTCAGCTCTGCCACTGTATTGCTCAGCAGATAAGGGGCTAATAAAAAGGAAATTGAATTACTAATGATCACCAGGAACAGCGTGCGTAAAACCCGGCAACCGCCGGTTCAGGGGAAGGGAGAATCAATTTTCCTGGGACGAGGTGTGCTCGTTTTTTATTTTGGCGCATATTATCAGCAGTTTAATTTGAGAGCGCGTAAACAGGAGGAAATAGTTAGGGAATAATGAGCCTGGAGGTGTAGCGCGCCGCGGGATATATGCTGTACACAATTTATTTGGCACAACAGATAATCGCTTTAATTGAATTCAAAACTGCATTGTTCAGCAGACGTGGGCCACGGCTGCCCTGGGGATGGGCTCTGCGGATCCCAGCCTGGCTCCTTGGCTGTCCCTCCTTTGTCCCCTTGCCCCTTCCTGCTGCCCACCCTATGAAGGGCTTGGCTCTTCGGGCTCGGAGGCCCTTTGGTGGGGGTGGGGGCCCTGTGGTCTTCACCTCTGCAGTCACTGTGTCTCTTGCCTTCCTTTCTTCTCTCCCCCAGGGACGCTCTATCTGTGTGCAGCTGGGGGGCTGAGGGGCACCTGCAGAAGGGCCCAGGGGAGTGCAGTGTGGAGTGTGTGCGGAGGGGGGCGGGGCTCCCATGCTGCGGCTGCTCAGAGACGCTGGGCCCCCTGTCTCTGGGCGGACAGGCACTGGAGGCGGCAGGAGAGGGGGACACCCTTTGCAGACCTCCCAAGTGGTTCCCAGCTCGCCGCCCACGTAATTGTGGCAGTCAGCAATCCCAGAGAATGGCGTGCACTGCACACATGGCCCCGGCAGGATCTCCCGCGGCGTGGGCCTGGGCTCTCAGGGCCAGCTGCATGGCTTGTTCTCCTCCAGCCACACTGGGTCGCAGTGCTGTGACTTGGGCTGCCCTGGAGTGACAGGCTGGATTTCTGCCCCTCAACCTGGGCCCCAGGCCGGGGGCTTTTCTGGTGGCAACAGGTCACAGGACACTTACACCTCGGGGGCAGCGTCTTCTGTGCTGTGCCAAGGAAAAGCCATGGGTGGGCACACCCAGAGTCACTGAGGTGGGGGAGTCCCGCTGCCTCACCTGCTCAGGACAGTGGGCGTGGCTGTAGCCCACCCTCCCGTCCTGCTTCTGGCTGACCTGAGCCAGGGTCCTGCTGGGGGACCCCTGGACCGCATGGGACGGGCCAGTGTGGCGGGTGAGGGTAGGCCTGGCGAGTTGCTCGCAGACGTCTGGGTAGGGCCGTGGTTGACAAAAGGGCCCGGTTTTCATCCCGCTGACCTTCACTGCCCCTCACGGCCTCCACCTCCTCTCACCAGGCCCACCTCTCTGACCAGGTACCCAGGTGTGCCCAGTGGGCCAGGCCGGAGCATTGCTGCTTGGCGCCGGGCTGCCTCTCTGTGGGCTTCCGGGCTGCAGAGGGTCCGTGGGCAGAGGCAGCCTTGCCCTGGGCGTCCGTGGGAAGGAGGCATTTTCTTGCCACCTGTGCTCCCCCAGGCTGCTTGGGGTGGTGCGGAGCAGAGGGGTCTAGCTTAGAGGGGCCCGGCTGCTGGCTGGGCCTTGAGCTGGGAGGCTGGCTGTCCTGGAGTGCCCAGACACTGGGGGAGCGGAGAAGCCTGGGGTGGGGGCCCTCCCCACCCACCCCGCCCAGGCCGGCCTCTGGAGCATGGCATGGCATTGTCCTTTCCCATGGCCCTAGGCCACCGGTCCCGTCTCGTGGGGAGTGGGAGCCCCACAGTGAGCCCAAGGAAGTCTCTCTTGACCTGTGTGGCGGGCAGAGGCATGCAGCCGCGCTGCTCCTGCCCCCGGAGTTGAGGAGGGGGGAGGGCAGGCTGTGCGGAGTCCTGGCAGGGGTGGGTGCAGAGCCAGCCCGGCAACTTTCCCACGGCGGTTCCATTCCTGTGCAGCTCTGGGAAGCAGCCCTGCATTCTGCGTTCACCCTGAGATTTCCCAGGGTGCTGTTGTAGCCTTGCCCCGCCCCCAACGTCTGTGCCCCGGCCGAGGGTCAGGGTTGTCTCCCTGGGCTGCTGTGCAGACTGCGGGAGCAGCCGTCAGGGCGGGACTGCTGCCAGTGCTCTGCCACTGGGGTCGGTGCTCCCTCCTGCTTGCCGTGTGCGGTGGGCTGTGCAGTTTCCCTACAGCAGACACCAGAAGGGGCGCGAGAGCAGTTAAATCTGCAGTCCGGCTTTCCTGGGCGAAAAAGGAAATGCTGAACCTCAGAACAAGGGTCTCGACAGGCAGGCACCGCCCTCCCGGTTCTTGCACAAACTACCAGCCACATCGAGGCTCCAGATTTGCACGTGCCTTGGTTGCGCTCATTCATTACTCCACAAGAGCTGGGTGGGGGCCGGGTGTGCACGAGGAGCTCCGCACTGCCCCACCAGGCTTCACGCCTGCAGGGGGGCCTCTGCGGGGCTTGGGGCGCCCAGCTAACCCAGAGAAGCTGAAGCCCGGAAGGAGGAGTGATGTCCTCAGGACGGCAGGCGCTGGCACCCAGGGGCCCTGGGGAGCACCCGGTCGTGGGTTGGGGCTGGCTTGGGTTTCCCTTGCGTCTAAAGAGCAGAAGTGGCATGCCCTCAGTGTCACCCCTTGTGTTTTGGCTTCCTTACCTAGTGGGCCCGGCCTCTTCTAGGCTGAGGCCCCTGTTCTTCCCGTAGCAGACCCCACCAGCTGGCCTGGGCCCAGCCCCTCCCTCTCCTGAGGCAGGGCTGGGCGTGACCAGATCACAGCAAGAATGTATGGCATGGCCCCCTGGTGGCTGGGTCCAGTGTTCTGCTGGCGGGCAGAGGCTGGGGAAGCGAAGGCCTGTCGGGAGGAAGCAGCCCCCCACCCCCACCCCGTGCCTCCTGCTTGCAGAACACCTTGCTTCCCAGCTAATTACTTCTCTCTGCCGTCCTCACCCCTGGTAAGCTGGTGGTCACTGAAGGTCACAAAGCCCCAGGTGCTGTGCTGGACATGTGGCCAATAGACCAGCCTGGTGAGGCCTTCACAGCCTATGGCAAAAAGGGATGACTGCAGCATAGGTGTGACTCTGAGTAGCAGAGAGAAGACAGAGTGGCCAGCTGGCCAGGAGGCAGGGAGCTGGTGCCGGGATGAGCAGCGCTTCCTGAGGGCCAGATGGGGAGGGACCTGGGGTCGGGATGCGGGACGTTTCTGCGCACAGTGAGTACCCAGGGGTCAGGCAGGTGCGGTTTTCCTTCCCCTGGAGTTGCCTGGAATGAAGGGACTTGGAACTGGAACCGAGAGCCAGTGCCCCAGGCCGGAGGGCCCGAGTCACCCGCCACTGCTGCTTCTCCTGCCCCTGGGAGGCTGCAGCCCTGCCTCTTCAGCGCCTTAGAGTGTGAGGACAGCTTCCCGCTCTGCCTTGCTGCCGGGCCTCCCAGTCACCTGGTGGTGGGGCACGGCGCGCTGCCCCAGAGGTGCTGGGCCCAGGCCAGAGCACTGCCGCACCGTCGGTGCTGCTCGCGGGGCGCTGGGCTTCTGGGAGGTGGCCAAGGGAGGGCCAGGAGCCATGCTGTTTGTTACTGCCGTGCCCTCTGCCCAGAGGGGGGGAGTGAGGCTGGGTGGCCCAGCCTGCCCCCGTGTGGGCAGCCACCCCCCAGGGAGCGCAGAGCCCCGGGCTCTGTGCCAGCATAGGGTGAACACAGCGTGGGCACCAGAGTGGGATGGGTGGGGACAGCGGGCAGAGGGGCTGCGTGTGTGCAGGGAGGTCCAGATGGTGGGTGGCAGCCCAGGACAGGGTGCAAGCCCCAGCCGTCCCTCAGCAAGAACGGGCTGCAGGCTGGTGGCTCGCTGGGCTGCCCTGCCGGGTCCCAGGGGATAGAACTCTGGTGGTGCCTCCTGGCGGGGCCAGGGCATGGAGACCCGAGTGCCAGGTGCGGTGTGGGGGCCCTCAGGTGGGCACCCCTGAGCCGTGCTGAGGGACCCAGCATCCAGCTAGTAGCTGGTGGCCTCAGCAGGTCATCAGTCCCGCAGCGTCTGTTTCTCTCTGCACCGTGAGGCCGATGACAGTTCTCTGGCCCGAGGACTAAGGGC